CTATAATCCTGTACATCGGACCAGTATTTTACATAATACACTCCTATAATCCTGTACATCGGACCAGTATTTTACATAATACACTCCTATAATCCTGTACATCGGACCAGTATTTTACATAAATATAATACTACTCCTATAATCCTGTACATCGGACCAGTATTTTACATAAATATAATACTACTCCTATAATCCTGTACACCGGACCAGTATTTTACATAATACACTCCTATAATCCTGTACACCGGACCAGTATTTTACATAATACACTCCTATAATCCTATACACCGGACCAGTATTTTACATAATACACTCCTATAATCCTGTACACCGGACCAGTATTTTACATAATACACTCCTATAATCATGTACATCGGACCAGTATTTTACATAATACACTCCTTTAATCATGTACATCGGACCAGTATTTTACATAATACACTCCTATAATCATGTACATCGGACCAGTATTTTACATAATACACTCCTATAATCATGTACATCGGACCAGTATTTTACATAATACACTCCTATAATCCTGTACACCGGACCAGTATTTTACATAATACACTCCTATAATCCTGTACATCGGACCAGTATTTTACATAATACACTCCTATAATCCTGTACATCGGACCAGTATTTTACATAATACACTCCTATAATCCTGTACATCGGACCAGTATTTTACATAAATATAATACTACTCCTATAATCCTGTACATCGGACCAGTATTTTACATAAATATAATACTACTCCTATAATCCTGTGTACTGATTCCTTAGTTGTAGAGTGAGGTGTGGTCACTGGGTTTCCCTGTAATTCATTTAACCTTTCCCTACCTACCTACCTTTCAAGGTAATCAAATTGCTTGTCCCATGTATTTTAAAATCTCACCACAGTAATTTGCTTACTTGACGTCTTTCAAGCTAGTGATCCCTTATTCAGATCAGGACACTATTTTCACGCTCCGCTACCCTTGCTATTGTACTCCAGTACGGAAATTTGGCAATCTAGCTAGGCACACTTGGGGCACCAAATTGAAATTCCTGGGGCACAGTTGGGGCAAAAAGTTACTTGGGGCACAGTTGGGGCATAGTCGATTGTGCCCCAAGTGTGCCCCAAGACGTGTGCCCCAAGAAGTGTGCCCCAAGACGTGTGCCCCAAGACGTGTGCCCCAAGTGTGCCCAGCTAGATTACCAACTGGCCCTCCAGCTCTCCAGTACTACTGCTCCACTGACTTTAGTATTTGCATTTTCTATCACAGCCTCGGCGTCTATCCTTCTATACATTTTCTTTCGGCTTTTCTACGTCTTTGTTTTAAAATCCAAGCAATTTTAAAATATTTGCGTTATCGTTGTCCCTGTATGTTTAACCATAAGCCGTTATATTTTGAGAGCCTCAACTGACGCTGCTAGAGTTATCTAATATAAATCCGCTCCTTTATCAATTTTAAACGCGGCAAACTTCAAAGACAAGTATTAAACTCCTTTGACCAATCCTGCCATCTGTTGGGTGTGGAGGTCACGAATAACCTATTACATCCGCACTGCGATGACTAATAGCCATCTGTTGGGTGTGAAGGTCACGAATAACCTCCTACAAGCTACATCCGCCCTTTACCCGCACTTTGCATAACAAATATTTTGAATATTTCCCAGCAGTGCTGAGTTTACTGCAATTTCATGGCTCGACAACATCTGAAAAAGCGTTACATTCTGCTTCACAAAAGTTCTATAGTCCATTGTTAAAGTTTGTGGCCGATGTTTGAGTGTAGTAATTTGTTACTCTGACAATCCACCCTAGTTATATCGTCTTATTATTCCTCATTCCATCATTTTACCCATTTCTCTGCTCATTCTGCATTCCTCCCTCCATTAGAGGCAAAAACGGCCCGTTTTGTTGACTACCGGGATATTGAAAACTGGTTGAGTGTGTTTTCCTCCGTCTACACCCTACTACTAGTGTGTTCTCCTCCGTACATTGAGTAAAGTGTGTGGAATATAAAGTAAGATGAGGACGTATCCTCCGTTTAGAGCAAGGTGGTGAGTGCTAACAATACCACCTCGCTACCTCGCTCTCAGCTCATTAGATCCCTCCTATCATCTTGTGTGTGTTCATAGGAGCTGTGCAGATTCGCTTTCAGTACTCTCCATTAGTAGTTTATGCTACTTCATTGCTACTTATTATAATGATTATTTTAATTGTTTATTATCATCGATCTTAATTTCAAGTTGAACAGTGATATCTACTAACAGCCATCGCAAACTCTTCTGTGTCTGTTTACGAACACTGTATTACTGCAGCTAGATTACTGTGTTTGTGTTTACGAACACTGTATTACTGCAGCCAGGTTACTAATACTATTTGTGTTTACGAATACTTTATTACTGTAGCTAGATTACTATTTGTGTTTACGAATACTTTATTACTGTAGCTAGGTTACTATTTGTGTTTACGAATACTTTATTACTGTAGCTAGATTACTATTTGTGTTTACGAATACTTTATTACTGTAGCTAGATTACTATTTGTGTTTACGAACACTGTATTACTGTAGCTAGGTTACTATTTGTGTTTACGAACACTGTATTACTGTAGCTAGGTTACTATTTGTGTTTACGAATACTTTATTACTGTAGCTAGATTACTATATTTTGTGTTTACGAATACTTTATTACTGTAGCTAGATTACTATTTGTGTTTACGAATACTTTATTACTGTAGCTAGATTACTATTTGTGTTTACGAATACTTTATTACTGTAGCTAGATTACTGTGTGTGTTTATGAACACTGTATTACTGTAGCTAGATTACTGTGTGTGTTTACAAACACTTTACTTCGTTACGCGTGACTCTGGACGATCAAACTTTTTACACGTCTGATTTGAGATATTGCTACATTTTATTTGACCACTATCTTCCATCGTCCACACAATTACCACGTGGGTGGCGTCTCAATCACTACACAGTAGAGTAGTAGCATATACAGCAGTAATCATGAAATTAAAACACGAGAATAACGTATCTATATTACTGTTGTGGTGTGCACGCTCACTGTGCAGTGTGCGTCAGGTTGTATTATAGATGAGGGCTATCAGCTAAACACTGCTCCGTTTAATGGGATGATGGTATTACTTTTCAATATCATAAGTCTCATCACACGGCTCCTTCATAAGTCTCATCACACGGCTCCTTCATAAGTCTCATCACACGGCCCCTTTTTAAGTGGTTTTTAAGGTTTTCATTCAACTATCATTGGTAACCCGCTGTAGATTAGGTTTTACCAGTGATTGAAGTGATATATACATACGTTTAGGACGGCGTGCTTTATTTCGTTTGATATATTATAAAATTGGTGGTGCGCAGCAGTTTAATAATATTATACAGTAAGCTGTAGACCCCTTTATTGCCTCTCCCTGCTGTAGATCCCTTTATTACCTCTCACTGCTGTAGACCCCTTCATTAGATCCCTTTATTACCTCTCACTGCTGTAGACCCCTTTAATACCTCTCACTGCTGTAGATCCCTTTATTACCTCTCACTGCTGTAGACCCCTTCATTAGATCCCTTTATTACCTCTCCCTGCTGTAGACCCCTTTATTAGATCCCTTTAATACCTCTCACTGCTGTAGACCCCTTTATTACTTCTCACTGCTGTAGACCCCTTTATTACCTCTCACTGCTGTAGACCCCTTTATTAGATCCCTTTATTACCTCTCCCTGCTGTAGACCCCTTTATTAGATCCCTTTATTACCTCTCCCTGCTGTAGATCCCTTTATTACCTCTCACTGCTGTAGATCCCTTTATTACCTCTCACTGCTGTAGATCCCTTTATTAGATCCCTTTATTACCTCTCCCTGCAGTAGATCCCTTTATTAGATCCCTTTATTACTTCTCACTGCTGTAGACCCCTTTATTAGATCCCTTTATTAGATCCCTTTATTACTTCTCACTGCTGTAGATCCCTTTATTACCTCTCACTGCTGTAGATCCCTTTATTGCCTCTCACTGCTGTAGTCCGTTATTACTTATTCTTTTATTTCTGCTGAATTGGTCACCTCGCATGAATTTCAATTTCTAAATTAAAACAAAGCCCTCTCATTTACCATTGCTTGACGCTTGTATGTACTCGACATTGTTCAGCAATCCAATATGTCATGAGTTGCCATGGCAACGCCTGGTTCTGCACGTGCGACGAAGTCAGTGATTATTATGACAGTTAACAGGGGATCTATAATTGGCCCTATTGTTGTCTCGTACCTTTGTCGTCAGCCAATCAGCTTGCAAGCACGTGTCACGTGACTGCCAACTGACCAATAGTAACGCAGATAGTGGTCAGTTCAGCGTTAATTTTATAATGGCTTGATCCAGGTGGCTCTATCTCGGCTGATTGTTGGGTGCCCTGCGTGCACCCATCCCACCCTGCGTGCACTTAATTGTTACCTTTTTTATAAACTATTTTATCGTAGCTAGAACTTTTGAAACAAGTCTGAAGTTTGGTAGCTAGAACTGAAGGTTTGCTTGTCGTTTCTTTCCTCATTGGAACGTAATATATAATCAGTGATTTGACAAACCACACAGCGTCGTCATGGTTTCTCTCATGTGTTTGTCAGTGAAAGTGAAAGTGAAATTTAATAAGCTGCACTTTCGGAACCGGAAGCTGAAACATATTAAATATCGGAGAGGCAAACCCGACAAGTTTTCTCAGGTAGGAATTAAGTAAATAACGTGGAATTGTTATGTTCATTGAAAATATTATTTTGATAATTTACCAATTTTTTGTTAAACTAAGTGGTGTATATTTTCTTTTTTCCTTGAATATAAATAGAATTATATTTCCAATTATTCTGTTCTTAGTTTGAGCCACTAATTAAATTAATATTGAATATACAGCTAAACCCCTCTGATTGGAAGTGTAAGCTAGAACCCCTGGTAGGTACTAATTAATTAGTTTGCTAATTAATTGCGCGTGTAACTGACAAGTTCCCCCTCAGAGTGACCCCGGAACTAGTTCTGGTACGAGGAGCACTAGTTCTATAGACACGGACTGTCAGGCTAACATCAACTACGGCAGACAGATCGCGCTCGCTAAGGGACCACCTCCCAGCCTAGGTGCGTTCTGCATATCAGTACCTGCATTTTAGCAATATCATGGTGCTGAAGATACTGAACAGTAAGATCGTTATTGTCATGATATTGAGTATTCAGTGGTAACAGCGTTCCCTCCCAGGTTCAGTTGGATCTAACGGACTATTGGAGGGTGACAGCAGTGCTGTGTCCACAGAGCACCCTCCTTCAATCCCGCCCCATGTCCCCACCTCAGCTCCTCCTTCTACTTCCACATCTGCTTCTCTTCCTCCTCCTTATGCTAACGTTTTCTTATCTGATGAGGGACAGGTCAACTTATTTCCTTTTTTATTCATTTTTACATTTTTCTTTTTTATTGATTTTTACATTTTCCCTTGTATGCTTTTTACATTTTCCTTTGTTATTGCTTTTTACATTTTCCTTAGTTATTAATTTTTCTCACTAATGTTGAATAAGCCAAGTTCTAACTGCCAGCCAGAATTGTACTTTTATTCTTATCAGTAATTTTGTGCCAAAACATCTTCTGAGAAAAATAAATCTTAATTGACAATTGAAGAAGAATAAAAGAAGAAATAATGTTTTGTTGCAGGTTTCTTTCCTGGAGGATGAGAAGACTGAAGATGAGCTGAACTCGGTTGATGAGGATCATGATCTGCCTCCCTATCCTGAAATAATGTTCACTTCTGATCAGGGTGTGACGTAAGTACCCTCACATATTTTCCCTTGTCAATGGTGACGTTTACATGTTATTGTCTGTGCGCATCCAGACTCACAAATATGAGGTCCATCAATAGCAGACTATTTAGTAGCCACCTCTCCAGGGGTGTAGTAAGATGGGGGACACCCCTGTACCTCTCCCTCCACGCTATCCATCATTACTCTCTAAATAATTCATTTCATACAAATGATGAATAAGATTTATATTGTCAGTACCCCAATTACAGTAGAAGAATAGTAAGAAACGTTGGGGTTGTCTAGTAATCATACCCCCTCTGAGCTATTACTAACATATGGTATACTTCTTCAGGTCAGTTGATCTGAATAGAGATCTAGAGGAGATGAACACACTAGTAGGTGAGATATCTAGTTTAGTGTGGCAGAACGAGCCACTCCCTCCCCCTCCCTCGGACTACCTCACTCCCACTACCATCCCTGACTTTGAGAAAACACCCACTAATGAAGTAGCATCCCCTAATCTTTTCCTAGATAATACCGAGACTGATGGCAACAGTTTTGACTACCCTATTAACACCGTGAGTGAAGAGTGTTACGAGAATTGTCAGTTACCTGAGCTGCCTCCCCGACAGCCGGCCCTGCCGCCCAGAGGTGACAACTCCCAGGATAGCTCCACTTCATCACGTGAAATTATCGTAGAGCAAGAGATAGTTCCTGATTCCAGGCCACAGTTACCACATCGAATTCCGTCGACGAACAGGGATAAGTTGGGTCCGTCTGTGCCTCCTCGCGATAAAGCGATACAATCACGTGATTCTACTCTCCCATCACGTGATTCTACTCTCCCATCACGTGATTCTACTCTCCCATCACGCGATTCTACTCTTTCATCGCGTGATTCTACTCTACTATCGCGTGATGCCACTCTTCCATCGCGTGAGGTTGTTCTTCAGTCGCGCGAGGTTGTTCTTCAATCACGCGACCTCTCGCTGCCTCCAAGAACCATTCCTCTGCCGCGTCGAGATTCTTTAACCCAGCCCCGAACGAGCAGCTCTACTACGGCTATCTGCCGCGGAGTTGGACACAGTCAAACCTTACCACCTCATATCCAGCCCCGAGCTCTGGGAGTACTACCCCCACAGAGAATCCCGGGTCCTGTGCCCCGCCACTCCATCTCAGAAAACGGAACCGGCCCTCCCAACCTCCCTCCCAGAATCAAAGTAGACTCCTCTCCAAACATGCGGAACGAGCCGTCCAGCCCCCACATGCCGACTAGAGTTCCCCTACCTCCATCCCGATCCAACACCATTCCCGTGTACTCAGCGGTCGAGCCGCAGAGAGGCTCCTTCCCGCGAGTTATTCACCAGCGTGAGTTCTCGCCCTACGTGGTGCCCAGTGCGCCGCGCATCGACAGGTGGGAGGAGTATACTAACAGTTGTGTGGACAAGAAGTCACAGACTTTAAAGAAAAAGGTCAAAGTTAAAATCCCCCAAAGGTGATCCTAGGTTAGCAAGCTTATTTGGTACTGATTGTGATTGCTACCACTGAGCAAGTTTCGGAGATCCACTCCTCTCGTTGTGTGCTAACTAATGACCTGTAACCATGGTAACTGTATAATGTGATGCCAAATTTTATATAGTTTTAGGCACGATGGTGTAAAAATACACTGACTTGACTAATTTTAGTGTATTTGTTTTTGTCGGTTTAACGATGACTGATAAGATTGCGCCATTTTCACAGAGAAATCATCAGGGAACAATGAAAATGAGCCTCCAGTTATCACGTGAACAAACATCTGACATTCATATAGGACCAAATAGTGTTTAGGTTATTAGGTATTGCTCTCGATCTCAGTCAAACTCTGTAAAATTATTACGAAGGATGGACCATCAATTAGTGTTTGTTTATTTGACCCGATGAATCTTCACGGGTTCCAGTTAGCTATAATATTCGTGATAATAATCGAAAACTTTTTGTTCCACGTTCGTGTCACAGTATTACATGCCTAAAGGTTCAAAAGTTTTATTCGTTGGATTGATTAGTAATAGTATTGTAAATGTAATTATTAATTTTCGACATTTCTTGTTTAATAATGAATAATCTAACTGTTAACATTGCAGTTGGATATTAATTATTTAAATCTTTTATATTAATCATGACGGGCGTTTGACTTTGAAATTGTTAACAGAATCTGTATCAGTCAATTAACTAACCGTGCAATTAACTTTTAGATTTACAAATCAGATTCAGTTACCAATACCATGGTTGCAGTTAACAAACATGACGTGTTCTGCATAAAGTCACAAAATACACAAGCAATGGGAAGTTAATGACGGGTAGAATATTTGTAAATTTGCGTCCATAAATACCATATTTATTCTATACAAGTTTTAATTCTTCACTTAATACTCCAGTAATTACTTGAAGTAAACCAGAAACCTACACCTTGACCTAACCATGGATCTTCGCATACTAAGTGGGGGCGCGCTACTCCTAGGGCTCTCGTAACTGGTTAGAGCAGCCAAAAACCTACACCATACACGTGGCTTTACAGATGTTACCCGGCGATGAATTGAAACTCTGATCGGCGCCGCGCGCTGGTCGGCAGGTTGTAAACTTGCAACACTGGACACTTTAACTGTTAACGGGTGATACTCGTAAAATATTTGTCCTGAATATTACACCGTCGACGAGTCCAACTCGGCGCACGTCTTGGCAGATTGTAAACCTACAAGTACAATGAACACTTGGCTTAACTATTGACCATCTTTGATCTTGCTGGTCTAATTTGCACATTGCAGGCCGCTAGGCCATAGGCTAGCGACCTGTTAGATTTGTATAATGATAGCTAATCACTCGACTGTCGCGCGACGTTTATATTACCAACACCAAACACGTTCTCCAGGTGGCCCTGAATGACTATTCGAAACCCTAACCACCTAATCTGATCCCTACCCCAGTGCCCTGCCTTAGGGCTAACCCAATCCCTAACTAAAGCATATGCAATATGCTCAATGCTGAAACCCTAAATTATATCAACTTTCTTATAATATGGTCATATCACGTGATCGAGACAGTTTTTCGCCATGATAATGATATCTCGCCAGGGGAGCATTTAAAGTTAAACCCTATCACTTCACCTAACCATGTGCTTTCGCGCCGCTGCGGGCGCGCTTGTTTCACAAGCCCGTGAGGCGGGCGCGCGCTACTGCATACTGCAAGGGCTCTGGATAGAGCAACCCTATCACGGCTATCACCTATGTCATGGGGGTTAATCGGAATCATGATCAGCGTCCGAAAATACATCGATTTTTTTTTTTTTAATTTTTATGTTGGGGCACCCACTTTACCTCCCTATTGGGAGGGGCTAATATTAAATGGTAGTGGAGTCTGTGCAGCTCTCCCAGCCCACCTTATTTTACTGATTTGAAGGTCCCATTTTATTGACCCAGTACAGGCTAATATTAAATGGTAGTGGAGTCTGTGCAGCTCTCCCAGCCCACCTAATTTTACTGATTTGAAGGTCCCATTTTATTGACCCAGTACAGGCTAATATTAAATGGTAGTGGAGTCTGTGCAGCTCTCCCAGCCCACCTAATTTTACTGATTTGAAGGTCACATTTTATTGACCCAGTACAGGCTAATATTAAATGGTAGTGGAGTCTGTGCAGCTCTCCCAGCCCACCTAATTTTACTGATTTGAAGGTCCCATTTTATTGACCCAGTACAGGCTAATATTAAATGGTAGTGGAGTCTGTGCAGCTCTCCCAGCCCACCTTATTTTACTGATTTGAAGGTCACATTTTATTGACCCAGTACAGGCTAATATTAAATGGTAGTGGAGTCTGTGCAGCTCTCCCAGCCCACCTAATTTTACTGATTTGAAGGTCCCATTTTATTGACCCAGTACAGGCTAATATTAAATGGTAGTGGAGTCTGTGCAGCTCTCCCAGCCCACCTTATTTTACTGATTTGAAGGTCACATTTTATTGACCCAGTACAGGCTAATATTAAATGGTAGTGGAGTCTGTGCAGCTCTCCCAGCCCACCTAATTTTACTGATTTGAAGGTCCCATTTTATTGACCCAGTACAGGCTAATATTAAATGGTAGTGGAGTCTGTGCAGCTCTCCCAGCCCACCTAATTTTACTGATTTGAAGGTCCCATTTTATTGACCCAGTACAGGCTAATATTAAATGGTAGTGGAGTCTGTGCAGCTCTCCCAGCCCACCTAATTTTACTGATTTGAAGGTCCCATTTTATTGACCCAGTGCAGGCTAATATTAAATGGTAGTGGAGTCTGTGCAGCTCTCCCAGCCCACCTAATTTTACTGATTTGAAGGTCCCATTTTATTGACCCAGTACAGGCTAATATTAAATGGTAGTGGAGTCTGTGCAGCTCTCCCAGCCCACCTTATTTTACTGATTTGAAGGTCACATTTTATTGACCCAGTACAGGCTAATATTAAATGGTAGTGGAGTCTGTGCAGCTCTCCCAGCCCACCTAATTTTACTGATTTGAAGGTCCCATTTTATTGACCCAGTACAGGCTAATATTAAATGGTAGTGGAGTCTGTGCAGCTCTCCCAGCCCACCTAATTTTACTGATTTGAAGGTCCCATTTTATTGACCCAGTACAGGCTAATATTAAATGGTAGTGGAGTCTGTGCAGCTCTCCCAGCCCACCTAATTTTACTGATTTGAAGGTCCCATTTTATTGACCCAGTACAGGCTAATATTAAATGGTAGTGGAGTCTGTGCAGCTCTCCCAGCCCACCTAATTTTACTGATTTGAAGGTCCCATTTTATTGACCCAGTACAGGCTAATATTAAATGGTAGTGGAGTCTGTGCAGCTCTCCCAGCCCACCTAATTTTACTGATTTGAAGGTCCCATTTTATTGACCCAGTACAGGCTAATATTAAATGGTAGTGGAGTCTGTGCAGCTCTCCCAGCCCACCTAATTTTACTGATTTGAAGGTCCCATTTTATTGACCCAGTACAGGCTAATATTAAATGGTAGTGGAGTCTGTGCAGCTCTCCAAGCCCACCTAATTTTACTGATTTGAAGGTCCCATTTTATTGACCCAGTACAGGCTAATATTAAATGGTAGTGGAGTCTGTGCAGCTCTCCCAGCCCACCTAATTTTACTGATTTGAAGGTCACATTTTATTGACCCAGTACAGGCTAATATTAAATGGTAGTGGAGTCTGTGCAGCTCTCCCAGCCCACCTAATTTTACTGATTTGAAGGTCACATTTTATTGACCCAGTACAGGCTAATATTAAATGGTAGTGGAGTCTGTGCAGCTCTCCCAGCCCACCTAATTTTACTGATTTGAAGGTCCCATTTTATTGATATTCCCACATCAGAGGACCAACTTGTACCTGCAGAAATTTCTGCAGGACTCACTTCCCCTGCAGACATATGTTTCAAGCTATAGATGATGGTTTGATGGTATGGGAGGACCTGCCTGAGGATTACAGAAACATACCGTTCTTCATAAAAGATAAAGGTCTGTTTAATTGATCTTTAATCTGTTTGCATGTTAACATTCCAATTTTAATATTGAGGTTTATAACTTTTTCATGTGTTATGGCCGACGGTCGTGCGTCCCCGTCAATGTAGGAGGTGTGGAGCATTCCGAATGACAGTAGAGAAAATTTTGAACGTTTCAACAGTAAATGTTATGTTACTAAAGCATCACTTCGACTCCAAGGCGAGGCATCCGTGTGAACCCTGGTTTTTATCAGGGTTGTACAGACAAAGATGATTTTGTCTGTTAAAGTGGGTAATCACCCTCTGACATCTGAGTCATAAATCACACATCCGCAAGTTTTTCCAGGTTTTCCCTATTATATTCTTTGCTTCCAATTCTTATAAAGTTATAATAGTCAAAATCCAATATTATTTTTGCAGGAAGTGATATTGGGATATGGCCAGCTGATGTAAACAAATGTTGTGATTATCCAGCATCAGAAGATGAAGATGAAGAAGAAGAAGAAGATGAAGAGGTTGGAGAAAATAGGAATGCGAGAAAGAAGAAACGGGATATAGACTATAAAGGAGATTGGCGGGAGGTTACAAACAGATTTATTTCATTCGTTAATGATCCCGGGTTTGACGTGATGGACGATGATGTCCGTACATTATTTTTAAAGAAACTTACAGATACCGCCAATGATATGGCACCCTATGTTTACAAAAGAAACTAATACAGATATTATAAATAACATACGTCTGATAATATATAATCAGCAATCATTTATAGATATTAGATATTAAGCCAACCGTGTAATGATATTCTACCGCACTAAAGGTAAGCTTTATATCTCAGTATTTTAAATCTCCTTCTCGGTATTTAATCTTCGTCTCCATTTCTGATTAGTGTTCATTCTCTGTCTCAGTGTTCATTCTTTGGCTCTCTAATTAATCTCTTTCTCACTGTTCATTCTTTGTCTCATTGTTCTCTGTTTTACTGTTCATTCTCTGTCTCACTAATTGATCTCTGTCTTACTGTTCATTCTCTATATCACTATTCAATCTCTGTTGCAGTGTTCTGCAATTCTCTGTATCTCTTATTAATTCTCTGTCTCAATGTATATTCACTGTTTCACTGTTCATCCTCCGTCTTAGCGTTAATTCTCTGTCTCACTGTCCATTCACTGTTTCACTGTTCATCCTCAGCGTTAATTCTCTGTCTCACTGTCCATTCACTGTTTCACTGTTCTTTCTCAGCATTAATTCTCTGTCTCACTGTATATTCTCTGTTTTACTGTTCTTCCTCAGCGTTAATTCTCTGTCTCACTGTATATTCTCTGTTTTACTGTTCTTCCTCAGCGTTAATTCTCTGTCTCACTGTATATTCTCTGTTTCACTGTTCATCCTCAGCGTTAATTCTCTGTCTCACTGTACATTCTCTGTTTCACTGTTCATCCTCCGTCTTAGTATTAATTCTCTGTCTCAGTGTTCATTCTCTGTCCTGCTGTTTAATCTTCGTCTTACTTTTCAATTTCTTTCTAAGTGTTACAGTGAGAAGAAAAGAAAGCCGTATGATGTTGTTGTTAAAAGCTTGTCCCCTTCAATTAAAATGATATTTCGACATATAGAAAACGATGTAATGGAATTTTAGATTTTGTTACAAAATATGGACAGTTTTGTTATTGTTTTTGTTATTGTACAAAACGTGAGGCGCGGCGACATAATAAATTTTAGAAATGCTCGCGCATTTTGATGATCTGGCGCGCGTCCACTACCATTTAACGTTTACCATTGGGAGGCTACGTCCGTCATTAGTGACTAACGTCTATTGGGGTTCCTCTGGTTGTAGGTGTCAGTAGGTTTGGGTCACTTGGCATGGGCTAGTGATCCCGCTCCTCCAAAGGATAAAGCCTGGTGAGCGACGTTTCCCGTTAGGGAAACTGTCATAATGCTCGTTCACGGGAGAACACCACCCATGCCTAAATGTTCTCCCGGGTACTCGATAGAACAGGCTGCCCCCTGTCATTCTAGTGGGCTGACAGGAACCTACCAGGCATGCCTGAGCCTCCGATGGAATTCACCCATATCTTTGTTGTTTTTGTGTTATATCTTTGTCTTTGCGCGGCTCAATTTCCGCGCTATACTACTGACTACAGTGCTGATTCACGAATTTACATGCGATATTTGAATTTTGAGTAGACCCTTTTTTGTCGCAATTTGGCAATTTCTTTGTTCACGTAATTATTGCTAATTTTAAGTTTTAAGTATTTGCTGGTAATAATCTAAGTGCTATATCTCCAATAGCTGGCAGTTTGTCTGATTGTTAGATCCCCTCTAACTGGTAGCGGCCCTAAGGCTGGCAGTTTGTCTGATTGTTAGATCCCCTCTAACTGGTAGCGGCCCTAAGGCTGGCAGTTTGTCTGATTGTTAGATCCCCTCTAACTGGTAGCGGCCCTAAGGCGGCATGTGAGTGAATGAGTGAGTAATAAAGTGAGGTGTAGGAGAAGTGGGGAAGAAAACATGAATATGAAAGTATGGTACACTGTTGCCAGCTGACTCACCAGCAACAATGCAAGTCCAAGAAGAAAGAAGGAGAGACACTGTCCGTTATCTGGGTGTGCCACCACCGACAGTGCTCCCACTTCTGTGGGGCCGAGGGTGTTAGCTCCAAGAACCAGCCGTGAGCGAACAGCACCTGACCCCCTCTATGGTTAACTTTAGAATAACAGGACTATGCTTTTCTCCAGGCCAATCCGTTCAGTAACCAGCTGACCCAGCACCACCTCTGATGGAAGATGTGGTTCGGATTGGACTTCGCTAGGATTTGTCAGTTTTTCTGTAGACACTAATGCTCCCTCGAGGAAAGACATGAGCCCCGGCGAAGCTGACCAAAAACGTGGCACTAGGGATTCTCACCCTGCAAAAATACATCGATGCAAGTTGGTTTCAACTGTCGTGCCACTGCGGGTTTATGAAGATATAAATAGCCTAGTGTGGTCCTCGCAGGTAAGAAAAGAGCACCGCGCATAAATATTGGCGTGCAATGTAAACGGCGAAACGAATGCGCACAGCAGTTGTTTGTTATTGTCTTACGTTGTATGACCCGCCGCGCACGGGTGTGCGGCTCCCCTTTGATTCACGATGTCAATCTTTCTGCAATCTGCCTTCGCATTTCGTCAATCTGCATACGTTGGTTGCGAGAAGATGCGCGGCTCAGTAGCGCATAGCCAATATAAAATAATAGCGCTACAAACAGTCGAGCTTCGAGATTTTTCTAAAAGTGAAAAGGCCCCCGACCGTTGAGAATTGAGATCAACTTCAATCGATGTATTTCCCAACGCTGATTCCGAATCACCCCTATACTATGACATAAAGTTGAAATGCTCCCCTTATAGCATAATATTGTCGAAAAACTGTCTCGATCACGTAATATGACCATATAGGATACAATGATACAAGGATGCATTGGTTTAATTTCAACGATACAGGGGGAGCCGCGCACTCGTGCGCGGCGGGTCCTACAACGCATGACAAAGAGATTTGTATCACGTCGTTGCCCCCATCGTCGTTTCACTCTACCCCTGTAGAGTTTCTACGATACAGGGGAGCCGCGCGGCGGGTCATACAACGTATGACAAAAACAAAAAAGAGGTTGGGTTAGGGTTATATATACTCAATATTAGGCTTGGGATCAGATCAGAAGGCTAAGATTTTGAATAGTCATTCAGGGCCACTAAGAGAACGTGTTTAAAAAGTCACGTGACAGTCGAGTGTATCGCTCCTACTAAATCGCTTGCCCAAATTTTAAGAAAATTTTTGTGAGAAGGCCCTTTGGGTATGAAATTGATTTGAATCGGTGTATTTTTGGACGCTGATTCCGAATCACCCCCCATGACGTAGGGTAAAAATGCTTCCTTGGAGAGTTATGGGCAAAAAACCGTTTTGGTCACGTGACAGGCTAGTAAAACATGAATTCGATTGTTTAGGGCTCGGGTTAGGGTTAGGGTTGTGGTAAGGGTTATGGATAGCTTCGGGGTTAGGGTTAGGGTTAGGGTTGGGATTAGGGTTTATGTGAAACCGTTTTGTACGGCTGCAAAACCATAAAAACCAAAGTCACGTGAAATGTTTGGGCGAGCGAATTAGTAAGAGCCCGAGTGTATAGTGATTAATCATCATCCTAATGAAACTGGAAATCCCAGTCCTGGTAAAAAATTGGCCGTGACCGGGGAACGAAATCCTGGTCGCGGATATAATGCCGTATTTTGACCAGGATTTTTTCTAAGTTTTAAAAATGTTGTTTGCTAATGCTGTTAAATTATCAACAAAAAACCTTTTGCACAAATTAACGATTTTAAAAAAACTGAAGTTTAAAGCAAATCCCCCCCCCCCCCCCCCCCAATTAATCAGCAAAACACTGTCAGAGTTAAGTGCCAGATTGTTGGGTGAGCTGTTCTTGCTTGTGGTTGTAATCAGTAAGGGATACCATTGGATTGTGTCAGGTTTTAGTGTCAAGAAAACAACAAATCAAGAAAACAACAAATTTCTATTTAAATCAATTATAGCAAAAATTTGAAAGACTTTAAAGTTCTTCTATTACTAAGGAATATACTACGGGTATGGTGACTTGGGCTATTGAGTTGTTAGGTATATTAGGATTAGTAAACAATAAACATGCGCTTGCATTGTATTTATAAAACTAGAAATTAGGGTTCACGTTAAAATGGAGAAGCAGGCTGATCTTGGAGAGAGCAGACCGTAAAGTTTCACACCCACCAGGGCTACCTACCTACCACAGTTGTTCTTTTTGGTTTATCAGCTTGTATTGTTATATTTGTGGACCCCAAGTCACCACACTATAAAGAAGTATGTAATAAAATAAGTTAAGTTAATGTCATCATATCAGTTTTAAATAGTAAAAGTTGAGTAGAGGATTGAATTTCCTAGTTAATTTAGTGGTTCAAACGGTGAGTTTGAAGTGCTGGTTTATTGTGGTGAGCTGTGCTTGTAATCAGTAAAGGATACCAGGGTTGTAGTGTCAGAATTGTAAATTAACGCATGTTACCCTTTGCGATGTCCTCATCATCTGATTCATCAGTAAATCTAACTTCCTCTTCATTTAACTCCATAGCCATACTCTCGTCGTACGAGTCATCTTTGTTCAGGGGTAATAGTACGTATGTTTTACGCTAAAATCAAATGTAGAATATTCTAGAAATCCAATACACTGATCAACCAACTTGCTGACATAGCATATCGTTTAAATACAGCACCTAACACCATTATAAATTATAAGGTCAAAGAATATTGAATGTAACATTTTTGTAAGCTACCATCCCATTCCCGATCCCGGTCGTATTCCCAGTCCCGTCTTATTCCCGGTCCTGGTCTTATTCCCGGTCCCGGCTTAATCCTGGTACCAGCACTTTTTCCAGTCCCGGGCAGGCAAAAAAAGCAGTCACGATCAATCCTTGAAGATGACTATGAATTAAAAATTGATCACACAGTTATGGAAGAAGAACATCATTGTAAACTGTACAACTGGCTTGTTCAAAGTGATTCTCTCAACAAATGTCAGAATCAGGTATTTCTATTAATTCTATATATTGGTTTTGCTTTTAGTTAAAATGTCAGATCAATAGATCAGGATAAAAATAGTTCTATAGTTGTAAAGATTTTTACTTTGTAAATAACTGTATATAATTCTGACAGTGATTCTGGGGTTTGATTCTAAAATAGTTCTATAGTGAACTAAAAATGTTCTCTCTGTAAATAACTGCATTGTTCTGACAAAAATTTCAAAGTGGGTGTTTAATCTGTTTATTAGATTTTGGTAAAATTTTGATGATTACCTTCATGTCCACAGTTTCATGTTATTACTCACTCTACCATATTCATTAACTTATTACTTATTATATATTATATGTTTTGATTTTAAGTCCTCAGAAGGGCACTTAATTAACAGTTTTTGACTGCACAGCAGATTAAAGCTTTTTTAAATAATTTTTATTCTTATTTCATTACTGTATGAACTTCATTCTAATTCAAATTGTAATTCTAAATTAGTCAATTCTGGAAGCTGATATTTTGATCACTGTTCATGTTGCTGTTATTAACACATCTTATTGCAAATCAGATTGAGGCGAGTAGAGTTTTGCAACGAATTGAAATCTTTGTGGACACTTTGGCAATCCTTGAGTTTGATGGTTATCTGGGAAATTGTCTTGTTGGAAATTATTTGCTATTTTGCAAGCTGAATCAAGAGGTGGCATGTCTAAAATTTGATGTTTTTAAAAGCAATAATATTAATATGTTATTCATTACATGAACAACTTGAATACTTGTGTATGATTTTGATAGATAATAATTGTGTGCGGAAGTTTATTGAATTATTAAAAATAACTATTAAGACCTTTCTCAGGTGCTTTTTGAGGTGTTCAAAGAAACAATAGAATCTGTCAACCAACTCTGGTGTATTATCAGACCCACTTCAGCCTTGAGGATTGAAAATCCTGAGCTTTTAAGCTCAGTTGACTCAACAGCTATGGTATTAACTTAGTCCTGAGTTGGTGCCAGCTGTTTTTTAAGACCTAGAAAATTAAGCAGGGGGTGAAAAATGATAACAAATGATACTCCCTCAATATTTGCATTAGAATATGTTAAACTGTGTACTGCAGTCTCTCTAGGTAAACTATTGGGGACGTGTGATAGCCGCCAGGGATCCAGTACCTTACACACAGTCAACACAGTACCGCTGCTCCGCAGAGTTCTGCAACGGTGCTCACGACTCCTCTCATATCAGGTTCACATCATTTACTGATTAGGTACTCAGCTGCATGACACCTGCAATGAATTGCTAATTACACAGCTCATCTGAGGTTTTCATGCAAATTTGTTTTAAAAAACCGTCATGATATGAGGTTACCACACCCTTCCCAAATGAACTAGTAAGATTACATGTTTGAGGCCTTGATAAACCATTCCTGACTTAATAGCGTGCTGCGTTTTGTTTGGGACACCCTATGTATAATAACACAGTGTATATAGTGCACCCTGTATAATAACAGTTGTATAATCAATTGATTCCTAAATATCGATAATATTATATATTGATGCAATCATTTTGCTAATTTGAAGAGTTGAAGAAAAAGCGATGAGATTTGTATTGCAGGGTTTACACACTGAACTCTAGAGAGTGTGATGTGATCAACTCTAATCTGCGCTGCACTGAGTGCAGTGGGCCTCTCCACGAGGATGTGGCAAACAGAACTATTGGCAGGCGCATGTCCATCTCCCTCCAGGTAAAATCTTAACTCCGGGGGCCGGGGGGGGGGGGGGGGATCAAATATGCAACTAAAATGCACAAGATTTCTCAGCTGAATAAACATACTCTACTCTAACACTGTACAGTGGGTCTTGGAAATTGGTTGTTAGTTTTGAATTATCTCTTCAGCTCTTACGTGTGGAAGGAGATGAGGCAAGGCATTATGTTGACTGTACTATAGATGTTCTTGTTCGTGACGAGCTTTTAACTCAAGTTACTCTGGGTAATACTAATTCACTCTTTCAACGGTAATATTTAATATTTAGCAGAAATAAGACAGTTTTTTTGAATACTACAAACATGCTGACTTTAATATAGTTTTAAATCTAATATAGTTTTAATTCTATCATATTTTAATTGTAGGCATATTGAGATCGCATTTTACGCTAGTTTACAGCACTTTTCCATAATTTATTAATTTCTTCACTTCAGATGACAGATCAGTTTTAGACACATTTTCTGTATCAGAACAAGCCAAATATTTGAAACTACTTGAAAAATGTTTTTATCTTTTATAACTATACTAAGCAAATAAATGCAGATTCAACTATCTCCAATTGCCCAGAATTGCCTAATATTCAAACTTATCGTCTCTATGTTTTACTAAGTAAGTAAAGTAATCTTCAGAACTGCATCACGGTGTACTCAGTAGTAAAGTAGTCGGGCAGGTCGCTCACCCAGGTTATTATCCCCAAGTCAGCACTCTCAGCCTCCAACAACATGTTCTGCCAGGAAGAGTAGCTGCTGCAGTCTCCCATACTCTCACTGTGGCTTTCTCCGCTAGATGTTGCGAACTGGAACATATCCTCCGATCCAACTGAAGTAATCATCTCAAAGTTGAAATCTTCAAGATAGTCCAAGTTGAGATACTCGGAGCAACCTCTGTTTCCTGACCATGGTCCATTGAAATAGAACCGTTTGTAACCCGTTAGCAGAACCTCTTCATCCTCAATTCTGGCATAGATAATGAAGTTTGTATGACCAAGTCTTGTTCCATTTCCATTGTACAGATTGACGTTTACACCCTGGTATAGATATTTGTCTGCCACTTTATTTTCAGTGAACTTCAACTTAAATACTGGGAGGTTTGAGGAGGTGAAGGGTCCGACCTCGTTGGATGTTGAGTTGAAGATGGGTGTCCACTCTGAAACAGTGATTAATTGTAAATTTTATTACCGAACCTGGTGCACAGGACACTAGAGTACAGCTGCACTACTACTGTTCACATTTGTATCTTACTTCGGACATTCCAACAGCCATGTTTGTTACAATTATAGGAAGCCGAAGGATTCAATTATTCATAAGGCCAGTGACGGCTAAGGTAGTGTGTACCATACTTTCTTCACGGTCACCCGGGTGCCGAGATTTCGCTGCAATAGGCAGCTCTTCATTTAACTTTCACACCCGATTTCTCGAGCATTTGGATGAGTGGATCAGAGAGGACTGTGCCGTATATTCTAGCTAAATCTACCAGAGAGGACTGTGCCCTATATTCCCGCTAAATCTACCAGAGAGGACTGTGCCCTATATTCCTGCTAAATCTATCTAGGAGGTGTTTTACCTGTTTGGTTATCAGTTGAGTTATCTGACTGCAGAGTGATGTTGAGAGAGACGTGTCCGGAGTACTTGTAGGATGTGCAATATATTGAAGTGTCGTTGTGACCTGCTGTAAAGTTGTTAACGAACCCCTCTATGTCAGTAGAAATTGTGCCGTTGTTCCAATCGTAGGTACTTCTGTTGAATCCAGCGCTATACCAAGGGGAATCTGGAGAGAGTTTTGAGAAAGATTGTCCGTTAACGTACATTTCAAAGGTGTGATCTTCTTCAGGAGCAGCTATTGAGCAAGTTATAGAGCTTCCTTGTCCTATTATTGCATTTTGAGCTTTGGGACCTCTGATGTGGAAAATCACCTCTGTTTCTGAAATAGAATTCAAGTTTAACGGCTTATGATTCATTCTGGTAAAGTTTAAAACGGCGAGTTTAATAACAGATTTTAAATTCAAATTTGTATGAACTACTCTGCCGTATATTCCCGCTAAATCTACCAGAGAGGACTGTGCCCAACATTCCTGCTAAATCTATTTAGGAGGTGTTTTACCTGTTTGGTTATCAGTTGAGTTATCTGACTGCAGAGTGATGTTGAGAGAGACGTGTCCGGAGTACTTGTAGGATGTGCAATATATTGAAGTGTCGTTGTGACCTGCTGTAAAGTTGTTAACGAACCCCTCTATGTCAGTAGAAATTGTGCCGTTGTTCCAATCGTAGGTACTTCTGTTGAATCCAGCGCTATACCAAGGGGAATCTGGAGAGAGTTTTGAGAAAGATTGTCCGTTAACGTACATTTCAAAGGTGTGATCTTCTTCAGGAGCAGCTATTGAGCAAGTTATAGAGCTTCCTTGTCCTATTATTGCATTTTGAGCTTTGGGACCTCTGATGTGGAAAATCACCTCTGTTTCTGAAATAGAATTCAAGTTTAACGGCTTATAATTTATTTTGATAAAGTTTAAAACGGCGAGTTTAAAACAGATTTTAAATTCAAATTTGTATGAAACTACTCTGCCCTATATTCCCGCTAAATCTACCAGAGAGGTCGACTGTGCCCTATATTCCCGCTAAATCTACCAGAGAGGTCGACTGTGCCCTATATTCCCGCTAAATCTACCAGAGAGGACTGTGCCCTATATTCCCGCTAAATCTACCAGAGCCCTATATTCCTGCTAAATCTATCTAGGAGGTGTTTTACCTGTTTGGTTATCAGTTGAGTTATCTGACTGCAGAGTGATGTTGAGAGAGACGTGTCCGGAGTACTTGTAGGATGTGCAATATATTGAAGTGTCGTTGTGACCTGCTGTAAAGTTGTTAACCAACCCCTCTATGTCAGTAGAAATTGTGCCGTTGTTCCAATCGTAGGTACTTTTGTTGAATCCAGCGCTATACCAAGGGGAATCTGGAGAGAGTTTTGAGAAAGATTGTCCGTTAACGTACATTTCAAAGGTGTGATCTTCTTCAGGAGCAGCTATTGAGCAAGTTATAGAGCTTCCTTGTCCTATTATTGCATTTTGAGCTTTGGGGCCTCTGATGTGGAAAATCACCTCTGTTTCTGAAATAGAATTCAAGTTTAACGGCTTATAATTTATTTTGATAAAGTTTAAAACGGCGAGTTTAAAACAGATTTTAAATTCAAATTTGTATGAAACTACTCTGCCCTATATTCCCGCTAAATCTACCAGAGAGGTCGACTGTGCCCTATATTCCCGCTAAATCTACCAGAGAGGTCGACTGTGCCCTATATTCCCGCTAAATCTACCAGAGAGGACTGTGCCCTATATTCCCGCTAAATCTACCAGAGCCCTATATTCCTGCTAAATCTATCTAGGAGGTGTTTTACCTGTTTGGTTATCAGTTGAGTTATCTGACTGCAGAGTGATGTTGAGAGAGACGTGTCCGGAGTACTTGTAGGATGTGCAATATATTGAAGTGTCGTTGTGACCTGCTGTAAAGTTGTTAACCAACCCCTCTATGTCAGTAGAAATTGTGCCGTTGTTCCAATCGTAGGTACTTCTGTTGAATCCAGCGCTATACCAAGGGGAATCTGGAGAGAGTTTTGAGAAAGATTGTCCGTTAACGTACATTTCAAAGGTGTGATCTTCTTCAGAAGCAGCTATTGAGCAAGTTATAGAGCTTCCTTGTCCTATTATTGCATCTTGAGCTTTGGGACCTCTGATGTGGAAAATCACCTCTGTTTCTGAAATAGAATTCAAGTTTAACGGCTTAAGATTCATTTTGGTAAAATTTAAAACGGCGAGTTTAAAAACAGATTTAAATTCAAATTTTTGTGAAACTAACTTATACTTCTTAAATTAAATTACGGATCATCAAATAAAGCTAATAATCAGTGACCTATGTAAGATTCTTAACAGGTTAATATGTTTTAATGTTCAAAAAGTGCATAAAAACACACTGAAACTATTTCAATTACCATTAGCAGCACCACATTCGAATGATTCGCATTTTTTGGATATTTTCTTCTCCACTTTAGCACAAATTTTCCTCTCCTTCTTCTTCATCTTCTCAACTGTTGTTGTGCAGTTCTTGAAGATTTTCGCTTGGTAACCTCTCTCAAGACAATTTTCTAATATTGGCACATTTTTCTTGCAAAACTTACTGCCGGCCTCAGCAGCCACTGAGAGGAACACCAGACCAAGAATTAGCTTTACAGATAACATAGTCATTGTTCTGAAAAAAGTCAACAATCAACAGAATGGTTAAAATTAGACTTATTTCATTTGAAAAATAACTGAAATCCCAGATTATTTTAACTGCTGAATTAGTGACTTGTGTTGAAGAAAATTGTGAAATTTAAACTTTTCAGACTATTTTGTAAAATAACGAAATTCTACTTAAATACTTAAATTAAAACGTGTATCAAATTCAACAAGTGGGATATAAGGAAATGGTACGAATGTCACCGCATGGGAGTTGGCACACTTTATAATTCGAACATCTCACTGGAAAAGTCAAACTGAAGTCCAATGTGGCCAGGTGGAGGGGGGGGGGGGGGGAGCTGAAAGCTCTAGTTTAAGCTAATTATATTTACAAAAACTGGCACTATCCAAAAAGCCCGACGCTCAGTAAAACGGTGGAATTTGACCGACACGTAATAAGGTAATATCTAGAGCATGTGGGCCGAACCAGCCAAATAGCAGATGATTGAGAAGTATAAGGGGGGTGGGGGGGGGGGGGGGGGGCGGGGGGTTGTGATGAACAATACCTCTTTTTTGTATTGAAACTCATCTGCAGCTGAATTATCTGTGCAAACATTCCATTGTTCACCTGATCTTTCCTCTTTCTTCAAGATTAAATTAAATTACGGTACAAACACAGGTGTGATTAACACAGGTGTGTTTGATAAAAGGAGTTTTATTGAACTCTCCAGTTTTATAGAGCTAAATTCCTAGTTGTTAATAACACCTGTACCTGCCGAGTTCCCATTATTTAACTATCCCTTTATTAAATTGTTAGAGATTAGAACAACTAATGATCTTTCAAGCCTCAAAATCTTTTAAATTCTAAATCAACGTTCAAATGTGTAAATATTAAGACAATGTTCTATGTTGGCTGAGAAACCTTCCAGAGAAGATAGTGATTAGTCTCTGATAAATTTATGATAATTCTGTGTATGCGACAAAGCGAAAATTATCTTTTAAGGTAAAGGAAACTGTTCAACGTTTCAATGTGGCTACATCATATTCATGTTCTAAAAAGATTATAATCAAAAATTCAAAACGTAAAAAATATTAATCGGATGCAAAATTAGTGTACTAAAAATTAATAACGTTAAATTCAAATAACTAAATCCAAAAAGTCTTGAAACAAAATTATTTCAACATCCAATGAACATACGACGCCAGACGTTTCTAGAAAATTATACAACCCTGAATAAATAAGAAATACTGTACAGAAAGGATAGTGATGTTAAAAATAATAATGCTACTTGTGTTAATAGGATTATATTATTGTTTTACATTGTTATATTATACACTATTTAACAACCAGCCCCCCAGGAAGCACAGTTTCAATAGTTGGGTTGCAGTACACTAAACTCAAACCCGGAACTAAACGCTACGTCTTAGAGGCGGTAAGTTTCCTATCAGTTATATCAGGGGGGGGGGGGGGGGGGGGGGGGGGGGGCCGGGCCGGGGGCAGATCAAGAGTTTACATTTAATTGATAGAATATAACGTATTTTGCTTCTAGTCTTTAGAAATTATTATAAGTGCCATGCTACTTTTGTTACTATGATATAAATGTTATTTTATTGTAGGGTTTGAGAAAGAGCTAACTTAACACGTCACGTGTTAGCCTATTTGAATATTAAATATCTGTAGCAACCAAATATTTTATTATTATTATTATCGAACTTTACACAAATCCAAAGTAGTTACTAAGAACATCCTAAAGACCTGATAAGTCTACTTTCAGAAAGACTTGCAGAACTGAAAACTTACTATAAATGCAAAAAATGTAACTTAAAACTGAAATTATCAAACTAAACAAATTCAAAATAAATTTCTCCACAATTGGCGGTTCGAGGCTAATTGTGGAGAAATTTAACCCTTATAATTATCGGGGATAATTTTTCTCCGCCCCACCTATCTTCTGGTTTTATCTGTTACTAATGAAATAAGTCAGTGGTCGTTCGAAATCCAAGGAGGCTAGTAATTGTTAAATTGCCAATTTAGATTATATTTTAGAGCAAGCTCAAGTTTTATAAGCTTTAATGTGGTTAAAGAAGTGTCTAATCTAGTTAGACGCTACAATAATCACTTGTAGGGGGGGGGGGGGGTGTAACAATTATAGCTCGCTAGTTTGTAATTACCTGCCACTTCCACCACCCTTCACATGAGGTAACAGAGTCCCAGATATTGGGTCTCCTGTGTAGTAATAACCACTCTGAGAGCATTAGTAGGATTAACAGGCTCACTAGCTATACAAACTACGTGCTGTGTGGTTGTAAGATAAATAAAGTAATTCCCAGGTTACAGGCTCTAATCACTGAAATATAAGGAATCTTGATAGTTAAGATGTACAATATATAATATCAAGTATATAAGTATATAATAGTATATGGACACGTTCATTTGAGTTTGAGGATATTGGTAAATATAAGTGACCCTATTAAAAGGCACAGTGTAGTTGACTTAGTCACACTATGAAATTACACAAACCCTTGATGGTTAGGATAATCGTCTCATCCTCTAGGCTAACTTTGTCACATAACGATATCTTAATCAGGTGATAAGATATCGCTTAAATACGGCCGGCACGGAAATGGTTACATTGTCACACTATAAACATGTGACAGTGTAAATATGGACCCCTTGCTGCCGTTTTTGAACAAAATTTTGAGTGTCCAGTTGATTGGATGGGTACATATGACCATTACCTACATATTTGAAGACTTTTTTCGTTAGATGGTGCACTCAGGTTTACTCTGTCACACATTTAAGAAAATATGTGAACAATGTTTAGGGAACCCTGATAAGCAATGCTGAGTAGTGTAGGTTTAGTTAATGGCCTGGAAGTGCTAGGAATTGTTATTATATCATATAGTCGCAAGGAATTAAAACACAGAAGGCACAGACAAGTTTACTTTGTCACATAATCTTGATGATATCTGAACATGTGTGAAATTGAACAAATAATGATATACCAGCTTAAACCCTTTGTATTACGTACTATGGATCAAACAACACTGCTAGTACCATGCACCAGTCACATAAATCATTATCGAGTGGTAATATGTTAACAGTGTCACAATTAAACTACCGCAACATGGTCAAAAATAGGGTAATTTTGTCACAAACAAATTATTATAACTCTGTCAGCTCCTTGCTGGCAAAATAACTAGTTTATCGAAATTTTTTTGATGATAAAATTACATAGTATTCTAATAGAGGTATAGTTCTTCAAAATAGGGGCAAGACATGTTTACTTTGTCACATCAGTTATTATAAGAGTTAGGTAATCGTCATCAGATTAACCGATCTTTTTCGTAGTATGGATCGATTAATATAGGCAATAAAGCATCCTAATTCCTATGCCAATTTTAACACACTATCTTGATATTGTTGGGGCAGGAAAAGGTAATTTTGTCACATTTTTAGTGACTTTGAAAAATTTAACCTAAAATTGCTAAACTTGAGCTCTGATGTTCTGGACAATATTCTACCAATCGTTTCTGAAAGAGTATTGAATTCTAATACAGTTATAGATCTTCAAAATAGGGGCAAGACATGTATACTTTGTCACATCAGTTATTATTAGAGTTAGGTAATCGTCATCACATTAACATATATTCTTTTGTAGTTTGGATTGATTTATTTAGGTAATAAAGCAGCCTATGCTAATTTTTACACACTATCTTGAAATTGTTGGGGCAGGAAAAGTTAATTTTGTCACATTTTTAGTGACTTTGACAAATTTAACCTAAAATTGTTAAACTTGAGCTCTGATGTTCTGGACAATATTCTACCAATTTTTTCTGAAAGAATGTTGAATTCTAAAAGAGTTATAGAATATGTAGATCTTCAAAATAGGGGCAAGACATGTTTACTTTGTCACATCAGTTATTATAAGAGTTATTATAAGAGACTATTTCATTATATATTCATTGTTTTTAACCTATTTACGATTTCATATAATTTTTTGTGACAATGTAAACATCAACTGATCTTAACTTGCATCAACTACATTGTCATCATGTAAAGTTTTTCCGCCTTTCAAACCAAAATCAGATATAAATAATTCGCCCAAAATTTTAAATTCCATATATTGTGACAGAATTGACCTCATTTCCCAATAACCAAGTGCCTGTAATAGCTAACTATTCAAAGCAACATATTTTAGGGCTATGGTTGTTACTCCGTACTTGGTAGATCAACCATCAAATAATGAGTAAAAAGGGTTTTGAGGACACCTCACAGTAGAATAGAGGTATGGTATTCTGAGTGTGACAAAGTTACCTAAATATTGCCTTGTAACCGTTCGATCCGTGCCCTTTAACCAATGTTGTATCATAATTGTTAGATTGACCTAATCTACTATGTTTCAGACCAAGGAATGATAATTAGACAACTGCGGTTAACTAAGTCACAAAAATGTGACATTTGAAACATTATAGTGCCTAACAACAATAGATTTTCTTTCTGAGCAGTGCATATGGGAGTATGGGTTACGTGGCTAATGTTCAGAACTTCTGAACGTGCTAGGTTAATAGATGTCAAAATTAAGCCACTATCGTCAAAAACGCTATTATTTTTGTTTACCAATATCCTCAAACTCAAATGAACGTGTCCATATATATATAAGTATATATTCCATAATTTTGATATCTTTCCACAAATTTTGAAATCGTGAAACCCATATCTCAGTTATAATAATTATCCGTTACAGGTAAATGTGGAACAGATCACCTCCCCAGTTCCTCGCTCCATACCTCGCTCTATAAAGGATATCTACTCAGTGAGGGAGAGGTCGCCATGGCAACTACTTTCTCTACTTGCTTTCTGTGTTACACCCCAGTCTCTCCCTCAGGGTGCTTACCATACTGTCAAACAGGTACTTAATGTTTAACAATGTGTGTTATAGCAATGTAGCTTACTACGAGGACCAAAAGTTTTTGATAATTCTCTGTTTTGACTTTAAGTTTTTTTTAAAGCGTACTGAGAGACTCCCTAACTCCCAGCTGCTGTTGCTGAGCCTGATAAGGACGGGTCCTGTAAGGGACCCCACCTCCCCTCTCTATCTGCCCACTAACTCCCTAACTCCCAGCTGCTGCTGCTGAGTCTGATAAGGACGGGTCCTATAAGGGACCCCACCTCCCCTCTCTATCTTCCCACTAACTCACTAACTCCCAGCTGCTGCTGCTGAGCCTGATAAGGACGGGTCCTGTAAGGGACCCCACCTCCCCTCTCTATCTGCCCACTAACTCACTAACTCCCAGCTGCTGCTGCTGAGTCTGATAAGGACGGGTCCTATAAGGGACCCCACCTCCCCTCTCTATCTGCCCACTAACTCACTAACTCCCAGCTGCTGCTGCTGAGCCTGATAAGGACGGGTCCTGTAAGGTACCCCACCTCCCCTCTCTATCTGCCCACTGCTCACCCCGACCACCTCCCCTCTCTATCTGCCCACTAACTCACTAACTCCCAGCTACTGCTGCTGAGCCTGATAAGGACGGGTCCTGTAAGGGACCCCACCTCCCCTCTCTATCTGCCCACTAACTCCCTAACTCCCAGCTACTGCTGCTGAGCCTGATAAGGACGGGTCCTGTAAGGGACCCCACCTCCCCTCTCTATCTGCCCACTAACTCCCTAACTCCCAGCTACTGCTGCTGAGCCTGATAAGGACGGGTCCTGTAAGGGACCCCACCTCCCCTCTCTATCTGCCCACTAACTCACTAACTCCCAGCTGCTGCTGCTAAGTCTGATAAGGACGGGTCCTGTAAGGGACCCCACCTCCCCTCTCTATCTGCCCACTAACTCCCTAACTCCCAGCTGCTGCTGCTGAGCCTGATAAGGACGGGTCCTGTAAGGGACCCCACCTCCCCTCTCTATCTGCCCACTAACTCACTAACTCCCAGCTGCTGCTGCTGGGTCTGATAAGGACGGGTCCTGCAAGGGACCCCACCTCCCCTCTCTATCTGCCCACTAACTCACTAACTCCCAGCTGCTGCTGCTGAGTCTGATAAGGACGGGTCCTGTAAGGGACCCCACCTCCCCTCTCTATCTGCCCACTAACTCACTAACTCCCAGCTGCTGCTGCTGAGCCTGATAAGGACGGGTCCTGTTACCTGTAAGGGACCCCACCTCCCCTCTCTATCTGCCCACTAACTCACTAACTCCCAGCTGCTGCTGCTGAGCCTGATAAGGACGGGTCCTGTAAGGGACCCCACCTCCCCCCTCTATCTGCCCACTAACTCACTAACTCCCAGCTGCTGCTGCTGAGTCTGATAAGGACGGGTCCTGTAAGGGACCCCACCTCCCCTCTCTATCTGCCCACTAACTCACTAACTCCCAGCTGCTGCTGCTGAGTCTGATAAGGACGGGTCCTGTAAGGGACCCCACCTCCAGCTCCCCTCTCTATCTGCCCACTTACTCACTAACTCCCAGCTACTGTTGCTGAGTCTGATAAGGACGGGTCCTATAAGGGACCCCACCTCCCCTCTCTATCTGCCCACTAACTCACTAACTCCCAGCTGCTGCTGCTGAGTCTGATAAGGACGGGTCCTATAAGGGACCCCACCTCCCCTCTCTATCTGCCCACTAACTCACTAACTCCCAGCTGCTGCTGCTGAGTCTGATAAGGACGGGTCCTATAAGGGACCCCACCTCCCCTCTCTATCTGCCCACTAACTCACTAACTCCCAGCTGCTGCTGCTGAGTCTGATAAGGACGGGTCCTATAAGGGACCCCACCTCCCCTCTCTATCTGCCCACTGCTCACCCCGACCATCACCCCTCTCTCAACCTGCTCCTCCAGTCCCCTCACACTCTACACTCCTCTCGTCTCCTAGCTCTCATGGCTCTGTTAACTGATGTGCAGGTTTAGTTCTAGTGTGCTACTTTGTTAAATATACATGTATTTAGGTATTAATATTTGGGTTATTTTTTACATGAATTTTGAAATGTAATAATTTATCTATAATTTAAAACAAAAATCGAACTGTTTGACCTATTTGTTAGATTTTAAGGCCATTCAAAATTTGGACATAAGTCTTGAAACACCTGCACCCTGTACTTGTAGATTCCTAAGAAGTTTTATTACTTTAAAATCCCCTGTAAGTGAAAATCATAATATGAATTTGCTGAAGGAAAATTACAATTGTTATCCTTAATGTAGATTTTCCAGGCCTTTAAAAGTATGAACACTCTGGGTGGAGTGAGAGATGGGAACACACTTCACGCGGGGCTATTAACCACCTCATCTGGTTTGTAGATTATAAGTTACTACCTACATGTTGCTTTAAGTTGCTTGAATATAGATTGTAACTATTTATCACACACACAGATATTTAACTATTTATTGTTGTTATTTATATACTAGTTTAAAACCCGTGCCCACGGCAGGGACTTCACTATCGCAGTTGAAATGCAAAAGTATAAACCCGCCGCGCCTATCACCTTAATAACACCAGAATGTGTGTGTGTGTGTGTGTCTGTCTGTCTGTGTGTAATTTCCGGTCGGTTACACAAAAAAAGCGGTAAGAGTTACGGGACTGGTTTTTTCGGTATAGTGCCGACAAAACTCTGATGAAGCCCATACGAAATTTTTTTTTAAATCGGCCGGTGGTAAGTGGTTTAATTGATGGTTTTGTACCACAAATGTTACATAAAATTGCTTGAGCAGAACAGCTAGAGTTACGGGGCTTGCTCTCTCTCTCTCATTACTGTATTATATGTGATAGCTGCATTTAAGTAGCGTCATAATTGGATTAGCCCGGAATATTCGCTGTAATGTAATACCATAAGCTTATTAGGGGAGGAGGACTGTTAGTGTTTGGGTTCTGTTTGGACCGCATGAGAGAGAGAGTTCATACGACAATGTTATGCGTGTTTTCAAATATAATATGCGGGTGTGGTGCGGAGTTAACAAGGGTTAATTTCTATAACGATTTAAAGAAAAATAGAAAGCGGTTCAAGAATCAAGACGGGAGTGATAAGGTGTAATACTCGGTCCCGGTGTTCAGACCTTATGATCATGGAGTGTGGTGCCTCATGGCTAATAATGACTGAAATATCCACAAGAAATAACTGATTATGAGATTATTGTTTAAGAAACTATTGGGTCACCTAATGCGGATTTTGACTCAGCGGGTAATTACTCCTACCCTTTTTAACTGCGGCAGTGAAATCCCGGCCGTAGGCCGGGTTACACTAGTTATATAATATATTCGAAAACATGCATCACATTTTCGTAGTTAAAACGGTGCAAAAGTATGAACTCGCTCAGTCCAAACACACCGCAATTTAATTGTGAATGCCTCTCACATATCTAATAGTAATAAGTGATAGGCAATCTTGAGGTCCCCTGCCAAATTACCTAATTATATAGTAAATCTGTAGTAACTATAAGGGGAGAGAGGTTGAGTAAGTGAGACACTTTAGTATCACAATTCACATTTGGGTAAAAAATGATCAATTAAACCACTTACCACCGGCCGATTTAAAAAACCTTATTCATGTGGCTCGGTTAGAGTTTTGTCGGCACTATACCGAAGAAATCAGCCCCGTAACTCTTACCGTTTTCTTGATAAAGCCGTTCGAAAATTACACGCGAACGAAAACACACATCTTGATATTATTAGTATAGATTATTAATTTACATATTAATTATTCAATCATATACAACTAATTCTAACTACTGTATTGATACAGGTGGTGTAGCAGTGGTTAGTGATGTGGATCTAATGAAGAAGGAAGATGTGCTCTTATTAACATCTACTCTTCAAAACAGAGCTGTCATTATCGGCAAGAAGAAAACTGAAGTAATCCCTATTAATTTAAACATTGTACCCCCCCCCCCCCTGTAGCTGTGCACATTGTACCCCCCCCCCCCCTGTAGCTGTGCACATTGTACCCCTCCCCCCCCATATCATGTAGCTGTGCACATTGTACCACCTGTGGCCTGTAGCTGTGGACATTGTACCCCCCTGTAGCTGTGCACATTGCACCCCCCCTGTAGCTGTGGACATTGTACCCCCCTGTAGCTGTGCACATTGTACCCCCCTGTAGCTGTGCATATTGTACCCCCCCTGTAGCTGTGCACATTGTACCCCCCTGTAGCTGTGCACATTGTACCCCCCTGTAGCTGTGCATATTGTACCCCCCTGTAGCTGTGCACATTGTATCCCCCCTAGCCTGTAGCTGTGCATATTGTACCCCCCCCCCCCCTGTAGCTGTGCATATTGTACCCCCCTGTAGCTGTGCACATTGTACCCCCCCCCCCTCCTGTAGCTGTGCAAATTGTACCCCCCCCCCTGTAGCTGTGCACATTGTACCCCTCTTTCGTGCGCACTATGTGTTGTCTGGCCCTTGTTTTGCACAGTAAAATTACTAGTCACTTCAGTAGTGTTAACCTCAGATATTCCCCCTGGAATGTGCTATTTGGGGTTATCAGTCTAACACAACAAAGTCATCTACTTCTGCCTGGGACATTGTATATAAGGTACCATGATTACTCTTTACACTGTTACACTGTTACACTGTTACACTGTTTCGCATTACTCACTACACATTACATATTAAACTGTTACACTGTGTCATGTGTTACACTATATATAGGTTACAAAGGAATGCGACGAGACTGCAAGTATTGAGAATGTTCTAGAAGGAAGTACTGAAAGTTTACTACCTGAGGTAGATGTTAAGGCTTACTTAGCACTCGCCTCTACCATCTGTGTGCAGGTTTTATATGTTTTAATGTTTTCTGATTAGGCGTAACATTTATATTACAGGTGTAACATTTATATTATAAAGATTTTGCAGCTGTTTTTATTAACTTTCACTGCAAAGTTGTTAAAGTGTGTAAGTTATTATTTGTTTTCAGTATGATAAGAGTTGCACGAGGCTGATAGCAGGATACTGCCAGGCCTCTAAGTCAGTTAGATACGGTAGTGACTGTGAACAACCACAGCATGCCTCCTATACACTTCACCTGTTGGCGGGAAACCACTCCAGGATCAACTTTAGGGATATTGTGAGTTAAAGCTCCTGGTTCGTTAAACCTGTTAAACAGTTTGTCTCAATAGATAGTTTTGTTTGACGCTATTTTGTGTGATGGTAGGTAGTATAGACCTTGTTACAGTGTTGATTACAGGTACTGGATGTTGATGCAGTGGCCGCTATAAAACTGTACGAAGAGAGCTTATTGTCGTCTCAACATTACTCCTCTGTACACATAACGACCTCCACTCACATAAATCCAGGTTATTATTAGATAATTAATAATTAGATAATTAATAACTAGATAATTAATAATTAGGGCAGGGTAAATTAGGACAAACTTTACTGTCACTGCGCTTCAATGCTGAAGTATTGTAAATACTTGTTGTTTATTGATAAAACTTTGGTGGAAACAATCTGCATATTGTTACAAATCCCCCTCCCCCCCGCCCCCCCCCCCCAACATATAATAATATGACAATGTACATAATACTGTTACAAGGCGACGAAGATGAGTATTTAGGTGACAATGTAGACGGAGCAATGGAACAGTTTTACTCCAAATTAGTTCAGTTCTGTTCGACTCATATTGCTGGATTCTCTCCTCATAACGAAGATTGAAATATTATGTTACTTATGCATTATGTTACAAGAATTTTCTGTTATATAAAAGTTGTCTCAATTCATATACTTACTTACTTTCATTATAGAATTAAAATTGTAATTATATGAGTTTAAATTCTGAAATTTCGGTTTTAACATTTTTGTGTATAATTCTATTATTTATCACACAACGGTTCAGATATTATGACTATGGTTAACAATTTTTGTTGAAAATTATGTGAATTTTGTAATTTTGTAACAGCATGTTTCATTGTTTGCGTATTCTCTAATACCTTAGTAACATCATGTTTCATTGTTTGCGTCTTCCCTAATACCTCAGTAACAGCATGTTTCATTGTTTGCGTATTCCCTAATACCTTAGTAACAGCATGTTTCATTGTTTGCGTATTCCCTAATACCTTAGTAACAGCATGTTTCATTGTTTGCGTATTCCCTAATACTTCAGTAACAGCATGTTTCATTGTTTGCGTATTCCCTAATACCTCAGTAATGTTCAGGCTGAATTATCTGAGCTCTTGGGCATTAAGTTGAAGGAGCGTGTCCCTTGATCCAGCTCACTAATTACACGTGTCTAGACCACTGCCTCCCCACACAGCAACATGTCGGGCTAGTTAAAGTTCCAGAAACTGGACACTTTATCTGCCAATAGAGTTCCCTAAAGATTTTTAACACAGCGTCACGGTAACTGCATGTTGCAAAATAGCACCTGCCTAATGATCGGACACCAACGCTCTAACAATGTTTAGTGATTCCAAGCGGGGCCTAATAGCTCGCCTCATGTTTGATTTGTTTTCAGTTCTCAAGTTAAATCCGAACCTCTGTTGTAAAATAAATCGACGAATTATCAACTAATACTGTCTAAAATCTTAATTCAACTTTATCGGGATTATCTATAATTTATGAATAATATCGGCCTCTATAATACTTCTTATTTGCATGTGACAAATCATTTATACATTTCATCATAAAATACACATAAAATTCAAACACGCCAATAATTCTGACACCCTGCTGTATGAGTCTATCTGTTGTTGCTAGTAATTCTAAAGTTAAAAGGTTAAAGTGCATATCAACGCACTAAACTACGAAGTAAGGAGTGTGTGAACGAGTTGGCCTGCAAGTGTTTGCACTATTATACCAGGTTACCAGGTTACCAGGTTGTATACCAGGTTACTGGTATTACTGAGATCCTCTTCAACCAGGATATTATTACCCTGCTATTATACCTTCTTCTTACTTTACAATAGTTCACAGTTTCATTGTGTCCCTCCAAACTATCTCTTCTATTTCCTCTTCTAATTCCACTTCTATTTCCACTGTTGTTTATCTGAATTTATCTCTTCTTTTCAAATTATTGTTATCTGTACCAGCCAGAACTTAACACAATTCAATTTTATTGATCAGCTTCGACAAAATCGTAAAAGAACGAACACAGAGAAGGACTAGAGTAACTCACTAAAAATGTGTATGATATCTGTGTAGCTAAGTTCTCTTAGCCAGTATCTATGGACATTCCCAACTGAGTGAAACTATATCAGGAGGTGGTTAACATGTGACTGCTCACGAGCTGAGGAAAGCAGCTACAGTTGACACGTGAAACGAGAAGCATTGCTCGAAATAACCCGTCTGATTTTCCGGGCATTGTGCCTCTCGTGTCTCTTGTGTCTCTTGTGTTTCTATACCATTTTAGAATCTGCGCGCTAACACCAAACGATTTCCATGCGAACCAACGTGGTTAACCGACGCGCACATATAGAAATTAGGGAGCATGTTTTGGCGGCAGCATCGTATTTCATATCAATGTCGGCTAACAATTTGTCTCTTGTTAGCAATATGTTAGGAACTAACAAAGACCCCAGAACGGCCCATACCAACAGAAATGACTACGAGCTTTTCCTGCAAGCCTTTCAGAAACCCACTCAAATATACAAACTTCTTGGCTACAGGCACTGTGTCAATGTGAGTTGAGATATCAGTATTTTAGTTACTTTAACATGTTTGATTTGTTCTATTGGAACATATAAGTATTGAAATCGGATAATAATATCACTCAGTAAAAATTTCTATCCGTGATACATTCAGCCTCTGTTCCTGCACCGCACATTGTCCTACATGAGACACAGACATGTTCCAGTTAGGAGACAGCACAAATCAATAGAGACACTTGTTAAAGAGCTCAACAAAAAGGTAATTAGCATTATTACACGGTTGATGGTAGGGTTTATCGTGTCGCCTTTTAGAGTTAACTTCATGTATTATAATATAGAGTATATATTAGACATATATTATAAATTGAGTTTGTAGCGTATATATGACGCTTTGCCCTTGTCAGAGGGTCTATCATTATGAGTTTAGATTGAAATTGGCTAATCTCCTCTGAATTGAATACAAATAACACACGTTATTGCCGACGTTTCGCCCCCATGGCTTCTTCAAGGCGGAACAAAAACTTTGTTACATAGTGACCTGGTAAATATCCAAATTAATACATAAAACTCTGAGAAACATTAAAAATAAATGGGAAGATTCTAAGCGGTAGAAAATTTTTAAAGCAAAAGATAGATGTTAGGCCAAAGAATCTAGAACTGTCCAATATTTGAGAGCTAGACCAACGTACACAGAACAGCAACGAAAATAGCTTCCTACTCCCTAACATTTTCGGGGAAACTGAAAGGGTGCCACGTACATATATTATGATGACATTTACATAATAGCCCATGTGGTCTTTTGCCACGAGTCTGCTTCAGGTGAGAGCTGAGTGTTTATTTTAGAACAAGATTTCACATACAGTGAAGCTGAACCAGGAGATAGACCATCAAATCTCATGCCTGTGTATTGCTGGAACAGGTATGTTGATGACTGTATCACTATAGGGGAAGGAACAGAAAATGACGTCAGTCAACTCTTTAAGTATGTTAACACGCTTAACCCGAAAATTCAGTTCACATATGAAGCTAACCCTAAACAAATAGACTTCTTAGATCTCACTATCCACTTGCAAGAGAACTCAGATAAACCACAATTCGAACTCTTTATAAAACCGACAAGTTTGGGCATATTCCTCAACTACAACTCTGGACATCCGAGAAGTACTATTATGAATAGTGCTAGGAACGAGTTGTTAAGAGCAGTGAGAAATGGGTCTACAGACGAATTCAAACAACGTGGTGTAAATAAAATCAAAGACATGTTACTCTCCAACGATTTTACACCCAGTGTTATAGAGAGGTTGACGAGGGAAATAAACAAAGATAAACCACCTAACCAGACACGACTGAGAATCACACAGTACCTAAGCCTCCCATATGTTAATGAATACCACAAACGGAAAGTATATCAGATTCTACGTCAAAATGATCTATTGGACAAAACCAAAGTATCATTTTATCCGGACAAGAAACTGGGAGAAATACTCACTAGATCAGCACTACACCCTACACCATGTAACAAACAGAGTGCTTCAAAGTGCTATGATTGTGATGATCTATGTATGCAGAAGAACATAGCGTACAAACTGACATGCAATATCTGCAATGCAAAGTACTGTGGTGAAACAGGCAGGTTCAAACGCAACAGATGCTGGGAACACCTAAAATCTGTAAGGAATAAAAATAACAAGACAGCCATGGGGAAACATTATCTCATGTCACACCCTGAAATAAAAGAAATTCCTATCGAACCATTTAAATTTGAAGTCCTCAAAGTATGTAAGGATTATGCAGACCGAATGATCTGGCAATCACTGTATATCAAGCAGTTACTTCCTAAAAGAAACACTCAGTTCTCACCTGAAGCAGACTCGTGGCAAAAGACCACATGGGCTATTATGTAAATGTCATCATAATATATGTACGTGGCACCCTTTCAGTTTCCCCGAAAATGTTAGGGAGTAGGAAGCTATTTTCGTTGCTGTTCTGTGTACGTTGGTCTAGCTCTCAAATATTGGACAGTTCTAGATTCTTTGGCCTAACATCTATCTTTTGCTTTAAAAATTTTCTACCGCTTAGAATCTTCCCATTTATTTTTAATGTTTCTCAGAGTTTTATGTATTAATTTGGATATTTACCAGGTCACTATGTAACAAAGTTTTTGTTCCGCCTTGAAGAAGCCATGGGGGCGAAACGTCGGCAATAACGTGTGTTATTTGTATTCAATTCAGAGGAGATTAGCCAATTTCAATCTAAACTCATAATATATTATAAATATTAAATAGTACCAATAATTTTCAATTTTCCTACATTACATATCTTTTCTTTAGGCAACCGCTGAGGAGCGGAACAAATCTAGAGAGGGCAGCTACAAAATCTCCATCACTGGCATCGACAATAAAAGTGAGTGGACGTGGGTATTTCAGCAGACAGGTGTTGTTTACTGCTTTATCTGGATCATTATTTATCTACGTGATTATCAGAAATTTAACTGCTTTGTTTGGAGTCGTTCACATATTACGTAATCATTTTTTGGAACATTTTTACCCCCCCCCCCCCCCCTCCGTAATCAGTTTTACACATAGCTATTGTTGCAAAATTACACTAGCGTAATCATTCGGAAACCCCCCCCCCCCCCCCCCAGCTGATTTCGTAATATGTGAACGACCCCTTACGATAGTTGAAATTTCAGTCCTCGATTTTATAATGATCCATTGATACCGTCAGCAGTTCGCTTGAAGAAAGAAGATTTTGTTCCATTTTAATATTTGCTTTTCAGCAAACCCAGCAAAGAGCACAGAGACGTACGATATCCAGCTGTTTTTACATAAGATAACCAACAAAGACAAATCGGTAGGTCTGCTTTCATTGTGCAACTATTTGATAACAAGTTTGTTTTTGAAAAGTAACCATGATTTAATGTAGTTGACTGTAAAGTTTGAGTAAATGTTGGTTTCGCTAAGGTACATTCCTGGAGGAGCATGAATAACACCTGTTATTTTACAGGAGAAGACTGTTGGGAGGAAGCTAACTTTACAACATAAACTACAAATTGTACAACTTTTCGAGAAAAATCCGAACTTGGCGGTGTCAACTGTCGCTAGAGATTTCGGTAAGTTGCCGGATTACCGTGGATGGATTTTATTATATAGTTTACTATTTACATTTTAATTTAATGTTGTGTGAAACGTGAGGAAAACGTAATATAAACTTATTTTGAACTTAAGTGAGTAACTTAGGATTTTAAGGATTGTTAACATCCAGCACATAATATTCTGTTGTTGTTTGTTTCATCAAATTTTACCACCATTTTGGAATGACCATACCCGTTCGGTTTCAAATTAATAAATAATATTAATAGAGTAAACTGGGTAAGTAACAATAAGAAACAAGAAATTTGTTGTCTTGTTTATTCCTCCTTCTCCTCCTCCCCCGCCCTGCTTGCATACATTGTGTAGGCGTAGTCACTCACACCTATGTTGTTGTTCCTGTGGGGAAATGAGTTATAAAAACTTATAATACATAGTACAGTAGTTATATATTATTGTCATACTAGATTAGACATTAGACATTTATAATATATCCCAAAAAAACTTAAGTTACAGTGAGACACACCAATAAAATTTTATAATCTATTATATATCTAATATTTATATATTGAAAGAAAACTTTAATAGGTGTTCGTATGTTGGTTAGGTTTGCTAAATTACAATACCGAGATGTAACCTACTTGGATCTGGAGTGTTGGAAGTAACCCCTCTGGCCCCACCCGGATCCCCAGCTGTTTCTCAGCTCCCAGTAGCTGGAAGTGTACCCTACAGCCACCACGATGTGGTTCATTGCTCGTGGACCGTGGTTCTGAGGCCTTAAAACTCCTGCGGAGGGGGTTATTCTACCTTAGTTCAAATATTCTACTACTTTACTGCTAAGTTCAAATATTCAACTACTTTACATACCCCCCCCCCCCCCCCCCCCCACTTTAAATACCCCGGCCCCCCACGTTTGAGGTAACAATGTTGGTACCTGATTTGTACGCCTCTACAGACACCCCGTGGAAGTTGTACAGAAGTACCGCTACAGGTCCTCTAGATATAGCACTAGCTAGGTTACTGTCACCACGAGCCTGCCAGATCCTGGTCACTCTGATCTGCATAGCGTTCTGGTAGTTGTTGGCATAGCAACGCTGCTTGCTAGTTCGGTATCTGAACAGAGAGCGGCACTAACATTAAAGTTGCTATTAACTAGTAAAAGCTGAATAATGTTGCTTATATTCTGATCAGATAATATTTTCTACACCGCAATCCCCTGATATCCGCTTACACCATCTCCTGCTGTTCAGTAACCAGACAGACTGCATAGATGAAAATAAGTTCAAAAAGTGACACCTTAACTTACCTGAACATTTTAAACTAAGGAAAAGGGCTATTTAGGTATTTATTTACAGTGGTGCTAACTTGTATTGAGAGTTGGTAGCGAGCGGCACTAACCTACACTAACTTGTATTGAGAGTTAGTAGCGAGCGGCACTAACCTACACTAACCTGTATTGAGAGTTAGTAGCGAGCGGCACTAACCTACACTAACTTGTATTGAGAGTTGGTAGCGAGCGGCACTAACCTACACTAACCTGTATTAAGAGTTGGTAGCGAGCGGCACTAACCTACACTAACTTGTATTGAGAGTTGGTAGCGAGCGGCACTAACCTACACTAACCTGTATTAAGAGTTGGTAGCGAGCGGCACTAACCTACACTAACTTGTATTGAGAGTTAGTAGCGAGCGGCACTAACCTACACTAACCTGTATTAAGAGTTGGTAGCGAGCGGCACTAACCTACACTAACTTGTATTGAGATTTGGTAGCGAGCGGCACTAACCTACACTAACTTGTATTGAGAGTTAGTAGCGAGCGGCACTAACCTACACTAACTTGTATTGAGAGTTGGTAGCGAGTTTGTTAGTGTTTTTGATGTAGTTGAGGGCGTTGTAGTGATAACCTCCTCCACATGAGCCCGCGTTGGAGCAATCTAGAACTTGTTGCTCAGACAGAGCAGTGTAACGACCCGTTAGCATTGATTGGAATCCCTCAGTTACTCCAACTGCTCCAAATGCCCAGCAGCTGCCACATTGGCCTGGGAAAGTGTATATAATTTTGGAGCTTGTTTTCTGTTTTAGTAATCATAACGTTCGAAAGAACAAGGATGGTGACCATAAAAGCAAAACGAAAAGACGAAGAAGACAAAGTACCCTGGTTCTTGACGGCCCCGTATCTGTGTTTGTGAGAGATGGAGGAGCCCCAAGTTGGGCTGTTCCCGTCAGCAACATACTCTTCAACATCCTCCTCCACCTGGAACATAGCTCTACATCATGACGTTATAAACCCTATATATTAGATAGTGGACATCTCATGTATCCCGTTTAGCCCCAGTCAAATACTAAGGAGATTTTATCTTGTTAGAACTGTCATTGAACCAAGTGGTATCGTGCCCCCCCCCTCCCCGGTGTGTTTACAAGCCTGTTCTGTAATGTTGGCTCCGTGGTATTGAACCTTCTCCTCCTCTGTCAGGTCCGCAAAGAATGTAACTCCAACTGTGATCTCTTCTTGATCTTCATTCACTTTAGCTGCCTCCTTCACGAACTTCCTGCAGTTATAGCCAATAACATTTCACCACTGCTAGTGCTGAACAAGAGGCACGCCCCTGTTCCATAGACAGGCCCCGCGGGGTGATATTTACCATGAGATAACGTAGTATCTGTTTAAATACTTCGAACTTGCTAGTAATTATTGTGGACTTGTTTATACTTAGTTAACCAGGATAACCCCCTCCCCCCCCCCCCGGCCCCCCAATAGAGGTACCTGAAGATTCCCATTCTCATCCTAGCCTCCCCATTATTCTGGTAGACTCTGTGATTCTCCTGTCTGAACTGTGTGAAGAGCGCCTGCAGCTTCTGAGGACTGTCAGCTGCTAGTTTTATAGCTTCTCTCTCCTCATCAGCCCCACATAGAGCAACCAACCATAATATTAAGAACAGCTTCTGAAAAGGTTCGTGTTCAAACAATTACAATGACTCCTTGTAATTCTGAAACATCGAACTTAGATTAACCTCGCTGATCTGAATAAGTGTTATTATAAATACACTTATAATAAGTGTTATTAGAGTTATATAATAATATAAATACACTTATAATAAGTGTTATTATAGTCGTTAAGTTTCAAAGAAAAAGAAGGAAATAGCGCGTCTATCCTCAGAGCTAACTGAACCTACCATATTGACGTGATAACAATTAGTAGTGTTGATGATATTTTAGAGATTATAAACGTTCAAACAGGTGCTATATCTAACAAATTCAATAGACTCTAAACAAAGAAAGGCAGACCATGAATCACACCTGAGATATGAAAACTAGCATTTCCCCATTATAAGTGGTAAGATTGGTGCTAGTCAGGTGCTACTCAAAGCGATATTTAACATGTTTTACGAAAATCCTATGTGAAACCCACCTGTGATTTTTAACACTTGAAATCTTAAAATTGGCTCTATCTTTTATATAAGTTAGAAATATTATTTCAAACAATCCGAATTAAATTTGAGGATTGGAAAATGTGAAATTTGTAACTTTTTAAAATTCCAGGACACAGTCACAGCACCGTACGGCTTATTAAAAGTCAATCAGAGGAGATAAAACAAGCTGCTGAAACTGATGCGTCCAGCGAGACAGTAGCATCTGAGGTAACTCTCATAATTATTATAAACAGTGCTACCTCGTTATAACGCGGACCTCAAGCAGTTGTTTATTCTAATTATCTCCAGGTGCCCGGCGAGGAGACGCCGATAGCTAACCTCAAGTTAACTGTGAACGACAAGAAGAGCGCGGCTCGGTCCCCCTCCAAGATACCCTCCGTAACAACGATCAGGTGCTCCACTCTCACTAAACACTCTTCCGGACAAGGCTGCATACTGGAGTTCAGGGTCCTCCTCAGATCTGCTAAATCTACTTCTAGTGAGTATACTGGAGTTCAGGGTCCTCCTCAGATCTACTAAAACTACTTCTAGTGAGTATACTGGAGTTCAGGGTCCTCCTCAGATCTGCTAAATCTACTTCTAGTGAGTATACTGGAGTTCAGGGTCCTCCTCAAATCTGCTAAATCTACTTCTAGTGAGTATACTGGAGTTCAGGGTCCTCCTCAGATCTGCTAAATCTACTTCTAGTGAGTATAAGGGAGTTCAGGGTCCTCCTCAGATCTGCTAAATTTACTTCTAGTGAGTATACTGGAGTTCAGGGTCCTCCTCAGATCTGCTAAATCTACTTCTAGTGAGTATACTGGAGTTCAGGGTCCTCCTCAGATCTGCTAAATCTGCTTCTAGTGAGTATACTGGAGTTCAGGGTCCCCCTCAGATCTGTTAAATCTGCTTCCAGTGAGTATACTGAAGTTCAGGGTCTTCCTCAGATCTGCTAAATCTACTTCTAGTGAGTATACTGGAGTTCAGGGTCCTTCTCAGATCTGCTAAATCTGCTTCTAGTGAGTATACTGGAGTTCAGGGTCCTCCTCAGTTCTGCTAAATCTACTTCTAGTGAGTATACTGGAGTTCAGTGTCCTCCTCAGTTCTGCTAAATCTACTTCTAGTGAGTATACTGGAGTTCAGTGTCCTCCTCAGATCTGCTGAATCTTAAAATCTACTTCTAGTGAGTATACTGGAGTTCAGGGTCCTCCTCAGATCTGCTAAATCTACTTTTAGTGAGTATACGGGAGTTCAGGGTCCTCCTCAGATCTGCTAAATCTACTTTTAGTGAGTATACGGGAGTTCAGGGTTCTCCTCAGACCTGCTAAATCTACTTTTAGTGAGTATACGGGAGTTCAGGGTCCTCCTCAGATCTGCTAAATCTACTTCTAGTGAGTATACGGGAGTTCAGGGTCTTCCTCAGATCTGCTAAATCTACTTCTAGTGAGTATACGGGAGTTCAGGGTCCTCCTCAGATCTGCTAAATCTACTTCTAGTGAGTAGTCGCGTGGCCAGTGTTTGCCGAGGAGGCCTAGATAAAATATTTCGATTTATACGTAAATGCAAGATGTGGTTTTACGTTCATTCTGAAAATGGCACATTGAAATACCACTGCTGAACTATTGAAGTTTCGGAAAAGTTTCAGGCCAAACCCAGTTGTTAATAGTAATACCTTGTATTATCAGAAGAAAACACGCCGTCTAAAAAGAGGAGATGTGTAGAGGAATGGTACTCAGCTGAGCTAGTTGTACAGAATGATACCGGTACTACTGTCCTAGGTCAGTTCTTATAGTTCTTATAGTTCATTTCTATCATTTCAGAGACTTTGCAGAACTATCTCCATATTTTCTATATTATTGTTAAAGATCACCCCCGCTTTATCAGGTGATGGTAGCTACACACTGTTCCTGCGACCTGTCGTCACTGATTCTTGGAAACCTTCACAAGTGTCCTGGGAAACTGTCTCTCCTAAAGAAGAAGAGTCGTTCATTAAATCAGACGGATTGGAGGAGGACGACATTAACAACTGCTGCAGCATCTCATTCGACGTTAAGACGGATAGTTGCGATGTGAGCTCTCTGTCACCTAAGAAGTCACTGTCCCCTAAGAAAGCTAAGAAAGGGGTTGATGTGCCCTCACTGAAGTCTGAAGAAGCAAAAGGTATGTTCTTTATAATTTCTCAGCTTCCAATTACAGCTCATTTCCAAAAGTACCAATCGTGAATCGTCTTTTCTGAATTTTCTTCAAAAATCCCAAAATCTATTCATAAGATTAAATTGAGTAATATAAAATGACTAATAAACCCATCAGGAGTGTTAATGTACAACTTTCTGTACAACGGTAACACTTTACAGCAGACAGAATGTCGGAAGAACAGAGTGTGTCCCTGGTGTTCACTAAACTGCAAAAAGTAACTATTAAACTTTAGGATTAATTTAACTGTCCTACCCAGATCATGGAATCAAATGTTTATAATTATAAATTAGAAGAATTCTACTTTAAAATTACTTTTATATTAGCGATTATATTTATCAGCAAGTAATATATTACCCCCCTCCCCCCTCACTATATACTATACTCAATGTTACAGGTTATACAATTTACTAGAACACATAACTAGATGTCACCCTCGCTTCAAAGTAACTTTTATACCAGGTAATTTGCATTTTTAATGTTCTATATTATGCGGTGTAGTATATTATAAAATTGTATATTTAGTTCCATGTTAAATTTAAGTTTCATTAACAATACAAATAAAGATGGTCCTATGTTGCTAGGTCTGAACGGGTTTGACGAGTTAGACGTTGAAGTAAACGAGCTGGTGAGTATGTCACATCTCCCTCGCCCCGATGAGATCTGTACTGTCCCTATATTTAGCGGTCCTAACAAACGTGAACCTTTCCAGTTACAGATGCTCGGATCGTGAGTATACCGCCGCATTATGACGGGGGGGGGGGGGGGGGGGGGGCTTGTGGTAGTGGAAAATAATTTTCGAAATAATTTTTCGAAATAATTAGTTTGTCTAACTAATTAACGCCATTTTCCTAACAAGTCATTTTGTTGTAAAAGGCTTCAACAATTCCTGAGCCGTTATTTGTTAATATCATGAAACCTTATATACCCAGGTTAGTTCGGGAGACACGTAGCAAGTCTGATTTCATGGTTATCGATATCGCACCTTACAAACCGCCTCACTCCAGACTCTACTTTCACTCCAAATCTTATGAGGTTACAATATTCTAGAGTCGTAGCATCATCTGTTGAGTGACTAAATGTCAAATTTTTCATTCGACTGTACAATTTTATGAAAAAACTATGCTACCACAACTCATATCTTATATCTACTCATCACTTATAAACTCATATTATAGACTCCTAACTCCCCCTCTATTTACAGCCGATCCTACCTCACGAGTTTGAGTATGATAGCGAGCGCGAGGAGAGCATGTCCTGGATGACAGAGAAGACTAAACAGGTTGTTATTGTTAACTGGGGGCCGGGGTAGTTAATTGGGGGGCAATGGGAAAACCTTAGGGTAAATTGACATTTTATGCCATATTATATGATTTATGCCATGAATTTTGGTCATCGAATAACATAATATTTGACTTACTGACTTAAGGCGGCTTCAGCGTCCGAGTATTGATGCGCTGTCTCCATAAAACTCTATCCGCCATAAGTCCGCCCATTTCTCCAGTGTCGTTGAGACCCGTGTCAGCTCGTAGGCTATCGACATAAGTCATGGCTGGTCTCCCCCTACTCCGCACCCCATGAGTTGGTTCCCAGAGTAGCAAGCGGTTTGCGACTAGTTCTGGGTGCCGGTGGATATGGCCTGCTAGTCGCATCCTGCGCTCTTGGATCTTCATGGTTGCTCTTGGTAGGTTGCCATAGACTTCTTTATTGGTTTTGCGCTGCTTCCAATCCACATTTAGTGCCATCCTTAGCATTCTGGTGTAGCAGCCATCAATGCGTTTCTTCAATTGCTCTGTCAACGTCCACGTTTCAGAACCATAAAGAAGTATTGACTCCACAGTAGCAACAAATAGACGGATCTTTAGTCCTCTTCTAAGGTCAGACTTCCACATCTTCTTTAACTTGTGGCAGGCTGCCCAAGCCTTAGCTTTTCTGACCCGCAGGTCCCTCTCTGTTGTTGCTATCCATGCTCCAAGGTAAACAAAGTCTGTCACCTTTTCCAGCTGGTTTCCACCACAACTATTGAGACTACTCGCCTCCTCTGTCATGTTCAGAGTCATGAACTTAGTTTTAGTGTCGTTCATGGCTAGCCCAACACTCAGTGCTGCTTTCTCAAGCCTGTCCAGGAGTAGTTTTGCCCCTTCAATGGTATCAGTGATAAGGGCAACATCATCTGCAAACTCGACGTCTGCGATCTTCTCGGCACCAATCCTTCTACTCCGTGCAGGCCTGAGAGTGAACCCAGAGTCCGAGTCATCATCGTCTATAGTCACTGTCATGATATAGTCAATCACGATAATGAACAAGTACGGGGCAAGAGTGTCTCCTTGCAGTACTCCAGCCAGGATATCAAAAATCTCTGTTATACCATCAGCTGTAACTACTTTAGCCTTTGTGCTTGTATATATACCCTCAATGAGCCGCACTATGGCTTCTGGTATGCCATATGCTTTCAGTATCTTCATGAGCAAGCCTCTATGCACACTATCGAACGCCTTCTTGAAATCAATGAAAACCATGGTGGCCTTTAGGTTCTTGGCTCTAGCACCCTCCATAATTCTTCGTAGAGCAAGAATGTGCGATGTTGTAGAGCGCCCAGGTCTAAAGCCATTCTGGTTGTCCCTTAAAACTTCCTCAAGACTTGGCTTCATCCTGTTCAGCAACATTTTGTTCAGAGTTTTACTGACTATCGATGTCAGAGATATTCCTCTGTAGTTGTCGGTCTTAGTGAGGTCCCCTTTCTTTGGCACAGGAACAATATTACTGAGCTTCCATTGATCGGGCATGAGACCATCACATAGTGCATCGTTGCAGAACTTCAGGATGACGTCATCAATGTCCACCCTCTTCATCACTTCAGGTGAGATACCATCATCACCATAAGCTTTACCTTCTACTATCTGCTTTTTGGCAAGACGTAGTTCCTCAATGGTGAACGGGCCATCCTCTATATTCAGTGGAGGGTGTATATTCCTGATCGGAATATTATTGTCAGGGACTGTGGGTGGCTGTCCAAGTAATCCAGAGAAGTGCTTCCTCCAGTTCTCGAGACGTTCTGTTGAGCTGCCCCCTTCAACGAGTCCACAGCTGGGATTTGTCCTCCCTGAAATATCGTTGACAAGCTTCCAGGATTCCTTGTTCTTACAACGATCAGCAGTATCCTCAACTTTCCTGATCTTTCCTTTCAGGATCTCCTCCTCTACCTCTTTGTAGCAGGCCTTTAACAAATCCTTTTTAGTGGCGACTTCCTCTCTCTTCTCCTCGCAAGGCTCCTGATGGTATTGGTCCTTGGCCAAGAAAAGTCCCCTCCTTGCACTGTCCACTCTTGGGTCACTTGAGGGGTCAATCTGCTTTTGTCGAGTCTTCTTTGGCAGAAGGCTCTTGTTTGCCGCCTCAATAGCAACCATAAGCTTCCCGTAGCTTTCAGTGGCCCCATCATCCTCCTCTACCAGGCCAGAGAATCTATTCCGAACTTCAATTGCATACTTTTTTTGAAGCTCACCATCCGACTTCAGGGCACTATAATCATAGTTAACTTTTTTCGGAGGCCTGTGTCCTTTCCTAAAGCTAACTTTGATCTTACACACTACAACTCTGTGATCAGATCCCAACGACTGAAAAGTGTTGTAAACTTCAGTGTTCTTTAAAGAGTTTTTCCACTTCCGCCGTATGAGGATATAGTCAATCTGACCTTTGTTAAGTGTCCCATCGGATAAGAAGGTCCACCTCTTGTTGACCTTCTTTCTGAAGCGGATATTGGTAATTTCCATATCGCACTCCAGGGCAGTGTCTCTCAGTAGCTCTCCATTCCGATTGGTACGAGTATGAAAGTACCAGCGGGAATCTTCTTCACTCACCTTTCCAAGCCGGGCGTTCATATCTCCCTCTGTGATCAGCAGGTGGTGCGCTGGCACATCGTTCATAGCCTGTCTAAGGGTGTTATGAAAATCCTCCGCTTCTTCAACTAGTGCTGCCTCGGTCGGACTATAAGCAGTTATAGTTGTGAGTCTGGGATTCCCGTTGAAAGAGATAGTCAGCACCCTTGAGCCATAGGGTTTAATGAGGCTGATTGCGCTGTATGCTCTTCTAGTCAGCAGAAAGCCCACTCCACCAGTGGCTGCTCCTGCTCCATTCCTCCATGCTGAAACAGTTACCAAGCTAACCCCCTCCTTGAACTTTTCAATCTTGATCGGCTCCTGGTGGACAATCCTATGTTCTTGGATCCCAAGGATCTCCATGCCACTCTCCAGAAACTGAGTCACGAGTTCAAGGCGCTTGTAACCTTCTCTAGCAGTTCGGACATTAAATGTCCCTACTAGAGCTACCTCACTACAAGAAACCAATGCATCCCCATCCTTTTTTTGGTGTTTTATGTTATTTTTTGTGCCGGGTGAAGGAGCCGGCATATCATCTGTCACCCCTCTCCTAGGGAGTTTTAGGGTGAGAGAGTCATCATTCCGGTCCCCTCCGACATCTAAATCAGTGGTAGGGACTTTAACCCTAGTGTTATTATAAGACATCATCATACTTTTCAATGGCTGGTGTCTCATGCGCAGTCCCCTGCACATCAGGCAAAGTGAGACACCTACTTAACGCCAGGCGCCACTTGAGCGTTAAATGACTTATCCATCTTGGCCACGTGAGTAACAACTTCCGCTAGAACACATGTTGCTACCAATCAGTAAGAGTGGGTTTTGTGATGATGCCCTGTCGTTGTATTATTTCTTCTTTCTTCACCATTTCCAATAAATGACTATACGCTTTTGTCCCAAAGCTTAGGGAGATTAGAGTGAGAGCCAAGGCTCCACTTTTACGGGAGCTAACCTTCCCCCTGACTACCTCGTTACCCCAGGCATGGGGGGCCGATCCTGTTACCAGAGCGTGGTCCAGTTTACCTGGGTCGTGGAAACAAGGTCAGAGGCAAACGGCCAATACCTCTTTAGCTACTGTTCACTCCACAGCCGGGGGAGTCACTGATTCTCTGCACCTCTCTTCTCTTGAGGTTTAGAGTTAGGAGACAATTATGTGATCCAATAATTGAAATCCGCGGGGGTCAGTGAGCCTCCCGTCGCCCTTCGCTGCCCTTAGCCTGGAGATCACCACTGTTCATCCAGTTTCCAGTCTTCACCGCGAGGAGGTAGCAGGATAGGACTTGTTGTGGAGAGGCTTCATCTTGCTGTTCGATGTGGTACTGGAAAAGGGCACCAACGGGGTAACCCTTTTTCGAAGTTCTGGCTGCTGCAGGCAGATCCAGGGTCTCTATCCAGCGGTAACGCTTTGGGTCACCTACGCTTCACACAACCATTGGAATTTAGGTGCCACAATTATATTATGTGACACCTAAATTGGACATCCTAACTTGTTTGTTTACGCATACCTTGCTACTCAAAGCTCATACCAAGCTACAAAGTGTTAGTATCTAGTCTCGTAGACTCGTAGTGTAACTGACGAAAATGGAAAAACTTCACGATCTTTTTTGCATATAATGTAAACTATCGTGTTAACAATTATCTTTAAGACCTGTGGTCGGAAATAGCTGTATCTTTTATACTTTTGAATCTACGGACACTTAAATACAGGCTACAATTGACTGGCAAAGCGTCTAGATCCCTGAATATATCCCTATATCACGACAATCTGTCGTAAAACAGGGGTTCCAGAAAACCCACTTCCTGATAATCCTGTAACTTGAAACGTTTTTTGCATTCGATTTGGTCAACATCTAGACGCCCTGCAATTTTAACATGGTTTTTAAGGCACCTGAATATGGCGAATGCTTAAAAACCTTAAAAACTAAAGTCACTTAATAATTTTGAGGCGGCCGAATTAGTAAAAGCCAGCGCCGAGACATTTAGCGTGAATTGTCGCAAACCGACATTTAGCGCTAAATGTGAACTGTCGGAAACCGACATTCACGCTATCTAGCGCTAGATTAAGATAGCATGAACTGTCGCAAACAGACATTCTCGCTATATAGCGCTAGATGGCGACATTGAAAAGGTGCCGCGCAATTGGTGGCATTGTCGCTAATTAGCGCTATCTAGCGTCATCTATCATCATCAGGCAACATCTCACGCTAGATGACGCTACATTAAAGTCACTATTGTGATGGTATATTAGAAGTGACGCTAGAGTAGATGTCGAATTTCAACTATCGGTAAAGGTCCAAATTTTCTACCCTTAGTTTGCTCTTAGCCGGATTTCTGAAGTATTAAAACTCAAAATCTTTCAAGTTTTAAGTGTTTAGCCAACAGGAGGGTCACGTGTGGGCTCCCCGCATACCTGAACAATGCTACACACGTGCGGAATGCTACACACGTGCGGAACAATGCTACACACGTGCGGAATGCTACACACGTGCGGAACAATGCTACGCTACACACGTGCGGAACAATGCTACACACGTGCGGAATGCTACACACGTGCGGAATGCTAAAAACGTGCGGAATGTGTGTGATGTGTTTGTACCGCATTATATTAGGAATGTGGCATGACACAATGTTAGCCGGGACAGTAAAACCTTTTCTCGTGCTACATCAGTTTCTACATTCGAGCTGCTTCCATCTTATAAACTTAATTAATTAGACATTTGCTATTAATTGTCTCTTTATAATGCTAATATTCGTTATTATTACTGGTTTGTTTTTTAAATCCCCTACTATCCTGTTCTATTCCTAATAAGCAAGTAACTATTGAAATTTCACACTTTTCCTACCTAAATTGTAATGACCGAAAGGACCCGGAGATGAATAACTTCACAGTTGGCGGTATGGCTGAGCGGTTAAAGGACGTAACACAGCTGTTAGAGGACGTAACACAGCGGTTGGAGGACGTAGCAGACAGAATTATCTCCAGGATTAAACCTCACGCCCGCAGTCTCGCAAAGTTAGGGATCCTCTTTCTTCACATTCAGATCTGCTTCTTGGTGCTAGTCCAATTCAGGAACGTATCTAAGCATATTGGTCAGTCGCTCAGACCACATGTCGAATACAACGAACGGTTAACGTGGCAAAGACTAAAACGTTTCATGGCCAGTGAGCCAAGCAAGACAGCCCAGTTGCTAGCAGTTTTACTTCTGGTGACTAGAGTTGTATCTCTCACTTTCATCTACCTGAAGAAACATATCATACTGTCTGTAGTACTGCTGGCAATCCCATCCTTCATTGGAGCAGTGCGACTGTTGACTGGGGGGATGTCCACTACTAGGCTCACTATTCTATTTATCTCCTCCTTCTTGAGCCAGATAGGATGTCTGCTGATGGTAGCAGCTGAAACAGTGGAAGATAAAGACATGCGGACGGTGGGACTCCCTACTTGGGGGATAAACAGGAGACTGAACCTGCTGCAGCTATTATCTAGGATTAACATAGTCCTAGTACTGGTGGGGACGCAGCTTAATAACTCTATTTATATGGCTGGGAGTGAAGGAGGAGGCATAATAACTGGCAGCCTGCTATGTGCTATGTTGCCTATGGTGTTGTGTGTTCTGGTCGGATATAAAACTAAAGTTATGTCTTTTGTCTTGGCAACTGTTCTTACTCTCTTCTCCCTCTACTGCTTTCCATTTTATCTTCACATGGGGGCGGGATCTAACAGTTTCTTGTTCTGGGTCAACAATCTAATGTTTGGTACCAACTTGTCGGGAGTAGGTTCCCTCATTTACATAGCAGTTCTAGGTGCAGGTTGTTATAGTGTGGATCACATGAAACAACAATAAATAAAGGGCCCCCCCTCAATAAACTCTCTTTTAGGATTAGTGTGTTATCTAACTTCAGATGTAGTAGTAGTAGTATGTAGTATGTAGTACTGCTCATTGATTTTATAATGCATTATATAAATCCAGTATAATTTCTGTTGTATTCCTGTTTATGGCGGTCCGCGCAATAGTTGATAGTGAGGGCTGATAGTGATTATGCAGTTATCAAGCATTTCTCTCTAAATTGAAAATACTGTAACTTCAATATTGTAGCTAAACATTCATATTTATATTACTAATTTTCATGAAAAAAAGTAATAGTATTGCATGCGCGATATCAACCCCATTAGGTGTAGTTCATATGTAATGTAACCAATTTTTGGACAATTTTAAGCCCCCTTTCCCCCTCCGTAATAAGTTTTACTAATTACGTAATTAGTTTTACACAGTACTACCCTTCCTCTCCTCAGTGATTATGTAATATGTGAACGACCCTTAAAGTGCAATTCTTAAACTTATATCGCCTATGGTGATATTTTTTCGATAACAGAGTTTGAAAATGCAATTGTTATTTTCACCACTTTGTAAATTCATCGGACAAATCCGAAAGAGAAAATTGGTTTTTATTGTTCACTGTCTCCGCAGCTAATACAAGACTTCACGGACGTGAACGAGGCTGAGAAAGCTATTATGATTATGTGGAACTGCTTTATCTTGCCAAAGAGGTATTTTACCAAACCAGTGTAAAGAAATATGAATTAAACGTTATTAATTATTTTATAGGTAAGCGTATCCCTTAGCATTACGGTTATGGTTGGAGTATTAGAGGTAGAGATTCGGTCATTGCACATTATTTAATTGATTTTCATTGAACTTTATTTCCCCACGTGAACGTTCTGATGAACCCTAAGCAGACCACCAGGTCCCCACACTCCTATACCCTGTTCTTTAGGCCGCTAGCAGACCACCAGGTCCCCACACTCCTATACCCTGTTCTTTAGGCCGCTAGCAGACCACCAGGTCCCAACACTCCTATACCCTGTTCTTTAGGCCGCTAGCAGACCACCAGGTCCCCACACTTGCACTCCTATACCATATTGTTCTTTAGGCCGCTAGCAGACCACCAGGTCCCCACACTCCTATACCATATTGTTCTTCAGGCCGCTAGCAGACCACCAGGTCCCCACACTCCTATACCATATTGTTCTTTAGGCCGCTAGCAGACCACCAGGTCCCCACACTCCTATACCCTGTTCTTTAGGCCGCTAGCAGACCACCAGGTCCCCACACTCCTATACCATATTGTTCTTTAGGCCGCTAGCAGACCACCAGGTCCTGAGGTCCCCACACTCCTATACCCTGTTCTTTAGGCCGCTAGCAGACCACCAGGTCCCCACACTCCTATACCCTGTTCTTTAGGCCGCTAGCAGACCACCAGGTCCCCACACTCCTATACCCTGTTCTTTAGGCCGCTAGCAGACCACCAGGTCCCCACACTCCTATACCCTGTTCTTTAGGCCGCTAGCAGACCACCAGGTCCCCACACTCCTATACCCTGTTCTTTAGGCCGCTAGCAGACCACCAGGTCCCCACACTCCTATACCATATTGTTCTTTAGGCCGCTAGCAGACCACCAGGTCCCCACACTCCTATACCCTGTTCTTTAGGCCGCTAGCAGACCACCAGGTCCCCACACTCCTATACCCTGTTCTTTAGGCCGCTAGCAGACCACCAGGTCCCCACACTCCTATACCCTGTTCTTTAGGCCGCTAGCAGACCACCAGGTCCCCACACTTGCACTCCTATACCATATTGTTCTTTAGGCCGCTAGCAGACCACCAGGTCCCCACACTCCTATACCCTGTTCTTTAGGCCGCTAGCAGACCACCAGGTCCCCACACTCCTATACCCTGTTCTTTAGGCCGCTAGCAGACTACCAGGTCCCCACACTCATATACCCTGTTCTTTAGGCCGCTAGCAGACCACCAGGTCCCCACACTCCTATACCATATTGTTCTTTAGGCCGCTAGCAGACCACCAGGTTCCGAGTTTGGTACGCGAGTTCGTGGGACAACAAGGCGGAGAGATATTAAAGCGGGGATTGGTGAAGAACTTGATTCTACACCTCACCAATCTACACAGGTAGGGGGAACTCTGGGTAGAGTTATTAGTAACGTATGTGAATAAGTACATGATATTTTCATTATTCGCGTGCGAATAATCGCATTCACACCCTTCGCTGTGGCGATGTAATACTATGTTTATATACTATACTAGAATATACTATACTATAATATGAGTATTGCTGAAAGCACAGTGTAAGGCCTACACGGACCGCCTCTAACTAGCCAATCCCTGTTTACATGCCGTGTAGCAGGGGACTAGAAAGAGCTAAAACTAGTAAGCGGGGCTCAGCCAATACACTATACTCCCATCATTGAGTATATTACCAACCAAAAGGAAAATTTCCTTGTGTTTGGAATCTACCAAGACGAAAGTTGTACTTATATAATATACCTCTATAATATAATATAACGGGTGATGAATAAAAAATGGGACTACATGTTTTTTAGCCCTCAGATTCCACCTGAACAAAATTTTGATATTTTACCACAACCACCAGTTACTCTGAACGATACTCGAACAGTTTCCACCCCCATTTGATAAAATTGGTTGATCTTTGTCCCCGATAATGGTCTCGAACTAGGGGAGGGGTCCTATAAAAACTTTACAGTAAAGCTCTGTTCACAGAAGTCGCCTCACAGGTAGTTAAAGCTTCCATACCAAAAAATATTTAGCAGAGAGTATGCCGAATCTAGGTAAACTATAGGTAAAAATATAATATTAATCATAAGCTAAAATGTACTAATCTTTGTATTCTAAATGGGGAAAAAGAAGAAACATTGTCAGTCAGTCGAGAAAATTGTCAGTCAGGCTATATGGCAGCTTTGTAGATGTTGTGACTATGCTAGTAGTGGTCCCAGGCTTGCGACTGGAATTGCGGTGTTAAATCGATTTAATGGTATACCAACGATCCACCTCCCACTTGTTGTTTGGTACTTAGCATTAATAGTGTTAGCTGTAGCCATTTATAGCAAGAATCTTAAAACTAAAGGGGATGACAAGGAAAAGAGGAAGGAAAAAGAATAACGGAACAAACAATTAATTAAAGTATTTACAGAAGCATTAGTTATTGTAATTACAAGCTTCAATAATAAATCACTGACTAAATGGGGAAAAGAAGAAACATTGTCAGTCAGTCGAGAAAATTGTCAGTCAGGCTATATGGCAGCTTTGTAGATGTTGTGACAATGCTAGTAGTGGTCCCAGGCTTGCGACTGGAATTGCGGTGTTAAATCGATTTAATGGTATACCAACGATCCACCTCCCACTTGTTGTTTGGTACTTAGCATTAATAGTGTTAGCTGTAGCCATTTATAGCAAGAATCTTAAAACTAAAGGGGATGACAAGGAAAAGAGGAAGGAAAAAGAATAACGGGACAAACAATTAATTAAAGTATTTATAGGAGCATTAGATATTGTAATTACAAGCTTCAATAATAAATCACTGACTAAAACTTCTAATTAAAATGACACTTGGTACGCTCGCCCATTTTCACTGGTCAGTCTGAACTTCGGTTTAGCACGTTGTACACTTATTCACCTAAGTTTCAGAATTTGTTCAGTTTAGCAGAGTTAGTACCCGTGTTTCAATAAATCAAAAGATATCAGGGGAGTTCTTTAATAATGTTACGGTCATCTAGAATACCGAACTTCCTGAAAACGTTATCATATTTCCTCAGACAACGTTTAATGCCTTTAATCAGTCTATCACGGCTATATCCTCTATCAATTAGAATTTTGAATATTTTGTGAAGATGGGAGGTAAAGATATCCAATCTAGTGCAAACATTACCATATCTAAGAACTTGACTTGAAAAAACGTTGTAGCCAACCTCGGTTGGGATGTTACTGTGAGGAAATGTAAGGGATACAACATGAAAATTAAAATCATCAGTTTTGTTATACACTGATATTTCTAGCCCTTCTGTGGAAATATTAATATTTAAATCAAGGTAGTTAATGATTTTATTATTGGAACCAGCTCGCTCCATCTCCAATGAATTAGGATAAATATCTTTAATCAATTTATGAAAGTAAAGGTAGTTAATAATAGATAAATCGTCAACATATCGTTTATTATTGGATAATATCTTTGCTAATCCCATTTTCTTTTCCTGAAGTAAACGTTTCATATAATTAAATTCCTTTTTGCCAACAGTGAGATCAGCTATAGGGGAACTTGAATTTCCACCCATAGGAATACCCTTGGTTTGTATGAATACAATCCCACCGTTATGTTATGCTTAAGACGAGGGTTCAACACCCATCAGCGTAGCTAAAACCAGTAAGAAGAGGGGTAAAATTTTACCGTGTGAAAGATCGAAGCTAGGTCAACTATCGGCTTTAGCATGGTCTATAATGGTACCACGTAAAAATCAAAGTGCTTGAAGTCTTGCCAGGTGTTGTTCCTACAAGAAAATATCCCCAAAGGGTGGAAGGTGGTTCGTTAGGATGGGGCTAGATCGTATTTTTCTGGGAAAACCACATCTTTATTTGCCATAAGGGCCAATTTCGTCCCAAAAGTTATCGACCAAAGTAAATTTTGACAATCTCAACCCATAGAGGACTTCTTTTGAGTCCTGGCAACACATGTACATGCCCGAAATATGGCTTACAAGCATACATGGGCCTTAGGGCACAAAAGAAGAGACTGCGCCAACACGATTTTAGGCCCAACTGTACAGACGGATTTTTGAGCTTGATGAAAGAAGCCCTCCTGAACCAATCAAAATGGGCTCATGGGCGCTTGTCATTGACCATACTCGTTCAAAATTGCCCGTTTTACAACGCTGTTTCATTGGTTTGAACCAAAAATAGTTTTATCGACACTAAAAAGACCCTTGAAAAAAGTCCCATTTTTTAGTCATCACCCGTTACCTCTGACACTACCTACAACTAAAGAAAGGGCACCCAATATTCGACTTAATAATTGGTAAAATCATCAAATTTCTGGGATGGGCATTCTTATCGTTTTTACAATATTATAACCATCGCAGTTACCCTGTCAATAATTCACTGGCAACCACGGCATGGGCGAGGCGCCTCATAACAGTCCGATAAAATACTAACAAAATTTAATATTTTAAATATCTAGCTAATGCGTTATCAGATAGGTACATGATATTGAATGTTGCTACGGGATAATATGGTGATATAGATTCCATAATTTTATACTATACGTAACATATCCAGTTTCACATCAGAACATAATATTACATAACATTGTTTCAGTTTTGGTTTGCTGAAAGCAGATGATATAGAGTGTGTAGTGTTAGGACTCTACGATAAGGAGGCGACATCTGCCGGGACCAAACATATTCCTCAATCTAATGTTGTGTCCGATTCAAATGTAGCAGCTGTTTAGACTTCTTTTGTAGAAGCCTGTGTGCTTTCATAATTAATTTGAAATGTGCTTGAACTTTATTTGTGAAAGTAAAGTTTCCTGAAACTCACGATCAACGATATTTTGTAGCTCAAAATCCGATGCTGGGCACTTTTTAAATAAGTTTAAATATTTTTATAGATTCGATTGTCAAGTCAGCTGCTCGAAGGGGATTTACAAGTTGCAACGCTTTATTTTTCTTTCATGACTTATATTTGAAATTCGTTTAGCAGATATTTATCCCCCCAACCGCGTGTTATTATTTTGTAGTTCTGAATAATTCATATTATAATCGAGATTTGATGGTCCACACCGTAGGTTCTATTTATTTTAACCTACTTTTGAAACGACTTGTCCCCTCCTTTTAACTGTCACCAATTTGTACCAACATTGGTAACGGTAAACGGAGGTGTCTTGAGATATGAAAGTGATTAGATCGGCTCACGCAAGTAACCTTACTTCAAGTATAACTATTAAACCATTTCACACCACAAATCATCCAATTAAATACTGATTCCATCGTCAATACAAAACTCCTCCACTGGACCGAAGCGTACGTACGTACGTGCGCGGCTGAAGTCAAATGATGACAATAGTAGGGATTACCATAGATGTCATCGGTATGAATGCTAACTACTGTAGACCTAGATAATGAAAGTGCGTGGCTCATTCCCAGTTACCAAGATAGGAGATCGGCAAATTCCTGTGATATCTGTATTGCATTACATCATACTGTACCACAAGAATTCACATTTTACTATAAAAATCCAAGAAGGCAGCTAAAGTCGAACTGCATTTTCGCCGGTCTGTTATTATAACACCTGTGCAATAGAAATGGTATGTTGAATTTGATATGTGCCGTATCATATGTCCTCAAGGAATGCAGCTTACACATTTATATAACTTCTGGGTTAGATATAAAGTCTCTTATCAATACACAACCGATAAGAATCAAGAAAATATTTGAAGTCTATTTAACCGTCTGAATGTAAAATTAATACACAGAAATTTATAACAATAGACTGAATTTGCATAACCAGTACACAATTCAACATTGATTAATCGACTCACAACAATCTAAAGTTGTCGTTAAAATTATCATCAATTTTCTGACTGGTAAATAACAACCGTAAATATTTAGCTGCTAAAGAAACATCACTCTATAATATGTAGACCATCTTAAAATTGGGTGAATTTTCAAAATGTGAAGATAAATTTGAGTGCATTGAGATTAAATTATTAAGGGATGCGTATCAAATTATCTATGATAACACTGTCCATTTTATTTATAAAAATCAGGTAACAACTGAATTTTCAAAATAATCTTCCCAATCTTTCACTCGGAGTCTGAAACTTGAGGAAACAAAACTTCATCTACGAAATGATAACATTCAATAACTTCGTCTCATACAAAAAGGCACAAAGGTACATAACATAATCTAAAAAGTATATCCTCTCACAATTAATTGATGATGAATAATTTGAAGAACAATACCTAGTTGGCAGTTACCCAAGTAGCAAATTGTCACTCTGCCAGTCGAGTAATGTGTATATTGACCGTTTTTAAATTTTACATTCCTTTTCTGCCAAACCAACTATGGAACAAGATAAAATATCAGATCTTAATTCATACTGTAAACGCAATATCATATTCCAAATGTTTTAATACAAAAACGGAGTAGAGGTAGCAAGATCGCGCAATATTACGAGTTTATTTTGTCAACAGTGAAAACCAAAAGATCAGTTAAGAACAAGCTCGAAACAATTTGGGGAATAAAAGCAATTTATCAAATAACCTCATTATTCTCCTTCTTTTTGAAATGACTCAGTTTCGTTTGTGAATAAAGAGGAAATCTATCTCTAGCTCATATAATTACGTTAACAATAATTAATTAATTAATAGGTCTGGATACCGGTGATTTGACACGTGACATGTGACAATGAGTTTTGATTGGTCAATGCTGGCAGGCTAATCACATTCCAACCAGTATTCAGATCTATTAGTTGTCACAGAGACCGGTTATTGTAGGGAAATTAATGCGTTAATCGAAACATGTGTTTTTTAGCCAGAGGAATAGAAGTATATTTTCTGAGAACCTCAATATTAGAACATGTAGTATTATAACAGTATTCAAATTCAACACAAAAATATATAAGTAATCATATCATTTGACCCAGTGAAATCAGCACCAACGCTACAAAGTCGGGTTTTCGTGATTTGATGACGTCACGCCGATTTATGACGTCATCACGCCACATGAAAGCTGAAGGTTCCTAGCAGGAACAGTTTCGATCGGCGGGTTGTCCCTCTTCGTTACCCACTTTAATGGGTGTTGGTTTGTGTTGGACACCACTCTCTGCCGCGTTCAACTCCAGAGATCCGTCCTGTATACTCTGGTAGATCCTCCTTGCTGTCTCCAGAAACGCTTCTTCTACATTTTCACCTGATTAATACATTTTAATTAACAATTTTTAATTAACACGCACAAAATTGTATTGCAATCTGGCACATGTTCGTATACTAACTTTAGTCTCATTTGTTGGATCAGATCAATCTACTAGACATACATATAGCAGCTATCTATTCTGTAGTGACGTAATAAGAGCGCACTTCCTGTTAGATGAACACTTGGCATAATGATGAGAACTAATTTTAACAACAAACTGTGTATAATAAAGTGAGCTAGTTAGACAACTTACCAGTCCTAGCAGAAGTTTCCAAAAATATAAGCCCGTTTTCTTCTGCAAAAAGCTCAGCCTCTTCGCGCGTCACGTCCCTTTGAGCATCCAAATCGCTCTTATTGCCGATTAGAAAGATTACTGTATTAGGATTCGTCAGATTTCTAGCGTCCGTCAACCAACTGAAAAGTAAGTCAGCGTTATTTCTCAACTCTAAACACTGCATCTACTAACGAGTACAGCTATATTTCAGCTTAATAGATTAGATTTTTTTTTTAGATTTGAAAAATTTTCAAAACGGTATATACAAATCAACAGGATTATAAAACATAAAAATAAAAACCGCTTTGTCGGCAAATGCCAGGGCCCTAACAATCCACTCAAAAAAATTCAAAACAGGACCCAGAAGCTTGTAAGCCACTGGTCAAAAAAAAAGTGAAATCTAATTAAATAAAGATTTTGTTCAAAAATCAAATAAAATCAAAATTACGCGACCAAAATTCAAAAACTCTCATAAATGTGAAAATCTTAGTATCAATCAATATCCATGATCAGAATAAATGAGGAAAAACGCGAAAATCACATACATTACTGTATTACAACAGATGTCAAAAATTGTTATTAACAGAGATCCAATGTGTCCATAATAAAATAATAAAGTTCAACTAGCTTCCCAATCAAAAGGTAGTCAAGACAGGGTAACTAGAGTAGTAGGCAGTAACTTAGTAGTAATAGTAGAGTAGGGATAATAATAGAGTATAGTGGGGATTAGTAGGATATCAGATTTTTGTTCTTTCGATTTCGACCGAAAAATGATGAAAATGATGCCCATTTTGCTTATTTATTCCTTGACTTTTGGTCAAATGGGCATGGGCAATGGGCATCAATGATGACCGATGGGGTTAAGGTCCCCCTTGAATTACTCCTTGGAAGTAAACATGTGATAATCCAATTCCCCCCTTGTCTACTTTGGTTTGCTTCAACTATGTCAGGAATTTGGGTTTGTTTTCGATAGGAAGTGTGTGCCAATGTCCGCTTTTGTACTTTTTTGACTCTATGAAACATTCACCCTCCCCACAATTCAATCTAACCATCACATTACTTCACTTGTATAATTCAAGTATTGACTTCGAAAATTCCGAACTAATTTTCGTGATGGAACTCTTTCAAGGTAGAAAATATCCGCGATGATATTTAATTATCATATCAATAACTGCCAGATTTCAATTTATTATACAGTACCATGAAATCGTGGAAGCACAAATAAAGGACACTAAGCTGCACAAAAGCCCAGGGACATTAAAAGGACTGGAGATCCTGCTTTTTTGTTAGGGACCGGCCCGAAGTACCAGCCAATGTTTACTCAAAAATATATATATAATAAGTGTTATCAATTCAAAGTAAAAAACTCACACAAGATTAGATATTATTGAAACGATTAAAATGGAGCTTATTGAACAAAACATAGCTGAGCACAGATAAAGTTTCCTTTAGGATTGTAAAGTTGAAATTATCATATTAATGCACTTTTGGAGTAGTTAGAGTGGAAACATGCGCATAGCTACAGCTAGCTAGCTATTCCAAAATGCTCAAAATTACAGGGTGGGCCAAAAGTCAGTACCCATACGTTGGCCTTTATAGCTCAGTCACTGAGTGCCCAATTTAAATACTTCCACTGGTTCGAGGAATTTGTCAACTCGAAAAATATTTGCGTTCATTTTTTTCAAATGGAGGTTAATTTTCACATTTATTTGATAGTTTTGATAGTCGGATCAAGCTAAATGTTATTGAATTGTGTTTGGCCATTCGAATTACGTTTGTCCTGAAAGAATTAGAACTGTAGCTTCTCAGATGACCGAGATATGAAGCATAACGAGTTTATTCATTGCGGACTCGGACGGACATTGGCGGACCCGGACGGACATTGGCGGACTTGGATGGACATTGGTGGACATTAGCGGACATTGGTGGACATTAGCGGACAAACATTTTGAGGACTGAAGAGTACTGAAGAGTACTGAGGAGGATGGCTGAGAAGGATGGCTGAGGAGGATGGCTGAGGAGGATGACTGAGGAGGATGACTGAGAGGGAGGAGAAGGATCAGGAAGACTCAGGAGGAGGAGGACCCATAAGGAGGACCTAGGAGGAGGAGGAGGAGAACTGAGGAGGATGACTCAGGAGGAGGAGGACTCAGGAGGACTCAGGAGGACTGAGAAGGAGGAGGACTGAGGAGGATGGCTATTGGCTGAGGAGGATGGCTGAGGAGGATGACTGAGAGGGAGGAGGAGGAGGAAGAGGAGGAAGAGGACTGAGGAGGAGGAGGAGAAGGACTGACTGACTGAGGAGGAGAAGCAGGACCCAGGAGGAGGAGGACCCAGGAGGAGGAGGACCCAGGAGGAGGAGGACCCAGGAGGAGGAGGACCCAGGAGGAGGACCCAGGAAAAGGCCCCAGGAGGAGGAGAACTGTTGAGGACTGATGAGGAGGACTGAGGACGAGGAGAAGGAGTAGGTGGAGGACTGAGGAGGGGAGGAGGAAGAGGACTGGGGAGGATCAGGAAGACCCAGGAGGACCTAGGAGGAGGACCCAGGAGGAGGACCCAGGAGGAGGAGGGGGACTGAGGAGGACTGAGGAGGAGGACTGTAGATGACTGAGAAGGAGGAGGACTGAGGAGTACTGAGGAGGATGGCTGAGGAGGATGGCTGGGGAGGATGGCTGAGGAGGATGACTGAGGAGGATGACTGAGAGGGAGGAGGAGGAGGACTCAGGAGGAGGACTCAGGAGGACTCAGGAGGAGGAGGACTTAGGAGAAATGAGAAGGAGGACTGAGGAGAACTGAGGAGGAGGAGGAGGAGGAGGACTTAATAGGAGGAAGAGAAGGAGGGGGACTGGGAGAGGACTGGGGAGGAGGAGGACTGAGGAGAAGGACTGAGGAGGACTGAGGAGGATGGCTGAGGAGGATGACTGAGAGGGAAGAGGAGGAGGACTCAGGAGGAGGAGGAGGACTGAGGAGGACTGAGAAGGAGGAGGAGGAGGAGGAGGACTGAATAGGAGGAGGAGGAGGGGGACTGGCGGAGGACTGAGGAGGAGGATGGAGGACTGAGGAGAAGGATGAGGAGGAGGACCCAGGAGGAGGACCCAGGAGTAGGACTCAGGAGGAGGAGGAGGACTGGGGAGGAGAAGGACTGTTGAGGACTGATGAGGAGGACTGAGGACGAGGAGGAGGAGTAGGAGGAGGACTGAGGAGGGGAGGAGGAAGAGGACTGAGGAAGATCAGGAAGACCCAGGGGCCAGGGGGAGGAGGAGGAAGAGTAGGAGGAGGAAGCATCTAAATGTTATTTCCATTTTTGTCCGTTTTTGTCCATTTTTGTCCGCTCTATTTTTTGTCCGTTTTGAAAATATAGGGTACCGAACGGACAAAAAACATGATCCCCCTATAACAGCAAAAATTGAACTTTTTATTTAGCAATTTAGGTGTCCATTAATGTCCGCCTATGTCCGCCTATGTCCGTCTATGTCCGCCTATGTCCTGTCCTTTTTGGATTCTATGAGACAAGCGGACATAGACGGACGTGACACCCCCCCCCCCCCCCCCCCATTATACAAGCGTGTTTGTTTCTCCTTTCAGCAAAGTGCTCAACTAATAACAGCAGCTTTCTACAGGCGTGACAAAGTAAACGATGTTATTGTCCAACTTAAGGTTTCATGTCACGGATGGTTGTCGTTTACACAATGGATCCTTAGCTACCCCGGCCCCTAGACTAGGTGACACTGGGATTACACAGAAGAAGGGGAAAGCTCTAACCAGTGGGCCACCTAGCCCCTAGTTAAAATATAAAGTAGAAAGGAAATAATGAACATGTACACCCAATCTCTAGTAGGATGTTATAACTTATATCTAAGTTATAATCATCAGATAACTTCATTATAGTGAGGTGATTATAGGTGGATCTCCTGGTGATATCGTACAGTACCTGCTGAGGTGATTATAGGTGGATCTCCTGGTGATATCGTAGACCATAAGGGCTCCAGCAGCACCACGGTAATAACTCCTAGTCACCGCCCTGAACCTCTCCTGACCTGCAGTGTCCCAGATCTGCAGCTTTATTTTCTGGTCTGACACCTGTTAACATACACAATTTTAAATAATACAATGTTCTTTCAAGTGCATTCAAAATTGCCTTGCCCAGTCTGGTGTTGAATGAGCAATTGCGATCCTAGTTTAAGATAATTTAGTAATAGATTATAATAGCTAATAGTACTATGTTTACAGTACACTACAATGTAGATGTCCTGAAGCGGTATCCTAAGAAGATTATTGATCTTTTAGAGGGCACCCCTCCTCATTTAACTCTCAATCAAGTTTCCTATCATTCGGCCGAGTCAACCGAGGAGATCGCATAAATCCGAAGGATCCTTAACTGCTCCCTAGACTAGGTGACACTGGGATTCGAAACCTGAACCTTCTGCATAGAAGGCAGAAGCTCTAACCACTAGGCCACTCAGCTAGATTTTTTTACACAAGTTAACAAAGATTTTAATGATGAAGATTAAATAAGGACTAACCTCAACTATTCGAGTTCCGAATTCTACACCAATTGTATGAGGGCAGTCAGCCATGAACTTCTTTTCAGTGAATTGGTGGAGAAGGCAACTCTTACCAACGCCCATATCACCAATAATGATATATTTAAAGATGTAGGAATAATTATAGGGATTTGCAGCCATCTTGCAATCTGATTTTAATCTTGATTTTGAAGCCCCTCTCTTGTCTGCCCTTGTCTAATGAACTGTTTTCTGTCCCCAGTTTACTTCGTCATTCCATCATCTAAATAACGGTTTGAGGGTCAAAAAATTATACAATTTGATTGACCAATAAAGCTAGATATATTTATGATAGACATAAAACTTAAGGTTGAAACCATTTTTATATTCAAATTTAATAATAATAATTCTATACAGTTACATAATTGAAACAATTATGGCCCCTTATTGTGGGCAGAGTATGTGTCTTTGTTGAAGTGTCCTGGTATAAACTTATCCGAGCGACTGAATCAAAATAATTTAAGGAGAGTTCTCTTAAAACTTTAAAACAATGGGGATAAATAGGTAATACTAAGACCTAATAAAATCAAAACAAAATGCAGCCACCTAATTTGTTGTTAAGCTTTCTCTCCTCCTACGATTGACTAGTGGGACCATCTTTGGCGAGTATTAGGAACTTAGACCATTACAAATACTGTATATATATTCAAAGGTTACTGAACATGCGTAGTTTTTCAAAATATTTGAATCAAACGTCAATTTGGTGAAAATGAAACAAATTGAACTTAAAGACAACTTTATAAGACAACTTTTAAAGACAGCTTGTCCTGGAACACATATTCGCGAACAACTTATGACATGATGGTTAGTTAGGAGATCATATGACCACATAACAGTGGTTAAAGAATTACGCTTGAAGAAGGAGCTTGCTGAGATAATGAGTGAAGTGGATGAGAATACCAGGGAGTCATTGCAGCTGGTACAAGAGCATGGGTCAGGAGCTTGGCTAACATGTCTCCCCATTCAACAGCTAGGGTATGCTTACAGCGAGCAAGACTTCAGAGACGCTGTTCATCTCCGGTATGGTTGGGACATCCCTAACACCCCAAGATTCTGCGATTGTGGATCCAAGAATGATCACAATCATATCCTCAACTGTAAGAGAGGGGTATGTGAACTACCGTCATAACAACGTGAGAGACTCCGTTGCTGAATACCTTAGGCTGGTGACCAAGGATGTGAGGATTGAGCCCCTTTTAACACCTTTAGAATCGGCCAACTTCCAACAAAAGGGCAACAATGCTGATAAGGCTAGGCTTGATATATCAGCAAGAGGAGTGTGGAGCACATTTGAGAGGACTTTCTTTGATGTGCACATTTTCAATCCTAAATCGCCTACATATCAAGGAAAGACCATGCCACAGCTCTACACTCTGCACGAGAATGAGAAAAAGAACCAGTACATGAACCGAGTGCTACAATTGGAGAAAGGGTCATTCGTCCCCCTTGTATTTACCACTACAGGAGGAATGGCACCGGAGGCCAAGCGTTTCATAAGGAGACTTGCTGTGTTGATAGCCACCAAGACAAAGGAGGACTACAGCCAGGTGATGTGTAACATCAGGACACGCCTGAGCATGGATACAATGAGGAGTGTGCTAGTAGAAGTTAGAGGTGTACGTGGAAAGGCAAAGAAGGCATGGACTGCCCCTATATCCAATGTCTCCTTCAACCTGATACCTGAGGAGAAGAGCTACGAGGGATAGATGATATCTATTGCTCAGGATTTACGATTGTGCTCTGCCAATTGCATCACTTGATTTAATTTATTGTATATATATACTGTTTGACATTTCTTTTTGCCACATAACAGTACACAGACACTGAATCAAGGAGGTTTCACAACATTTCAAGCAGGGTTGGTTCACATCATCACACGCAAATTTCAATCAACGCTGTCAAGGCTTGTTCAACAATTAAGCTACCTTACAAGCAGTGGCATAATAAAGGACCCTGCCGACCCCGCTGTGCAAGGGGGATGCCATCTTAGGGGGCGCCCAGTCGTTGTTTGAAAGTGGGACAATTTTGAAAAACTTCACTGAGATACTAGCAAAACTGCGCAATTGGCTCTAGAAACACAAGGGGGCGACACGTCCGCCAATGTCCTGTCCTTTTTGGATTCAATGAGACAACAGACATTGACAGACATTGGCATGGACAGATAAAATGTCCTGGAAATTACTTATATTTACGTTTCATGTTGCCCTCATCATTATGAACCGAAAATGTTTATCGGTTTTTTGCTGTCCCCACCCACCCCTCGATACATGAGGGGCTCCCCCTGGCCCTTGTAGTGCGATCTCGGAGGGCAGGCTTCCCTGTGCAATACGATCTTGGAAGCAGGGGCCTATTTAACGTTTTTTTTTTTTTTTTTTTTTTTTTTTTTTTTAATGTGAAAACTGGCCACGGGCCTAAATATTACACATCAATCAATTACAATTCATTAATTTAACGTTTCTACTTTAAGAGGGGAGGGGGCACCAACAGGGGGCGCTTTTTATGCGGGTTGGCACCAACAGGCCACGTTAAACCACTGCTCTCGAGATCAGTTTGCATCATGCAATATATTAATAATAATTATCATAATCGGAACAAGTTTAAACATTCAAGATACCACATTTAACTCGAAATTAATAATTTGGTCTAGCAATTTACTACGCTACAATTAATAATAATAATAAAATGACGCCTTATTTATATACCGCTTAGGCCGTATTAATTGCATTGCTAGTCATAACTAATTGCAACAAAGATACCATTCATACATACCATTCTATTTCATGATTGGTATGCAGTCACATGATCTGCTAACCATCATGAACAGCTGTTGACGGACAAGCTGCCCGCGAACACCTGCTTGCGAACAGGTGTCGGGCTGGTTGGATACTGCCTACAATTCTTTCTATACACAATATGCTTTTTCACCACTCCTTGGCCTTCATAGAAACAATCAGATTTTAAGATGATGAGGGTGTATGTGAAGATGGAGCCATTTACAAAATTCAAATAGTCTAGAACTGTGTCAGGACTGCTCTACAAACTGTTTTACCCGAGTAGACAAGGAGCTCCAAATCTCTTGTAATCTGACCAATCATTCATCCACAATATACCTAAACAATCGAATTCATGTTTTACTAGCCTGTCACGTGACCAAAACGGTTTTTTGCCCATAACTCTCCAGGGAAGCATCTTTACCCTACGTCAAGGGGGTGATTCGGAATCAGTGTCCAAAAATACACCGATTTAAATCAATTTCATACCAAAAGGGCCTTTTTACAAGAATTTTCTTAAAATTTGGGCGAGCGATTTAGTAGGAACGCCTACTTCATCAAGTGGTAACAAAACAAACATTGAATCTTTTTATTGACCACATTTTCTCGGTAATTAGCATCGCTGAAACTAACACTGACGAGTCTCCAAAATTTCGATACTAAACTTATTGTTTCAACTATCATTGATCTGAACGCAGGGCAAAAGCCATTCAAAACATTTCGAATGTCAGGAAAACTGTACAAATGAACTTAACAGAGTATATAAAAGATATAGCGCGCCTGCAGCATGTGCTTCAGTTAGGATCGAATAGGAAAACACTAAAATGGGCCCATCCCCTATAAATTGTAAATTAGTTCACATAGCCTTCTATTCATGACGTACGTTGCATGCCACTTTTCGCGCGCGAAGCGCGCGCCGCAAAATGTATCAAACATTATTGATTATAGCCATAATAATATAAATCTACGCGTACTGCGTGACTGATGAGCGTGCTGAATCACTCAGCACTCTCGATTTTAAAATCTTTTCCAAAAGGACCCTCAACAGTTGAAACTATGATTTGGATCAACCCAGCAAACTTTACTGGCTGGCGATATTACTTCATGTGATTGCATCTTCACAGCTTGTTGAGCTCCGCGCGCGCTTAAACAGTTAATTGCATTTGCACGCTTCAAACATTCCAAAAATGCAATTGCACCACGTACCACGTAATACAATACAGTCAATCAGAGAACAAGTTAAAGCTGCGCACTTTTATAAGGCTCGAAATAAAACTTTTCGTTGGAGGACTTCGCCGCTTCGACGCGCAAACTAGCATTTTTGTTTCGTCGATCGTTGCTCTGCTTCGCAGAGCAACGATCTCAATGGGTTGACACCGTCAATCAAAACTTTTCGCGATAATTCAAAATCTATAATGTCCCTAATTTTCCTCCTGGGGAGGTAATTTTAGTTTTACGTTAACGGGTGATACTGATACTCGTATAATATATGTTCCATTTATTAGGCCGGACCGTCGACGAGTCCAACTCGGCGCGCGTCATAGTAGGTTGTAAACCTACAAGTTTTACGAAACGAACATTTAGTTGAAAACCAGCACTTTCTATTTCTTTTACTTTCGAAGTTAGGCTCCTATCAGTATCAGTAAGGTTTCCTGGGGATATATTTTTCGAACGCTGATTCCGAATTACCCCACATATCAGGACATAGGGTTAAAATTCTGAATGCTTCCCTGGCGAAGAACTGTCTCGATCTTGATTGACGACGCTATACTATGTCATCAGTCATTGTCAACCCTTCCACCTTCGAGATAGTTGCGATGCGAAGCAAGACGACGATCTTCCGATATATGCGTTGGAGGACTTCGCCGCAAACTATTATTCTTGCTTTGCATCAAAGAGACGAGATCGTTGTTTTGCGAAGCAGAGCAACGATCTGGATAAGGGTTGACATCGTCAATCAAATATATTGTATTATATATTATTATATTATTATTATTATATAGATTTTACCAAAACCCATAATCATGGGTAGAGTGGACCGCTGCCAGTGTCTCTCTTTACCAAACAAAAGGAAATGATATTAATTTGATTGACCGTTCTTAAATTAGGTAGTGCGCCATCGACAGTGAGCCGCGCGTGCCGACTGTAGGATCAAGGATGGTTTTTTAGCCCTAATTTCGGCCAGCACAATTTTCTTCAAACAAATAGATATTAATTATCCTTCCCGACCTTCGATTGCAACAAAAATTGGTGAGCTTAATCATAGACTTACAAGGAAAGTGTCCGAAAAGTTTAAAGCATATCCAACCATCAGACATTATGTTACAGCTAAAAGCATCGTATTTTGCCCCATTTTCATCACTATATCAACTCCGATATCCACCAAATTTTTCGGACAGTTGTAAAAGCCCTATTGGAAGGTCGTCGCCTATTTTCAGAATGATCTCATTCAAGGAACTGAAGATATATCCAAATAATACGACAAAAATCAACGAATTTGGTCAAATTTGGTCAAATTACGCGACTTTTACAGCTAATTTTGCTCCAAAAGCCGCGCACCATCAAATATGGCACATAGGCGAAACTCACTGATCTTTCCAAAAAGGTATGACAAATTTGGTATTGTGAAAATTCTCACAGTCTCTAGAAAAAAATGGTACAAAAATTTTAAAAATCCGAGCAAGTTTATTTTTATGGTGCACCCCCTACTTAAATGCAAAATGATACCGAGAATGAAATCGGTCGCTCGCTTTCCCCCACAGATGCCTTTGGGTAGTTCTTCTTAATCTATTACAATTGTAAATGAATGGGAAAAGCGAGGGACCGATTTCATTCTCGGTATCATTTTGCATTTGAGAACGGTCAATCAAATTAATATCATTTCCTTTTGTTTGGTAAAGAGAGACACTGGCAGCGGTCCACTCTACCCATGATTATGGGTTTTGGTAAAATATCATCTCTTTTTGATTATAATGTCAGGGTACTTTATAAAGTCGAAATATAAACTGATATCTTCATTAATATTAATAAGGAGGAAGTTTCAACGATTTCGAAATTTTTCCTTTAAAAACATTTCCTTGTGTTTAGGTAAGCATATCGGTCGATCACTGACTGAATATGCCACTTTATACTCATTCAAGTTGGCATTAAATTCATATATAATGACATTAAAAAGCAGAATTTGTTGGAAATCGCGAATGAGCAAAATTCTCACCTTTCGCACGTGCAAACTTTGAGCGGACGTTGCGTGCGCATCCAATATTGAATCGCCGTAAATTTTTGCATGTAATTGTTTTATATATAGCTTGATAAGCATGCAAAGTTTCAAAGTATTTCAAGAAGAACTGTAATCACAACGGCACTCTAAAGTTGACTGAAAATGACGAAAACAGCAATTTTCAGTGATTTTAGCAATTTTCTATCAATTTGGGCGTGTCCCCACGTGTGCAAATTTTCGATTTTCAACTTTAAAACTAGCCTAATGCACAATTTATACCTATAGGAAGCAGAACTGAGCTCCACAACCCAAGGCATGGCCCAACACCAGAGAATACTAAATCGCAAAATTGACGTTTTTATAAAATAATTCTTCAAAAAAGCACAAACTTCAATGACGAATATCTTTATGAAGGAGCAAGCTAGAAAAACTTTCCGGTAGATTTTCAGAATGCTTGAACAATTATCTAAGTTAAAATGTCCTCAGATTTTGAATACAATTACTTTTTGATGGTTTAAAATCATTTTTAAAAGTTATTACTTTGTCAAAAATCAAGTCTTAAAAACGGTTAACTTGATGACGTCATCAATTAGGGGTGTTCATGACGTCAAATAATTTGTTTATACAATGTAAACTAAAGTGTAAACAATTATTTTCAAGACCTGTAGTCGGAAATGGCTGTATCTTTTATACTTTTGAATCTATGGACAATTAAATACAGGCTACAATTGACTGGCAAAGCGTCTATCCCTGAATATGTGTATATATGTATGTATCACGACAATCTATCGTAAAACAGGGGTTCTAGAAAACCCATTTCCCGATGATCCTGAGACCTGAAACTTTTTTTGCAGTCGATTTGGTCAACGTCTAGACGCCCTGAAAAATTTCAGATCTCTAACTCAATTTTAACATGGTTTTTAAGGCACCTGAATATGGCGATTTTGGGTTTTTTACCGAATTTCGTATAACAGTGCTGGCAAGTATTTTATGCAAATTTCTTAAAAATCTCAACATAACTATTTTTTATTCCTGTCATCTTTGACATCAAATTAGAATGTTTTGAACTAAAAATAAATCTGCTGAACGACTTCCGATGAGTCTTAATGCCTGAAAAACTCCTGCCGGAGGCGGCGGCCTTCGGCCGCCGCCTCCGGTCGGAGTGCACGCTTCGAGTGCACGAAAGAGACTTGTAACGTGTAGCAAAGGGGGTATAATAGTAAAGGGGGTATAATAGTAAAGGGGGTATAATAGTAAATGGGGTACATAGTATACCCACAATAAATGCAACGGTCGTGCTTGCCAGCACTGTGATATATGCGAAGCAAGAATGATAGTTCACGCAGCGCATCGGAGCAGCGACGTCCTCCAATCTCGATCAAGTGATATCTGTATTTGAATGATCTGGTTATTCCTTGACCATTGTTAATGGTCTGGCCCGGCGCGCGCTACTTCGAAGTAATTTAGACGAGTAACATCCGTCAAGTTATTCCACTCAGCACTCGTTTTCATTTACTGATTAAAATGAGACACAGTCAATTTATGTGAATTAAATCTGAATTATAGATATACTTCCAATTTCAAATCTTTACATGGGTCAAGTATTTCAAAATACAAGGGAACGGGTAAAAGTATCAAGTCAAAAAAGTTTATTGTAAAAATCTAGAAAAATAGTGTGGCATAAAACAGTATGTTTTATGTTTAATGTTTTACTTGTTACTGATAATACTGCTAGTGCTATAGTGTTAAGTACAAAAATAAAAAATCCAAGTCTGCCCCGAAGATTCTTTGATGTATGATTATAATTTATCAGAATCCGGATTCCAAACTATCAAAACATAAATTCAAATCTTTATTAACATGATAAAAATATAGGGAAAAGTAATCATAGAAATGAGAAATCGTGACTAAAAGTAAAATTTACGACAATTCTAGAGTCGCTAATCTGAATAAATAGGTTTTCATTTAGGAATAGGAGACATTCTCAGGCTACAAGTAGAATGTCACGTGTAAAATTTTTAAATCTCAATAAAAATCTAGCAGATAACCTAGTCCCAAATCTTATAGCCTGTCAGGGCTCTGGGTGGGGCCCTCAATCAAATACTCCAGACTATCCGAAGAGTTTTCTTTAACTTGTCGAGAGCCCACGAAATTATGATACAAGTAACACCACCGTGTACTGCAAGATTAGGATGCGATGTCGTTCTTACATTGAGCGTGATAAGTTGCTTTCACATTTATTCGCTCCATGATAGCGTCAAGTTTCTCTTCTAGCGCATCCAACTCCGAGTTGAGGTCTACCAGAGTTCGCTGCTGAGTTACGTACCTGGAGATCATAAGTTAATATAAGCTATAAGTTAATATAAGTTATAAGTTAATATAAGTTATAAGTTAATTTAAGTTATAAGTTAATATAAGTTAATATAATCTATAAGTTATAAGTTATATGCAGATTGGGCAAAATGAGAAACATTTGTAACTAACTTGATAAAAACCTTGAAAAACAACAGAATATCTGAGAACGCAGCTTTAAGATAAACAAGAAAAAACAAAATTACGAACTTCTCAGTGAGATCTCCAACGTCGGTTAATTTCTCGTTGATAGCAGATTCAACTTCATCACTCCTCCGAGCCACTTCCTCAGTGTCTGACAACTGTTCTGCTATTTCTTCCTCCTTCTCAGAGATTTGCTCGTCTAAATCATCATAATCCTTTTTAAGTCGAGATACCTAGGTAAAAAGGAGGGCTATGTTATACGGCTTATATTTACAATTACATTTAGAGTTGAACTAAGATACTGATTGGGGACTGGCCTCGAAGAGACCAGACAGTGTTTACTCAGAATATACAAATATACGATACAATAACAATAAACATGTATAGTGTAAAATTCTGCGTGATTTGTGAGACTAGCTATCTCCGCTAATGAAAGATATATCACAACATATAACTACAGTCACTAACCTGCTCCTCGTTATCCTGTACAGTCCCTCCGGCCTCATCTATCTCTGCCTGAGCGTTCTGAGCGATAGTATCTCCACTGCTGATATCAGCCAGTAGTAGTTGCAGTTCTCGCTCCAGCTCATCCAGGGCGTCCTCCAGTCCTTCTCTGGACGTTTCAGCTGCATCCTTATTCTTCTCAATCTGTAACAGCTCAGTTAATTGGTATGCACTATGTAGGGTCAAACAGTATCCCATTTATTGTTAACATCATATCCAATATCATATTCCACCATTTTTAATTTCTACCAACCTCGCCAATATCATTCCACCCATCGTTAACAACTTCAGAGGTAGATCCCAGCAGTTCCTGGGCAGCCTGGTAGTTCTCATCAAAGTCTCTGAGAGCCGAGGTGGCCTCGAGGATGGAGTCTAGTGTGTCGCTGGCATCTGTTGACACATTGTTAGCTTTCTCCAGCAAGTCAGCTACTCTCTGCTTGTCTGGCAGTGACACCTCCACATCTGAAAAACATTACAATTACAACTCAATATTATGGACAGAACTGTAAACTCGTAATATTGCTGAAAAGTCGATTTTTAGCGGTTAATCTGAAAAGCTCTGTCCTAAATACTTCAAATAAATGGTTCCCACAATATTACCAGTATTGACAAGGTTGATATCGTTCAGAGCCTGAGTGAGTTGGTCAATCAGATCTGATAGCTCTTGTTCGTTGAGAGGTAATCTCAAAGCGTTAATATCTGAAGAGAGAAACCCAGTTATGTATCATGGAGAAGATGAGTCAAAAACTGATCTCAGAAGAGAAAATGTGTTCTCGTTTTAATAAATTTAACAGCAATCGTCTTGCGGTCAAGTTATAAAGGACACGACAACATTATAACTTTATAAGTGGCTGGGTTAACCATGCTGCTAAATTACCCTGTACGATCTGCTCGATCTCCTGAGCACTGGCCCGGTCTGCTTGTAACAGCTGATCTATCTTCCTCTTGGTATCCTGCAGTCTCTCTGCTGCCTCGTCTACTGTGCCCTTCGTCTCCTCACTCGTCTGAACACAGGTTTAATTTAAATTTCATTAATTTATCTATTATTTTATATATTGTTAGTGTTATTTAACATGTGGCGGAGCCTTCATTATGGCAGTATAAAAGCTGTATTAAAATAAGAAGGGCTGGTGTACCTGTTTCATCTCCTGAACACTAGTGTCGATCTCGTCAGCCTTACTGTTGAGCTCCCTGAGGTCGGAAGTAGCGGCAGTAACCTCCCCCTGCCTCTCATCAGCACAACTCCTAGCCTCTCCAGCCAGCCCTGTTATACTACTGATGATCCCCACAGCTCCCCCGCAACCTGGCCCTCCGCAGAACCCACACTTGCTACCTCCACACGGGTCACAAGAGTCAGGGTCAGTGGCTCCACACACACTAGCGTCTAATACTCCTAACTTGTCGGTCAGGTCAGAGATCTGGTCCTCTATTTCTGACAGCTTCTCTACTGCTGAGGTATCTTTAAAGATATCGTCTTTCAGGATCTTCTCCGTTTTGGCAGCCTTCTCCTCGGCTTCCTCTATTTGAGACTTGGTAGCATCGGCAGCCTCCTTAGCCACAGCAGAGCGCTTAGCAGCATCCTCCACCAGTTTGAGGGCCTCGTCCAGATTAGCAGCTGATAGGGTCATGGCTCTCTCTGCCAGATTGTTAGTTTCCTCTCTGAAGTTATCCAGACTGTCTTTAAGCTGGTCTAGAGACGCTAAAGTGTCCGCAGTTTCCTGGTCTATGTCCCCTATTCTGCCCTCTAGAGTGTCCAGCTCGTCACTCTTGGTCTGCAGCGCGGCTCCCAGATCTCTCAGGGTGTTGGTTAGTTCTGTTATCTCCTCGTCATTACCAGGCGAGGACTTAGCTAGCTTCTCTGCTTCCTTCAGAGTTTGTTTCAGATCTTTGAATATAGCTTGCAGTTCCTCTTCAGTTAGATCAGCGGCGTCTAAATGGATGTTCTGGGCTTTGTCTGCCAGTTGGTTGATCTGATCCTCTATAACTTGCACCTCCCTCTCCCAGTTATCATAGCACTCCCCACAAGGCACACAGGCGGGGAAAGTGCCTGTAGTTCCACGTGCACAGCTGTCACACTGCATTCCGATAATTCCTTCGTTACAAGTACACTGACCGGATGCGTCACACTGTGTGTCAGTGCTCCCCTCCATGTTACACTCACAAGCCGTGCACTCTATCTCAGAGTCGTCTGAAGCTACAGAGTAGAAGCCAGCCCTACACTCGTTACACTTGAACCCCTGTATCCCCTCCTTGCAGTTACACTGCCCTGTCTCCGTGTCACACTCATCGTTAACTGAGCCTCTCATGTCACACCCACACTCGTCACACCCTACCTCCGCAGTAAGGTTCCAGTAACCAGCAGAACACGTGTCACACTTGTTACCGGTCACGTGGGGCAGACAGTCACACAGTCCTGACACGTGATCACACACTGACGAGCTGGACCCTACTTCGTCACACCCGCAATCCCGACACTTTGGTAACTCTGCGCGCAGCGCGTTACCATAGAAACCAGGGAGACATCTCTCACACTCATTGCCAGTAGTGTCGTAGAGACAGTTCTGACAGACACCATCCTCCTTGTTGCAGCTGTACGGGTCTGACAGGTCTATATTGTTGTTACACTCACAGGCTGTACATTGTCCGTTAGTTCCAAAGAAACCTGCGAGGTATTTACTTGTGAGCACGGTGATATTCACGATAGAGAGCTCTATCATGTTCATAACATCAAACACAATACGTTATAAGCTATAATAGAATGTTTAGAGAGAAATAATATAACAACATATAAACTGTATAAGCTATAAAATGAGAGAAATAATATATAACTAACCTGGAGCGCACTCCAAACAGTTGGGGCCAGTGTACCCATTCTCACACTCATCACACACAGGGAACTGACTGCCATCCCCGGGAAGGGAGCAGGAAGGAGACGCGGCGTTCCGAGAACAGGGACACGCTACACACTGCAGAACCCCGTCCTCTTGGGCTGGGTAATACCCTTCCTGGCACACATCACATCTATCTCCTGCAGTGTTGCCCTGACAGTCAGCACACACACCTGTCTCTCTGTCACACTGGTTACTGTGGCCGTTACACAGTACTATACACTCGATACACCTGAGGTTTTATATTATTATCAATCGATTTTTTATTAATTGTAGGGGCTAATTAGCGTTACCACATGATTAGCTCTATTTTGTAATGCTGAATGTTTTTTTTGCAGAAAAGAAAGGAATAAAAAGCAGTCATATTGGATATGATTTTAACTTTTTATTAAATGCAGCAAGACGAAAAAATGGATTGCAGACTAGTTAAATTGCAGTGACACAGGAAACTCACTCGAAGGAATAGCCACCCCTAGAGAAGTCTTTAGCATATCCCTTAGAACAACCTCCGCAAGCGTGGCCAGTATACCCTTCAGGGCAAACACACTGCTCTATGTTCTTAGCTTTCTTGTTTCCACTTTTTTGTACTCCTTTCTGTATCGAAAATTCTGAAATTGTTCAAGATTATCATTAATATCCATATATCTATTATTCATTTGAAGATTTTTGGGTACTATAGGTAGTCTTCTGTAATATACCCGTAATATATCTCTTTACAAACTACATACTAAGAATAAGAGCTGCTAACAACAGATAATTGGAAAAGTGCAATTATTCTTACCTTTAATCTTCTGGTCATGTTTTTTAGATTCAGGGAATATGGTAGTAATCTCTAGTCTGGTGATGTCGCTGAGGATGAACTTCATTGTAGCCAGATCAGACACTCCCCCACTCTTAGCAGTGAAACTGTGCTCGTAGAGGGAGATTGAGAGGAACTTAGGCTCTGTTTCTACCAGTGTTCCGGTCACGTACCGCTCACCACGATACAAACGTATTAGAACCTGTGACATCAGAAGTTAGGAGAGCTGTAGTGGTAGTTATATACTAGACTATATTAGTAACAATGTTAGAGAGATAGGATGATTTAAATAGTAAATATGAAGGAAGCTTCCACACATTGTTCCAAACAGCTACTGGGGGGAGGGGGGCTGCTGAGGGCTGGGGAGTGGATGCTGGGGAGGGGGATGCAGGGGAGGGAGATGCTGGGGAGGGGGAGGGGGATGCTGGGGAGGGGGATGCTGGGGAGGGAGGGGGCTGCTGGGGAGGGGGATGCTGGGGAGGGAGGGGGATGCTGAGGAGGGATATGCTGGGGAGAGAGGGGGGGGGGGGGGGCTGCTGGGGAGGGGGAGGGGGGCTGCTGGGGAGGGGGCAGCTGTTTACTCTCACCTCCAGATCCTCATATCCGTTAAGATTGACGGTAAGGTCCATTCCGTAGCTGGTGTAGAAGTCACCAATGTCAGATGCTTCCCAAACAAACTCTGTTCCTGACGTAGCCCCTATCACATACTTCGGCCTGACTTCCTCTGCTCCACCAACAACTCCCCAGTCCAGATCCAGCACTTTGTTCTTGATAGTCCATCCTTTAGCAGCGGAGCACTCGTCAGACACTCCGTTACAGTAACATCGGATACATCCAGCCGGGTTATCTTCACTGAAAAGTAGAAGTTTACAAAGCCGGGTTATCTTCACTGAAAAGTAGAGGTTTACAAAGCCGGGTTATCTTCACTGAAAAGTAGAGGTTTACAAAGCCTGATAAATATACAATAATATAATCTATTTATATATCATATTATAGTATATTTATATGTTTATATTTGTATGTTTATAAACAAACCTGATAAAGAAGGAGTTAGCTTTGCAGCTGTCACATCGTGTTCCAATAACGTTATCCTTACAGTTACACTCCCCAGTAGTCTGGTCACAGCCCAGTTCAGCGCTTCCGGCAGGGTTACATTCACACTCCTGGCATCCTACCCCTTCTATCAGGTTGTAGAACCCTACAAATATAATTACAATTATTATCATCACACAACATTCACAAGTGAGTACTGATGTTATAATAAGATAGAAGTATTTTAAGCGGGCACATCCTGTCCAAACCCAGGATACATGACATAAAAGATTCGTTTTAACTTGTTTGCATGAAAAGCATTAATAGGTAAAATAATTGTAAGAATTTAAAATCATAAAGAAATTATCGGTTGATTAAAAGGAAATTGATGAATACTAAAGGAATTAAATAATGAATGAATTAAATAATAAAGGAATTAAATAATAAAGGAATTAAATTATAAAGGAATTAAATAATAAAGGAATCAAATGACAGAGGAATTAAATAATAAAGCAATTAAATCATTAAGCAATTAAATCATTAAGCAATTAAATCATTACGCAATTAAATAATAAAGGAATTAAATAATAAAGTAATTAAATAATAAAGCAATTAAATAATAAATCAATTAAATAATGAATCAATTAAATAATAAAGCAATTAAATAATAAAGCAATTAAATAATAAATCAATTAAATAATAAATTAATAAATTGCTACTGACCAGTAGAGCAGTGTTCACAAAGTGGACCAGCTACACCAGGCAGACAGGAACACGAAGCAGTAGCCTCGTCACAGGTAGGGAGAGCAGCTCCAACACCACACTGGCACGCTACACACCCATCCTTTCCTGTACTCTCTAGTCCCACATAACCTGAAAATAGTAAATTTGTAGAATACCTCTCTTATATCATGCTAATAGGTGATAAACGTGATCAGAAGACAAGGGACCCTCTGTACTGACTTGGTACTTCTCTCCCTCCCTCCCTCCCTCCCCCGCCTGCCCGGTACTTACCATCAACACACTGTGAGCAGGTTGTAAGTCCGTTAATATCAGTGGATGTAAGTACTCCCTCGTGACACGGACACTGTCCTGTCTCCATATCACAGATATCAGATTTGCTTCCGAAACTGTTGCAGTCACACGCTGAAAACAGGGATTTAGAGAGATGTTGCAGGACAGATTAATGTATAATGTATAATGTATACTGTATAATGTATAATGTATAATGTATAATGTATAATGTATAATGTATAATGTATACTGTATAATGTACAATGTATACTGTATAATGTATAATGCATAATGTAGTAGAGTGTATACGTGTATCAGTAGTGTTGTACAGGATACTACAGTTAAACTCACGAGAGCACAGTCCCTGGGAGAGTATCCCGAAGTAAGTAGGAAGGCACAAGCCGCAGGTTCGTCCGGTGTAGCCCTCTTTGCAGGGGCACTGTCCTCCGACACTGTCGCAGTCTCCAGATAGAGATCCACCCATGTTACAACCGCATCCTGAGGGGGAAACTTGGGGGTTGGCATTAGTTTCATAAGTAGGGTGGGTTTATATTTTAATAGATTATTTAACTTGAAATGTGAGCAATGATACTCATTTGTCATGATACTGGTTAAAATGTATTACTAAATAGGAATAATTGATAATTGAGAAAATGATAGGTTAGTCGGAGATTTCCAAAATTGCTGTCTCGACTAATCATTGATCACTTGATCACCAAATATCAACCTAAACTTAAAATGTCAAATGGCAATCTGTCGTTTCTGATAGACCACCCGCGATGTTTGTTAGAAAAGCTCATGTAAGGTAATGGTGCAGCTGACATGTGTCATCATAACATCATAACATCATAACATCTTAAATAATGGTGTTGAAACACTACCCAGATACTGAGTGGAGTTGGGTTAAAAACATATAAGAGATACGATGATTTAACTTGTAGAAGCTTTCAATAAACATGTGTTAATCGTCGTCAGCTGAATGTGATGTGGTGGACAATGCTTATATGTGATTGAGTGGTGTCAGGGATGGAGGGTGGGGGAGGTGTGGGTGGGAAAGTGAAAATTACAGTACAATGTCAATAAAAATTTAGTCTTCTGTTGAGGTTGAGAAGGAAATGCCAGATGGTCTGGACTTTAAGGATTTGGCAATTTTAGGAAGAATGGGGTCCCAGAGGGAACTACATTTGGGTGCGCGGTCTGTTCTGTTCATAGCTGGTTGTCGTATTTGTATAGCTGCGTGTTCTGTGAGGTCTAGTTGGGTGCGTGAGGTGAGGGATTTGAGGACTTCGATGTTGTTCCAGGAGATGGTGTGGCCGGTGGTCAGGGCATGATGTGCAGGGGCTGATTTGATTCTGTCTGTGGATTCGTCGATGGCGTTGTTGAGTCTGTAACATCGTTCGTGTTCTTTCATGCGGTGGACCAAGGGTCTGTAGGTCTGTCCGGCGTATTTGGAGGGGCACTGTGAGCAGGAAATTTCGTAGATGGTGTTGGGGGTGAGGTGAGTAGGGGGTGTGGTCTTCGTTTTGGTGAGGAGGTTGCGGAGGGAGGTAGCAGAGGAGTGGGTGACTTTGATGTCGTGTTGTCCGAGTATCTTAGAGATGGGTTTGGATAGGGAGGGATGGAAAGGAAGAGAAACACTAAGGGCATGTTCACGGGTCTGTCGGTTGAATGAGGCTAGGGATTGGTGGCGAGAGGGGTTGGTGAATTTCCGTTGTACTTCGTCCATGATGGTGGTGATGCGGTGAGGAGGGAAGCCGTTCTGGAGGCAAACGTGTCGTACTGTTTGGAGTTCGTCGTCAAGGTGTTGGGGTGAGCAGATGTTGTGGGCTCTTCTGGTCAGTGATCGGATGACTGCGTTCTTAGATGAGTTGGTGGTGCAGGAGGAGTACTTGGTGTAGAGGTTGGTGTGGGTGGGTTTTCTGTAGACTGATGTGGATTTGTCAGGGTGGATGAGAACGTCAAGGAAGGGTATAGTTCCGTCTGTAGAGGGATGTTCTTGGGTAAAGTTGAGGTCTTCAGTAAGGGAGTTAAGGAATGTAAGGAAGGATTCTGCGTGGTTTCTGTCTCTGAAAGATCCAAGGCCGTCGTCAACGAAATGGGAGTAAGTGTTCGGAGGGTCAGGACATGAGGATAAAGCTAAGGTCTCGATTTCAGCAAGGCGGATTTCAGCTAGTTCAACAATGAGGGGGGATCCCATTGTACCACCTTCGTCTTGGGAGTAGAAGGAGCCGTTGAATTCAAGGTATGAGTTGTCAAGGCAAAAGTTGATAAGGGAGCCTATGGTGGTGGTGGTGACATTGGAGGGAAGACGAGAGGGGTTCTGTTCAAAGGAGGAGATGACAGTTTTGAGGGCTAGGCGCATGTCACAGGAGGTGTACAAGGATTGGACGTCTAAGGAGGCGTGGTAGTGGAAGGAGGGATTGAGAGAGGAGTCGAAGCGATGTTTGAAGTCGGAAGAGTCTTTGAGGCGTAAGGGGTTCTGGGCTAGGGGTTTGAGGAAAGATGCGAGGACTTTGTGGAGGGCTTGGAGGGGGGTGTTGTAGAAGCTGACTACGGGACGGATAGGTGCGCCGGGTTTGTGTATCTTAGGTTGTCCGTAAAGTTGAGGCCATCTAGGATGTAGGTTGCGCATCTTGTGGTATAGGTCGGTCGTGATCTTCTTGTCGGTGTGTAGTTTCTTGAGGACTTTCTGTAGTTTAGTGGTAACGGATTGAGTGGGGTCTTTCGTTAAGAGGGTGTAACTACCTGAGGATAAGTGGTCGGTAACTTTGGTTATGTATTGATCGTGAGTCAGTACAACAGTGGCGTTGCCCTTATCAGCAGGAAGAAATTTCAATTCAGATTTCTTAGATTTTAAAGATTTAAGAGCGGTACGTTGTTGTGGAGTCAAATTGTCGGTGGTCATGTCACGTTTATTGTCAAATTTAGATAATACAGAGGTGACCTGATATGTGGCTGAGGCTTCCATGCCTTCTCCTAGTTGTTTAGTGATATTCTGTATGAGGGGAGCCAGGTCGGGGGTAGGATCTGAGGTGGGTGTCGGGACGAACTTCAGTCCAAGGGAGAGGACGTCAGTTTCAGCTGTGGAGAGGGTCTGTCCAGAGAGGTTGATCACTGTTTTGGCTGTGGTGTCTTTCTTGGGGGTAGGTGAGGTCTTGAGGAGGGGACCATGAAATGTGGGAGAGGGTATGTCGAGCGTTTTAAGAGTGTCGTAGGGTGAGAGGAACGGGGTGTCGTATTCTGAGAGTAGTACCGCGAACTTCTTTTGGTGAGTAAGTAGTTGTTTTCTGTGGGTGTATGAGGATTTTTTGGTGTTGAGGTGTCCTAGTTTCTGAAAATATTGAGGGGTTATGAGTGATTCTATGTGTCTGAGGTTGTGCTCATAAGTGCGTTTGTGTTGTGCATATTTGAGGCGATACCCAGATATCCTATTAATTACTCTTATCTTGAATAATCGCATCGTAAAAAAGAGCCATAAACTGTCAAAACAATAGTCTACGTAGATGTTTGTAAAATTATTTTGCAGTTTCTTGGACAACACATCAGAGAGAGGTGCGCTGAAGTGGGGCTGAAGTCCGCTTACAAATTGTATTCTTTCTTACACGAGAAGTACGTACTTCTCTGAATTAATAGTAGAGTAGCTCACTTTTATCTTAATAAAACACGTATTAGTACACCCACACTTAGTCTAATGTTTGGACTGTATCCTGGCTTACAGTCAGGAGCATTCTTACCACCTGTATCAAGGAGCTGGCAGTATGAACACACTCCTCACTGAATCTTAGGTGAGAACATATTAATTAATTATATTTAATCCTGTTTGTTGAAATTGAGTTATAATTCCGATTATTTGAAAAAAGTTAAAACAGATATGGTAAAGTGAAGTAAAGGAATTGAGTGAGCACTGGGATCTGTACCTACTTACAAGTGTCTCTAAACACATGGTTTGGTTTATGAGACGCCTACTTAAGCACTCACCAACAGCCTCCCCAATGAGGGAAGCAATGATAGCCACATCCAGCTCATCACACGCCTTGTTGCGTCTACTGCCACAGTCCTGGTCCAGGTACTCCTGGTACAGGTCCTGCAACTCCTCGTTATCAGGGAACGCTACTTCGGGGTCCTCCGGGAACACGAAACCAAACTACAGAGAAGTCGAGGTGAAACACAAGGAAATATTTTATAAAGGTTATTATATAGTAAAACATAGCATATACAACAACGATTCTTTTCATTTATATTTTTTCCGGTGTCACTAGTAAAAGAACTATACCGTATCCAGGGGGAAGCCGTCCTCGTACTCAGTAGCACCCTCACACTCCACTGGAGGTTCCACTCTCTCCCTCACTGTTAACTTTATATCGTAGGTGTTAGCTCGTCCCACACAAACATTAGGTATACGTGTCTCTGTAGTGCACGGCTCTACTCGCACGTTGAATGTCTGGAGGGTGCAGGTGGTATATCAGTACTCTTTATTGGGGTACACTCAGCCTTCATATACCTTTATTTAACATATTATATAATACTGATTGTTGAATCATGCAGTTATCACGACTGAGGATGAAAGGTTACTGATAATTACTTGGGTTGAGTATGGCAATATTTCCCCGTTTAAGCAGTTGAAGGCTGTCGGTTTCTCGTTCCCTTTGGTCTTGGTGTGAGTGACCTCCACTACAGCGTCCCAGGCGTATCTCGACTAAGCAAAATACTTAAATAAATGGACAAGAACAAAATTGGCAAGAGATGGGTTTCTGATCATTTTGTGACTTGGAGAACCAATAACTCAGATAGACAGATGGGGTATATAGTTGATATAATTAATAATATCTTCTTATTTGAGATATAATAATGTAGCAGTATTGCCCGTACCTGGTACAAATTATATAGAACTTAACAGCTGACAGCTTCACTGATAAATTGAACTTTCAATAATGATAATAAATATCGAAGTCAATGCATGATGCTATATAAAGGACCCATACAACAAAATATGGGTTTGTGTCGTCCAGCCCAAAAGAAATAATTTTTCAGAAAAAATGATTTGTTTGATTTAAAGGCTACGACTCAGCTACTTCTTGAGCTGAAATTTTGCACAGAATTTGCCCACGTGTTGTTCTACATGCGCGGCGTGTTCAATTTCTGAAGGCTGTGTTGTCCAGGGTCGTACTGGAGTTTCAGTGAAGTCATTTGGGCTGGACAGATTAATTGTATGGCCTCCTAAACAATTAGTAGTAACTGCTAAACAAATATCTACAAACCTTTAAATGGTTGACCATAAGGTCCATGATTCCCGTGTACGGTACATTTTCAGCAGCGTTCTCCACATCGTCCTTCTCACCTGTCTTCAGACTCAGCTCTCCGCCTGAATCACACCAATGCTGTTATGTATTTATTTCTGCTGGATCTTTTTAATAAAGTTTAACACGCAGCAATTAAATTAAATTCATTGAAAAATATATCAAAGATTAAATAAACCGGAAACAAACAAACGAACCCGGTGGAAGTGAAATGATAGCGTCTGAACTTCCTCCGTCGACACTAGCTCCTCCCTCGAACTTCTCCTGTTATTAGTATCTATTAGTCACGTGATACAACCTTTATATTCTAAAACAATTGCAGCTTTACATTAAGGTCTAAATGTTTATAACTACTGAGAGTGTGGTTGAACTGACCTCGTCAGAAGTGGGGTCATGTTTCCAACCACCGTCTCCCTGGATACACACAGCAACCTCACACTCCTCCCCGTCCAGGTCGTGGATCAGGTCGTGCAGGTCCGCCAGCAGGTCCAGACACTCCTGTTCCGGCTCTGAATACCCTGAAATATCTGGGGTTCTCGCATCAGTACATCTACATATTGTCTACATAATATCTACGTATTATCTACATAATATCTACATATCATCTACAATCTACATTATGTGTGACGTTACCGGCAGAGAGTCGGGGGCACTGAGCATCTACATACTCTTTCCATAACTTCTGAGCTTCCAAATTATCTGGGAATGCTTCCTCAGGCTCCAGAGGGAGAACCACATCAACCTGACAGATAATATCAGTTTATCTGGATAAGTTTCCTGCAGAGCCACTTCGTTTTGAAGTGTTAAAGCGACTTGGTCACACTTATTATATTTTTCAGTAAAGACTAAAAGTCTACTGAAAAATAGAATAAGTTATCTAGTTTTCCTTATATAAGCTGATCGATAAAACACGTGTATGTTCAAGTTGGATTGTAACTGGTCATTAATTGATCAGTTAAGATATGCCGAACATTCTCAGAGTACAGTAAAACCCCGATTTACCGCAAACCCCGATTTACCGCGGCCATTTCCTTTCCCCCAAATAGGGCGTAACATGTATAATGTAAACAAACAAAAAAAACCCGATTTACCGCGGACCCCGATTTACCGCGGACCCCGATTTACCGCGGACCCCGATTTACCGTGGATGTTTCCTTTCCCCCAAACTCTGCGGTAAATCGGGATTTTGATGTATGTATAATGTCACATTAAGGTAACGCGCGGCGCGCACTACCACTATACGTAGTAGTGTATAGTAGTACGTTATTTATCTACCTTATCTACCTTATTTATCTACCTTTATCTACCTTGTACTACTACATTTTATTCCATGTTTACAATTTGCAGTAACCGTCGCAATGACCAGTTCACTGTTAAATAAAGCGCGACCTTCTTTTTACAACTTAAATAGCCTGTCAAAGTTCTAAAATAACTCGGTGCAGTATTTATGAAAAGTTATCACTTGACACGACAAATATACTTTTTGACAGTCATGGAGCTCCGTAATTGTTGAGTAAAGGAAAGATTGTCTAGCTCAACAAACATCTGATAACAACAAACAGCTTGTATTCTAAAACACTGTCAAGCTCCAGTCATTCGTACTTGTTTCTGGTTTGTTTTGTGTCTGAAATGAGCGCCACTACAGATACTATGCTGGACACAGCACAGATTAACAGTATTGATGTTGCAGTAGACTCCAGTCCTGCTACATACATAAATATAAACGAGTTTCCGTGGTATCTGGTGTTTAAGAGTCTGTGTGCCACATTCCGGGAGGAGGAGCACGAGATAAGGGTAGTGGGAGGGGCTGTCAGGGACATTATCCTCAACATACAACCTAAAGATATAGACTTGTGTACCACAGCACCGCCTCACATAATGGTGGAGATACTGAACAAACACAATATTATCCTGCGTGAGACGGGAATACAACACGGAACTGTCACTGTCATCAAGAAAGGGTTCCAATTTGAGATGACTTCTCTCAGGGTTGACTACATGGACAAGGGGGAGAGAGTCTGCAGATATGGGACTGACTTTAAAGAAGACGCTAACAGGCGGGATCTGACTATCAACGCTATGAGTCTGGATGAAGAAGGGAGAGTACATGACTACTTCCAGGGACAGCAGCATCTGGCTGAAGGAGCACTAAGGTTTACAGATAGTGCACTGACGAGAGTATCTGAAGACCCCCTTAGAATACTCAGGTACTTCAGATTCGCCAGCTGTTCTGATCTGTTCCCTGTGAAATGCCCGGAGGACTACAAGGAAATATTCTTCCAGAAGAGGTCAGCACTGGCTGATCCGAGCATAGTTAAGGGAGAACGGATCTGGAAGGAGATTGGCAAAACCCTGTCCTCCCCCAAATGTTGCGATGCTCTGGATCAAATGAAGGAATGTAAAATCCTGAGATCTATGGGGTTCCCGGTAGTGGAGAAGTCGTTTAAATGTCTGATAGATCCCACGTACACGGCAGAGGGACTGATACCAGACACAAAGGCTGCAGTCATCTTAGGGATCATCTTCAAGGGTAAAACGGATATGTTAGAGGAACTGGTAACCAGGTGGAGGGTGAGTAACAAAGTAAAGGATGTCTCGAGGATTGCAGCGGTACTGTCAAACAATGGGGATATCGCAGATATAAAAAGACATCTTTATTCTTTAAACCCAGCAACATTCAAAGAAGAAAAGAGTGTAAGGATTCAAGCACTTAGATCTGATAAACTGTGCTGGCTAACTGAAGAGCAAGTTAAAGACCTGGAATCATTTGAGAGGCCCACATTCCCCTTCAACAGAGATCATTTCGCCAAAGTGCCCAAATTTAAGAGCAAACAGAAAGATGCAACCGACTGGATTAAAGAAAAGTGGGTAGAAAGCTGCTTTACAATGGAAATACCAGAGATGATAGAGATGGTGAGAAAGATAGCTGATGATCCTGAAATACTGCGTGACCGTCTGAGCAGAGTCTAAGTGAGAACTTGAAGATCTGTACCAAGATCATAAGGGATATTAATTACGGACTAATTATCTAATAGTATTAATTACAGAGTTTAACTTTCACGCTCCAAAATTCAGTTTTTTTTTCACTAAAAATGTTGAAAATGTTGAGAGTGTTGAGATACTGTAATCTTTAAATTTTGTTTATGTTATGTCACGCTCAATTTTTTGCTTCATATTTGTTTCTCACTTCTGATCTATCATGCAATTATCATTAAAGCATCGTTAACAAGTTTACCGAGGAAAAGCGAAATGACTGATGATTTTTTAAATGTATAAAATAACCCGGGAAATAATAAAAGGTGTGCCTCTAACTGATAACTCACAGAATGGATGACAACGTTGATACCACTAGTTTCAGCGTATATCCTATCACTGTTAGGAGGCTGAACTCCCTGGTAGATCATCTGAACATCATATTCCAGCTCCGGATCCAGGCAGATGGGGCCCACCTCCACAAACGCCACGTCAGATTGGATAACTTTGCGGATGAGCTGCTGTTTAGCAGAGGATGTGTCTCCACACATCTCGTAATCTGGTGTTGTAACAGTTATTCAATAGCTTGAATAAAATAATTTAAATATTACGGCACCTGTCGTACATGTTGCCTCTGAGAGGGAGAGAGAGAGCTTTATGTCGAGACAGTCAAATAAGTTGAGCAGTCGAATAATCTCCGTACGAATGTGATACAAGTCACATCTTTCTTTTTATCAGCATTTTTATAGCGAGACATTCAGACATGTTATGTCAGCTCCGAGTTACTTAAAACCTGGGCAAGAGGAAACTAGTAACGAGTTAAATACTTCGTGGACCAGATTTTAACGAATGAATAGTACCCCCGGCCACCCCCTCACCCGGCCATCCCCGGTCTCCGCAAATAAACCTTTGAAGTATGTTCGTGGACAGCATAATGATTGAAATCACAATTATATCTAGTCTGCCTGTCTCCATTTCTTTATTAAAACATCCCATCAGCTACGAGATCGGAGTATTGTCCACCTGACATCATGTCTATCTTCACAGTTCACGTGACATATGACTGTTTTTCTGGCGATCGGTTAAACAGCGAATTTAGGTTGCCACAATAACGACGATCAGGATAGGTGAATTTTAATAAGATATTGATTGTAGAGTAGGATAGTGACGTGGAGTAACAGTTAATAGTCACGCGTGAGACAACCCCACCCCAGACAGTTCATAATAATTCTGATAAAAGTATTTTGCAAACGTTTCGTGGCATTTGATTTTACTTTACGGGGCTTTTCTCACAAAGACTTAATCCTATCTTAGTAAATCCACTCTACTGATAACTTCACAAAATAATGTAAAGGTAAAACTTACTTTCCAATGCCACAGTTCAGGCATTTTATTTAAAGAATTTTAGATCGAACTCCTACAATACAATAAAGAATGTACCGCCATACCAATTTAACTAACAATACTAATTAATAATCTTACTAAATATTAATTTATTCAACTAACCGTCAGTGTTGTCCTTGCTGCCATCTTTGGGTGTGATGATGATATCCACAACTCGGTTGTAGTCCTCTGGGTTCACAGTGAAGATAAGGGAGTTCAGACCGGACTTTGGAGCTATGGAGCCGTCAAATGTGAACACTACTGATTTTCCTCCAGATAGAACGATAGCACCGGAATCAGAAACACCGGCAACATTTCCTAGGAAGTTATCATCTCCTTTGGACCAGATGCTTTCCTCGGGTAGACACAGCTCTTCATTACAGTCAACTGAAGATGTGTGGAGTTGGACACAATTATCATTTCAGGATCTTTACATTAGAAGAGAAGACTGTCGTGATAAAACTACTAGTACTCAGTACTCACCCTTGGTGGTGACTCTACTACTCACCTTTGGTGGTGACTCTACTACTCACCCTTGGTGGTAACTCTACTACTCACCCTTGGTGGTGACTCTACTACTTACCCTTGGTGGTGACTCTACTTACTACTACTCACCCTTGTATTTGTCGTTATTCTCGTCTATTTTTTCCTGCACCCCACGTGACGCCGCCGCGCACTCGGCACTGAACACTTGGTTCTCACACGTGTTAACTAGGAAGTCCACCAGATCCTGAGCTTCTGAGTCGTCAGGGAAGAGGTTCTCTGTGTCTCGGGGCAGTTCCGCGTAGATCTGATAAATTAGGGGACGTTTATAAGAGCTAGTGTAATACCGGGCAGTTTATATGCAGAGTGAGAAATATGCAAAGTACCTTGAGATAGTGTAATGTATGTAGTTAGTGTAATGTATGTAGTTAGTGTAATGTATATATATATAAAATGTATAATGTAAATACTTAAATAGTATGCACGCCAAGTACCTTGGTTATCTTAACAGCGTTCCCTTCTTCATCCATGATCTTGATCTCAATATCGTAGAGCCCGTTATCCAGAAGACATGCCTCAAACTCTACACTTGTCTTGGTAGGGTCGAGGGGAATGGTGAACTTGCGGGTTCCCGGTTTAACAGTCTCATCCCTACACTTGAACTCTCCTGAAACCAGCCAAATTAGCGTTCTCTAGATATTAAGGGGGGGGGGGGGGGGGGGGGGGGGGGGATAACACAAAACATTGAATTATATTTTATAATCAATTATAACACAAAACATTGAATTATATTTTATAATTAATTATATCCTTTAAAAACATCTCTTAAAATACAACAAATCTACTAGATTAGTTGAGTTGGCCAACACGTGTTTTATGGGTGCTTTAATTAGCGTGAATATATGCACAATATAGGTGGTGTTTGGAATACAGCGAGTTTATTGAGCAATATGTATCCTTTATTTTAACTTTTGTTCTCATAGCTACTTTGTCCCACTTAAGGCAAGATTTTCTATTTCTTTCAGAGTTAGATACTATTTCTGCAGAGTTAGATACTATTTCTGCAGAGTTGAATACTATTTCTGTTGTCAAACTTTTTATGGTTTTCAATGTAGCATATTGCAGGCGGGAGTCTGAACTGATAATATAGCACATTAGCACTGAGGACTGAGGTACTAAGAGTACCATTAGCACTGCTGATGGACCAATCTAGTGAGCAGCTACTAGTGAGCAGAATACAAATCTAGTTACTCTACACTAACGAGGGAACCCATTTGGCGCTGTATTGGCTAGAAATCAACTTAGTACTTGTAGTTCCAGCTAGAGAACAACGCCCCAACAACTTAGTACTTGTAGTTCCAGCTAGAGTACAGCTTAGTACTTGTAGTTCCAGGTAGAGTAAAACCCCGATTTACCGCGGAGTTTGGGGGAAAGGAAGCACCCGCGGTAAATCGGGGTTCGCGGGAACCCGTATAACCCTAAAATGGTGTCAAGACTCAATACAAGAGACTAAAATAATTATTACCTATTTAATTCGCGTTTTTGACACCACTTGGGGGTCCAAATTTTAGGCTCTAAAACTTCTTTTTCTTGGCAAATCTTTTATTTTTTCATGCTGATTTGGAGGCCATTGAAGCATTTGACCCAGTCAAAAACGTTTCAGTTGCATATCTTTTACGGTTTTTGCGGAAAGTCGCGTTAAAGTTGATGCTGTGGTGTCAGTAAAATGGTACGGAACCCTCCGCATTATATATAGATATATCGTCTCGCTTTATATATAGTAAGATTATAAATCTTCAGCCCTATTTGGGGGAAAGGAGATAGCCGCGGTATATCGGGGTTTGCGGTAAGTCGGGGTTTGCGGTATATCGGGGTCTGCGGTAAATCGGGGTTTTACTGTAGTTGCTGTTAAATACCCTGTATAGCCCTCTCCAACCAGCCCATTAATATGTTCTACGAGAAAGCCCAACATGTTGCGTCATCAGGCTACGACGTTAGTTATATTAATAAGTTTCGCCGCATCCAATGGTTTATTGCTTATTGTAAGATTATGAGAGATATTATAATTGAGTCTTCTGTCTTACGTAACATTTCTTTTTACGTAACTTTTCTTTTTATTAATGGTTTCCGTTACCATTGGTTTTTAAGAATATCATTCTTAAAAACCGGTGGTAACGGAAACTATTACAAAAAAGAAAAGTCACGTTAGAATTAGGATCATGCTGCTTGCAGCTCCATTATAATACCCCCACAATCTGCCATGATCTGACATATGTCATAGTTAAACTAACTTTATAAAATGCTGTTTTATAGATATAAATAGATTGAATAGCCCGGACGACCTATAAAACGTGGCCCCAAGTAGGTATCCTTACTCGCCGGATTAATCTTGCGATTAGCAGGAGGCTCTATACTTAGCAGGGTTAGTAGTTAACAGGGGCCAGCTAGCAGCTTTGTTAGTCTCTGAGGGTTAGTGATATAAGGGGTAACCAATAGACGCAGCAAAACCACCCTCTACAGAACACATGTATTCAATCAGCTCTGTCACGAGGAGCAGCTCGTCGGCTGGCCTCATCTCATCGTCTAGTTAAATGAGATTGTTCCTCCTTCTCGAGAGGAACTTCATTATTTATCTCCCCTATCTATACCTCCTGTATAACATTTCGCAACATCAAAATGTAGGATATATAATAGCAGCTTTTAACGGCGATCATTTGTTCACAGTGGTATTAACGTGGCAGTGATGTGGCAGTGATGTGGCAGTGAAGTGGCAGTGATGTGGTAGTGATGTGGCAGTGATGTGGCAGTGATGTGGTAGTGATGTGGCAGTGATGTGGCAGTGATGTGGTAGTGATGTGGCAGTGATGTGGCAGTGATGTGGCAGTGATGTGGTAGTGATGTGGCAGTGATGTGGCAGTGATGTGGTAGTGATGTGGCAGTGATGTGGCAGTGATGTGGTAGTGATGTGGTAGTGACGTGGCAGTGATGTGGCAGTGATGTGGTAGTGATGTGGCAGTGATGTGGCAGTGATGTGGTAGTGATGTGGCAGTGATGTGGCAGTGATGTGGTAGTGATGTGGCAGTGATGTGGCAGTGATGTGGCAGTGATGTGGCAGTGATGTGGTACCTTAGTCCACGGCTCGCCTTTTCAATTCATTAATAAGGTTCATTAATAATATTCACATGTATAATGTTATGAGTGAAACTGATATTCTTATAGTATTACATTTCTCGTATATATTCAGTTCATTAAGCATTAAGACGAAAAACCATACATTAAAGTTAGTTGATGCGTTAGTTTCTAGATACATCAACCCAGCACCCATTCGCATTCCGTGCACTATCCTGATACATGATATTAAACAGGATGATGCAAAAAGAATATTGGGAAATTAAATGGCCATTATTTCCAAGATAAATTTAAAAATCCGTTTAATCCGTTTATCGGATCTCTGAAAGGTTTTCTGTGTATTATCTGTTCTGTTTTGGCTAGTTATTTTATTGATACTACAGATATCTAACAAATCAGCGTCTGACACAGAACAGTCTGGTGTTAGACAGTAGTAGATCGAGTTCGCCGATTAAATTGAAACTAAAATATTTGAGATCAAATAATCGATTGTCTGCAGGTCTAGTTGCTCAGTATTTTAGTCCACTAATGTTTGGTCAGAAGATCAGCTACACAAGTAGCTAGAAGTAGTTGCTACACAAGTAGACTCCTTAACGGAGCTCTTAGACGACAAATAAGGTTTTTTAGTTTACCTCAAAAATATATTTCTACAACTTGAATTCTCCGGTTATTTTAAAGCCTGTAAAAGTCCAAAACTAGCCAGATTTTGCTCTGTCAATAACTTTGTCTACGCCACTGGAATTACTGCTAGCTACATTTCCAACACTTAAACATTTTCTTTAATAACAATCCCGACAAAGTTAGTGAAAGCTTTTTAAAAGGTACTGTGGTGTATGTAAAATAAGTGTTGACTTACCGACGTTAGTGCCATCCTCAGTTCCCTTGTAGATAATGGTTATCTCCAAGTTTTCAGGGAGGTAGTCGCCAGGTCCAAACAGCAGATCGCTTAGCTCATCCTCCACGTACTCAATTACAATAGTGTTGGGTCCCGTTATCAGAGGATCTAGCGGCATCTTTACCTGTTACATTTGGTTACTGTAATATGGTGGCATCTTTACCTGTTACATTTGGTTACTGTAATATGGTGGCATCTTTACCTGTTACATTTGGTTACTTTGATATGGTGGTATCTTTACCTGTTACATTTGGTTACTTTGATATGGTGGCATCTTTACCTGTTACATTTGGTTACTGTAATATGGTGGCATCTTAACCTGTTACATTTGGTTACTGTAATATGGTGGCATCTTTACCTGTTACATTTGGTTATTTTGATATGGTGGCATCTTTACCTGTTACATTTAGTGATCTACTTCATTGATTGTGTTTTTAACAGTTTAATCTATTTCTTTATAATCAAGAGAATGAGACTTTTTGCTAAACGTCTAGTCGTGACTGATCAAAATGAGACGTGACATAATCTTTTTAAGTGAGTGTGGCTTTGAGTGATGATATTTATTTAATACTATTCATAAGATTAGGATGTTCGAAATAATGCTTACAAAGAGTATTCTTTGCTCATCACTTGTAGTTGTCTGTAAGTCTCTAATAAAATCTTTCTCAGGACACACATTTTTTATTAATAAGGAAAGTAGTCTTAAATTATAGAGTGTGTAAAGAATTTGTGTTCATATTCATTTTTAAACAAACAAAAAACAGTTTTAATTTCAGTTTGCCCATCAGTCCTATTGTAGGGTCATAAAGGAAGTATTTTCAAAGTTTTAGTGAATCGCACAGAGGGTAATTTTAGAAACATTTATTGTGCTGTCAGGTAGGAATATTAACCTTCAACGGAGTTTAACGCAACTTTTACAGATGGAGATCATCGTGAATTTTACAGACGGAAGGCATGCCTTAACTTCTGATTTAATGATGCTGGGTAAAGTATGACAGGATTGTAAGTGCTGGAATTTCGGATTTCCTTGCTTATAAGAGTGCATAAATTTTATCTCCAGAAAGTTATTTGACATGCCTCTGTCGCGACAACTTCTAAACTGATTCCTAAAGCGATTTTGTGCCGTTACTGAGATGGTCATTACTTCTAACCGTTTAAGAACTGAACCGTACCGCAGAAAGTCATTATGTGAGTATTTCCCTTGTCAGCTTTCTCGACACATACAATTATCTTCGCAAGTTCTTTGTCAATTCAATAACTCCAATCTCTATTTTCACAATCTCTATTTTCACAATCTACATTCTTACAATCTACATTCTTACAATCTACATTCTCACAATCGATTTCACTACTATTATTTTACTCTCATCTATACAGTATAACCTCTATATACCGGTCCTCTCTGAGGAAACGAAAGTGCACGGTATAGAAAAAAAACGGTATCCCAATCCCAAGTATCTGTAGCCTCTCACATACCCTTCAGGACCTTATTAATACACGTATTGTGTCGTATTGTCATGGATTACATCTCCATATGTACTCAAATCACCACCAAATGCGATATGAGCTATGATAAATCACATTTCTTGCACAACACGAGCTACAAGTTTGGGGAAAGAAGAGTATATCGAGGTATAGAGAGGCACGGTATAGAGAGGGTTAGACTGTATTGTCTAACCAAGTTACTAACTGAAAACTAAATCAACCTCTCCCGTTAAGCTAAGATGGATATATACGGCATCTCCTCCATCTTCTGTTTCTTGGTAGGGACCCCCTTCAACATCATGTCCTACGCCTACTTCTACTCCAGGAAGCAGTCTTCTAAATCCATCCTCTTGATCTACTCCCTGATCTCGGTAACAGACACCGTTATCTGCGTCTTGTCCGTGGCCCCCATGGTATCCTACATCCTGGCGGGGGGTCCTGGTATATTTGGAGGGTCTCTACCATGCACCCTGTGGGACATCCTCATGGAAGTGTTCGTCAGGTACTCCCTGATCTTGGTTGCCATGTTGAGTGTGTGCCGAGCCCGGGCTCTCATATATCCTCTCCGTATCTTCAGCAGACAGAGGATAGGCTGGGTGGCTAAAAGTGTTCTCCTCCTCCTTCTCCTCCAGGAGATCCTACCTACCATTATACTTCAGGAGTTCTCTATTTACGTTCCACAGCGGCTCTCCTGTCATTTCTTCGGCCTTGAAGACGTGTTTACCCCTCTTCAGACGATGATATTCAAGCTGGTAACCTTCTTCGGAGAGATAGGAATCCCCATGGTAGTAGGAGGTGTAACAGGGGGTCTCTGCCTCTACGTACTGGTGGTCAAAGCGGACAAATATGAGAGCGACGTGACGTCAGTGCAGAAAGAGAAGAAACGTGAAGCTACCAAGACAATCGTCATAGTAACGGGACTGTCTGTACTACTCAATCTTCCCATAGTCTGTTTTGCTGTAGCGTTTAGTCTGGAGGTGCGGATGAGTATGAGAACCATCCTGATCGGGGTGGATCTGGCCAGCAGTCTGGTGGTCTTGAACTCTGTTTTTAACAGTTTAATCTATTTCTTTAGAATCAAGAGAATGAGACTTTTTGCTAAACGTCTAATTATGAATAAAGCGCCCTGCAGTCGAACAACTCCAGTCGTGACTGATCAAAATGAGACGTGACATAATCTTTTTAAGTGAGTGTGGCTTTGAGTGATGATATTTATTTAATACTAATCATTAGATCAGGATGTTCGAAATAATGCTTACAAAGAGTATTCTTTGCTCATCACTTGTAGTTGTATATAAGTCTCTAATAAAATCTTTCTCAGGACAGCAGGATGAAAAGAAAGCCTAACTTTTAAACTTCATAAGGAGTCGGGACAACAAAGAAATCTCCTTACTCCTTACTCCTTACTCCTAACTCCTAACTACTAACTCCTAACTCCTTACTCCTTACTCCTTACTCCTTACTCCTTACTCCTTACTCCTTACTCCTTACTCCTTACTCCTTACTCCTTACTCCTTACTCCTTACTCCTTACTCCTTACTCCTTACTCCTTACTCTAATCCTGGTTGAAACATTATCAAAGCTCTATAACTATTCGCTATGTTTATTTTCACTCTCAAAGAACGGACTAGTAGTGTTGCTTGTAGTTGCAACCAAATGAAGCTGTTATGTTATATTTGTTATTCAAATTGTCAATAAAATAAGGAAGCTTGCGATCTGCTGTCCCCGATTATTTCTTTTGCAGATATTTATAGCTGTTTCTTTTCTAAACTCATTCAGTATAACTTCCAATCTTAATTGTGATGATAAACTTTAGCCGTAGTCTTTTTAGTTGTGCACAAAATAAACCAATACAAATTTATCAATCTAACATATGGGTATGGACTGTGAATAGGATTGGAAATGGTTTCAAACGTTTTTTAATAGTGTACGTTACCTTGTCACCAGCCCCCAGGATGATTCCTCCGTCGGACTCATCGAATCTAGCTCCGTCCAGCTCTACCCCGGATTTAGGAGAGATAGGAGAGAAAACGTCATTTGTAGGGTAGCAGAATTCAACTGTGCAATCTGTGAGTACAGTAAGATTAAAGTGGTGCTGGGGGAAGGGAGGGGGTGCAAGTGAAGGAGACTTATCTCCTGATAGTGTCACGAAGGAGACTTATCTCCTGATAGTGTCATGAAGGAGACTTATCTCCTGATAGTTAGTTCGCCCTGTTTGACCAGATTAAAATGATAGTCAAGGACGTAACCTACTTGCCCTGTCCAAATTTCAATGAAATTTGATAATTTTACCTGGTTTGCCCTGTCTGTCGGGATTAGAATGATAGTCGACAAGGTTAGCAAGATGTATGCACTCCTGAGTAGCATTCTTCTCGGGGAACTGTTTGCAGCCCTCGTTAAGATACTGCTGGTAGTGATCAGCAGCAGTGGGGTTCTCAGGGTATGCGGCTGCAGGGTCAGACGGCAGAGCGGATCCGATCTGAGAGAGAAAGAATTTACCAAAAAAGTTTCATTTGTTCGATTTCAGGAAACTTTTCAACCGGATTGTAGTTGTCAAATGTGAGCTATATTATCGGGAAAAACCAAAGTTTTTATAAATCTACAGATAGATCGTCATGTGGGAGTTTTTTGTCACGTGGGAGTTTTTTTGTCACGTGGGAGTGTGATTCGTCACGTGGGAGTTTTTTGTCACGTGGGAGTTTTTTGTCACGTGGGAGTTTTTTGTCACGTGGGAGTGTGTTTGTCACGTGATCAGCTTATAATTGCAGTTAAAAAAGGTGCCACGTTGAGCCACTAGACCCTAATTACACAGTATACCATGTTTGTACCTCATTTATACGGATAGGTTCCGTCAAGTCAGCTCCACTTATCCTGATCTCGTACTCTCCCTCCGGGTCCAGACAGAAGGAGTCAGCCACTGTGTGTTCAGTGCCAGGTAGCAGGGTTACAGTCACTATCTGGGTCTGGGGCACACTTTGTAACACTCCGCACGAGTACGGCTCTGAAACACAGAGTTATATAAGTAGGTGATTACCTCAGAATTTAAACAACTAATTTAATCTAATTTTGAAATGTAAACAACTAACTGTCTATATGAAGGTGAATAACTTGAACAGATCACATCTTACCATCAGAGTCAGTCCTGACGACCTGGATAACCACAGTCTGAGGATCTTCAACAGGTTCATGTTTGATAACTAGATCTGTGATGGAGCCGGTCACACCATCTCCTCCATCTAGAGGCAGCTCTATCAGAGCCTCCGAGTCAGGTAGAACAAGCTGGTCATTCTCTGGGTCTATATAGGCTCCCTGGATTAACAGCGGGTTAACCGTGGTAATCCTGAAGTTTACAGGGTAGCCAAACAGCGATACTGATAAATAAATTGAGAAATACTAAATAGTCAATTAAACATTTCAACTCACGCCAGATAAATTATCGACTGGATCTCCGGACTCCCACACAGGGTTGTAAGGTATACACGACTCTATACTGCAGTCCTTCTCTCGGTTTGCTGGGGGACAAGTTGTTATTTATCATCAGTATTTAATTAAACACCAGGCATAACCTTATTTAATGTGTATTAATGCTTTTCATGCAAACAAGTGAAAACGAATCTTTTATGTCATGTATCCTGGGTTTGGACAGGATATGCCCGCTTAAAATACTTCCATCGCGTTACATTACATAATTTTCTGAACCATATATTACATTTACAATAAATTATGCAATATCACAACATTACAATCAACAAAATAAATTTAATCGCAGAATCTCAAATACAAATAATAGTGCAATTACTAGTGAATTAGTGTAGAAGTTTTCGAAAGAAAGGCGGTTTAAGCATGTAACGCATGATTTTCTATCACATTTATGGATGTAGATTCTACTACTACTACTATCAGTAAGGAGGTTAGAAATGGATACCTTCTTTAACTTGTTCGTTTATCTTGTTGATGAGATCTATACATTCCTGCTTGTCGCTGTTCTTATCTCCAGCAACCTTGGGGCATTCCTGCAGGATGTAATCAGTTTTATAATACAAGACTCAAGAATAGATAGCACAAGAAAGATAAATGTTATCGAGGAGACACAGTAACGTACACACCGACAGGAATTATCACCTCCTAAGACAAGATAAATACTACTAGAAGCATTCCACAAACCTCAGCAATGTACTCGTCCCAGAGATCGGCTAGCTCCTTGTTGTCAGGGAAAGCAGAGTCTCCGTCGTCAGGGTGTGTAACGAACACTTCCTTCAATATCAGATCCTCTGCGTCAGGGTCGTGGTATACAGGCTCTATTGTTATCTCGTACTCTCCATTAGGATCCAGACACACCTCACCTGGTAATGTGCGGGTTATGGCAAGTTGCCAGGTTGTGGCATGTTGCCAGGTTATGGCAAGTTGCCAGGTAATGTTGGTGTAGCAGATGAAATAGAGATTGTGCGAATATATATAAATACTGACCTAGTGTAGTGAACTCTTTTCTCTTCTTGATCGGCACCTCGAACGTTGTGACCTCATATGGTCGGATTAGAACTCCGTTACACTCGAAGGATTTGGGATCACTGCCGTCCTTGCTTCCCAGGTGCTTGACAGTAACCTTGACAGTAACCTGCTTGTTCTTCTCTACAGGATCATGCGATAAAACCAGATCTTTTAGTCCCCCAGTTCCGGGGTTCAGAGGAACTGTCATCGAACTGCCTGGAGGTAAGATAACATCTCCTCCTTCATCTACAGTGAGTTCAGAACCATTCCCAGTCTCGATATTATCCTTGTCGTCCTCAAAGTCGAATATATCCACACTAGGGTTACAGAGAGACGTGTCACAGTCAACCTTGTCTTCCTCGGACATGTCTGCCTCCAGCTCGCTCTTCAGTCTGGTAGTAGGGAAGTGTTATGTGCTGATTTGCAGAATATCACTATAATGTTGTGTGATTATCTCTAAAAGTAGTATGATTTATTTTCTATATTGAAAGGAAAAATACCAAACCTGTAACACTCGTTACTGATTTCTTGTCCAGGTATCTCAGTCATGGGGCATCCATTATCTTGGTATTGCCTGTATAACTCAGCTTTAGCTGGATCCTCTGAAAATAGGGAATATCAGGCGATAATTTGATATCAGCTACATATTATGTAAAGTAAATACATAAACATCTTAGTAGTTAGCCTAAAAAAGTAAAACAGTTCGTTTCTCGAGTGTCAGTTTAAGAATATATATTTTTTAACGAATTGAAATCTGACCAGGATAAGCTTGATCAGGGTCCAGAGGCTCGGTGATGACTAGATCTTTAATCTTGAGAGCACCAGTGCCTGAGTCTTCTAATGCCAGCTTGACGTCGTATTGGGATCCCTCGTCCATACACAGTCCTTCTACCCGAGTAACTGTGCTGCCTAACATCAAATATGAGGTTAATTAAAGTGATAAGTAAAGAATAATATATTAATCATTTAAATTAATAGAAAACTTGATATGGTTATATGAACCAACATGAGGGTTATATAACGTTTGGCGCACTCAAAGTCTGACCCAGGAAAGCAAAGTCAATAAAATAATCTCTCTTCTGTTGGAGCAAATGTCTTACCGGCTTTAACGGTTACAGTGATGACCTGAGAGCCGTATGCTTGCTGTGGGGTGGCGGAGTTCTTGTTCACAGCACACTGGTAAGGGTGGGGTTCTGTTCCGTCGTACTTGCCAAGGTGGTCCAGCTGAATAACCAGCTCGTAGTCTGACTCAGCAGGTTCGTGAGATATCAGTAAATCGTACAGTCTGAAAATATTCAAAAAATATCATTTCTGAAAAAACAGATCTTCTACAAAATGCTATGTTTTAATTAATATTCCAACAGAGGGAATTTGGTATCTAGCTGGGCCCAAGGTAACTTTCCACCCCAAGTGTGCCCGGGAATTTCAATCTTGTGCCCCAAGTGTGCCTAGCTAGATTACCAAGTGGCCCCAATAGCAGTAATACTGACCCGGTAGGGAGGGTAGCAGCGACCTCTTTATCCTCATCACCAGGTAGACCACGCTCGTCTGTACTCTGAGTAATGCTGCTATCTGGAGGCAGAACCAAGAATCCTGTACCACTACTGTTACCGTCTGTTACTCTGTAACCGTCCTAAACAGGGGGCAGCGGCTACAATACCAACTAATAATAACACGTTACATTGCCGAACATTGATTGAAATGCCAAGATTTAGTGGAGATATGTACAAACTTCATTTAAAATATAAAAGCAGATAAAGCTTACTCCTTCAATGACAGCAGAGTTCTCAGGCTCGTAGGCCCAGTGATCTACTGTTGGTACAAAGTATCCTGGATCAATCTCATCACAGTTGTAACCTGCAATACATCGTAACATTACGCATCACATAAAAAACGGGAGCATAAAATAGTGCCAACAAGTGATTGTGAACGAGGACAATAAAAAACGGGGTGGCAAATGTTCTTACCGGAAAATCCATCTTTGCAATAGCAAGATCCAGTAAGAGGGTCACACTGGTCAGGGTTGTCAGTACCGGTAGAGTTGCAGGAACATACTTCACAACCTGATGCGTCTTCTGATCTCATGTTGAAGAATCCCTCCTGAATAGCACAAGGGTGTGTTAATTCTGTTTATTGAGGAATCAGTTGCAAGCAGTTAATATATGAACATTTTAGAATTAAATTTATAGAATGTCACATTTATAGAATGTACCTTGCAGACATCGCAAGCTTGTCCTCCGACATGTTCTTTGCAAACACACTGTCCTGTTTCAATATCACAGGTTGTGGAGGCACCATCAGTTCCACGAGTATCGCAGTCACAGGCTGAGGTTAAAAGTTGTGAATAATATGCTGAACGAGAACAAAGGCTGTGGCCATGCTGGTTTCACCGAATTCTACGCGCTTTAAAGAATGAACGCGCGTGTACCAGGTGATATCAATGGATATTTACTTACAGTGAAGTATTCGCGCGAGACGTCGAAAGACGCAGCCATTTAGTACATTTCCATTTATTGAACCGAGTAGCGCCATATTTTAATTTGCTTACTAATTGCTGGTGCATACGAAGTTTTGAGCGGCGTACAAACACTTACCGTATTATTTCTATAACGAATGCAAATACAAAGTTGCTTAAGTCAAGTGATAAGACGAATGGTTGTCTTCAATTGAACGCCCAAATTCCTGGCTTTAGAAGAAACTTGTTTTATTTAATAACCAGTAATTAAAAATATCAGGTACCTGTACATCCCAGAGGGTTGCCAGCAGAAAGACCGTAGTGCTCAGGTTTGCAGGTGTCACATTTAGCGGAGGGTTCAACATTAGCTTTGCAAATACAAGTTCCTGCCTGGACATCATCCTCTGTTATACTAGCGCAAATCTCTGATGTAGTTCCAGCTTCGTTACAGTTACATGCTGGGAAGAACAGAGTCAGTAACTTGTTATTACTTCTTATTATTGTTAAATCTAGGATAATATTTTACATATTCTATTACATCGTCACTGCATTCCACTAACCTACAGTAAAAGGACGTATTTTGAGATTCATTTCATCGATATATGCATGCTCTGAGCGCTCTCTGACCATATTTTAAGTTGGTGATAATTTCGCATATTTTAGTAATCTCATTTCTAGCAACATTTAAAATATGGCAGGAAAGCGTGTTGGGACTTTAAATTGTGTTATAAGAGTAAAAAAGGGGCTGACGATAGAGCGTGTAGTGTGGGACTCTAATGATATTACAATCTGTAAACCAATCAACCTATCATCTTACAGTCTGTCAGACAGATTACATTATACATACTAGCAAGGGGCAATAAGGCAATACAAGCTGATGGGGGCTGTTTGGTAGAATGTGTCCGGAGTGTACATCTGGAATGTGTCCTCACACGATAATTGATGGGCCCAGGGCCGGTAATCAGGTTTTCTAAAATGTAGAGAGGTATGTCCTGCATACCTTGCTCGGGGACTGGAGCCTAAGTTTATTTATAGACATGATCCAGTTTAGCACAAATCTTATCACTATGATATAATCACAAAACTCATTATGTCTACGCGTAACCCAAAGCTTATCCCTAAACTTGCAGTCTTTTGCAGCGTTTCCTCGAAATATGAACGTGCCAATTACAATCTTAAGTTTCACCTAAAATCGGCGGATATTTTCAGGAAATTGAAATCTTGGAAACATGAGATGGGGAGCTCTTAGGAGAGTAAACTTTCAATAATTAGAGGTTTCAATTACTTTCAATAATTAGAGGTTGGGAGATTGGTGGCTGGAACCCCAGTAGCCCCAATAACCACTTATCATTTACTTAATCATGTGTTGTGCACAGGTCCGACCTTCAGAAATTACATTTGCAAGTTACATTTAAGAAGTAAAAACCCAAATCTTCTTTTAAATGCAGGAGCAGCATTTAGATTAGATATTAAAGTTAAGTAACTAATATGCAGTATATATTTAGATTAGATAAATTAAAGTTAAGTAACTAATATGCAGCATCGTGAGAATATCAGCTAGCCAACTTAATTTAGCATATTCAGGCAATTTGTGATTTATAGTGTTTTAAAGCAGGGAAATATGCCCATACTTACGTTGGCAGATATCAGTTTCTGCGAGCTCCTTGCCGTCCACCTGATAGTAACCGTACACACAGCGGTCACAGTGTGCTCCTGCTGTCGCATGCTCACATTCCATACATCGTCCACCGTCACCTGCACGACATTAGTTAGTCTCTGCATATTCTCTCTGTTTGGGCTACTCAAACAACGAGGGATATTCATCAAAAGCAAAGATAATAGATGTGATGCACTATGTAGGATATTACTGATGAAACTATTTTCTACAATATCTGGTCTTAACCAGTAGTCACTTTCTCTAGAAACAATACAGTAGCTTTGTATTGACAGTAACTAACAGACCAACTGGCTACAGACAACCTAACAAAATTTGACATAGTGACTACTGTTAGTTATACTGAGTACTACTAACTATACTGATAATTATAAATTTTATCCTTTAAATAATGTAGACGTTCTCATGATTGTCGTCAAAATAATCCTTATTAGGTTTAATAGAAAAACTACAAGTATGTATCAGCAATAAAGTCTTTTGCTTTCTTCAGTTAATTTTTAGCTGTAGTTGTGTGTTTTTATAGCTGTTGCCATGATGGCAGTGATGGTTGCTATGGTTACAGGTAAGTTGTTGTCATGATGGCAGTGATGGTTGCTATGGTTACAGATAAGCTGAAACCATGATGGCAGTGATGGTTGTTATGGTTACAAATAAGCTGAAACCATGATGACAGTGATGGTTGCTATGGTTACCGACCTGTTTGTACGTAAAGCTGTTCATCAAACTCGCATCTGTCCGTGTGTCCGTTACAGGTGCACTCTGAAACATGAAATATTATAACGATGTTATAACAATGATATAATGTGGTAATATAATGTGGTAACCTGTTGTAAAATACTGTTATAATAGTCCCACACTGAGAAAGATTGTATGAGAGGGATCTAAAAGTTAGGAAATATCTAATGTCCTTGAAACTTTAACTATGACTTTAGATAATTTCTCCGATCATGCTGAAGATGGGCGGGGCCAGGTCGGAGAATCTGTACATTCCGATCCCGTGAAACTATGCACATTCCGAAGTAGGGTGAATATTTCCGTTACACCCAACTCCTGTGTGTTAGCTGGGGCTAATTGGTAATTAATTAGGTACACAGTGCAGAAGTGAGTTGACAGATTAGAAAATGCACTCGATATATTGGGGCGAGCAAGCTTGCATGGGTTTAGCAAGCAGACCATGCGTTAGACACTAAAATACAGGTTAAACTACATTAGGTGTGCAAACTTGCACAGAGTTATTCTGTGTAATGAGCTTTACCCAACTTAGTGATATCATGATCAATAGTGGAATAGTGAACACTATCAAACCAGACAAAGAAAATACCTAGTATTAATAGTAGAAGTATTATTACTAGTGATAATAGTAGAAGTATATTACTAGTGATAATTTAGAGAAACATTCCGTCTACACCACCCAACTAAGTCTCCATAATATAATTTATTGTAATATATATAACTCATTACTGTAAAGACTACACACACCATTCAATAGTTTCTAATCTTAGACCTCATATCACTTGTAATCTCTAATCTTACACGATTTCATGAATCGTTTTACACTCTCAGCTGATAGCTTATTACGTTTAAATAAGCAGAACCTTGCTTATTAGATTACAAAATCTGGGAGAATCTAATTAAGGAGGAAGACAGGGTCCCTGAACACAAGAATCAGGGAGCATGTTTGAGTGATGTTTGTGCAGGAATGTACAAGTTACACTCACCGCAACATGTCAGATACTCGCAGAATCCTTAAGATAAGGTTTACAAGCTTTTAAGCCAAAGTCTTCTAGACTTTCTGTTGTGGTTAATATAAGGAGAGGAGTGTGTAGATATACACGTTGGGATCTAGTAGCTAGTAGTAGTGTCCTACTGTAGTGGCTCATCAGTGGAACTAAAGTATTTTAGAGAGGGGTGTACTGGCACAATTCACTGTTCTAGACAATTCACTATTCCACTGTCAGGATTGGTCACAATAGAAAATTAACAGAAAATCATTTGAATGCTGGTGGGTGGGGGGGGGGGGGGGGGGGGTACTGTAGACAGTCTGTATCTCTCTGTCTGTATCTCTCTCAGGTAGAGGAGATCCCACTAATTGATAATGAATTGTGACAGAAAGTCAGTAAAACTGAGACTGATAGATTGAGTGGTATCACATACTAGTTAAACAGGTGGGGTAGAGTCTAGACTAGCACAGCAGATGCGTACAGATCATTTGCTTAAATCCAGGAAACTGATAAAAATTATTCCAAGAAGGACACTGTGTCTCAACTCTGCCCAGATTATTATCAAAAACGTTTTTAAATAAGTCTTTGCATAAGTATGCAAAAATTTCTGAATCTAATGTAATTATGCTGATATCTAAATAAAATGAATGTTTTAACACTCAATGCAAACAAATGTTTCTAAATATAAACATATAGGCTGCAGGTAAATATTGGGTAAATGTAACAGAAATAGGCTGCAGAATGTGAAAATCGTTTACAGCCCCTGAATCCAGTAAACTCCTAACCAAACATTTCTTTTCAGGCAAAATCATCAACTTCTCCTCCTTTTATTGGCCATACAGTAACGTGTAAAAAGAGGAGGTTTACTTGTGGTAGTACCGTTTAAAAAGAAGAGGTTTACTTGTGGTAGAACCGTGTAAAAAGAAGAGGTTTACTTGTGGTAGTGCCGTTTAAAAAGAAGAGGTTTACTTGTGGTAGTACCGTGTAAAAAGAAGAGGTTTACTTGTGGTAGTGCCGTTTAAAAAGAGAGGTTTACTTGTGGTAGTACCGTGTAAAAAGAAGAGGTTTACTTGTGGTAGTGCCGTTTAAAAAGAAGAGGTTTACTTGTGGTAGTACCGTGTAAAAAGAAGAGGTTTACTTGTGGTAGTGCCGTTTAAAAAGAGAGGTTTACTTGTGGTAGTACCATGTAAAAAGAAGAGGTTTACTTGTGGTAGTACCGTGTAAAAAGAAGAGGTTTACTTGAGGTAGTACCGTGTAAAAAGAAGAGGTTTACTTGTTGTAGTACCGTGTAAAAAGAAGAGGTTTACTTGTGGTAGTACCGTGTAAAAAGAAGAGGTTTACTTGTGGTAGTACCGTGTAAAAAGAAGAGGTTTACTTGTGGTAGTACCGTGTAAAAAGAAGAGGTTTACTTGAGGTAGTACCGTGTAAAAAAAGAGGTTTACTTGAGGTAGTACCGTGTAAAAAGAAGAGGTTTACTTGTAGTAGTACCGTGTAAAAAGAAGAGGTTTACTTGTGGTAGTGCCGTTTAAAAAGAAGAGGTTTACTTGTGGTAGTACCGTGTAAAAAGAAGAGGTTTACTTGTGGTAGTACCGTGTAAAAAGAAGAGGTTTACTTGTGGTAGTACCAGGTAAAAAGAAGAGGTTTACTTGTGGTAGTACCGTGTAAAAAGAAGAGGTTTACTTGTGGTAGTGCCGTTTAAAAAGAAGAGGTTTACTTGTGGTAGTACCGTGTAAAAAGAAGAGGATTACTTGTGGTAGTAGCGTGTAAAAAGAAGAGGTTTACTTGTGGTAGTACCGTGTAAAAAGAAGAGGTTTACTTGTGGTAGTACCGTGTAAAAAGAAGAGGTTTACTTGTTGGAGTACCGTGTAAAAAGAAGAGGTTTACTTGTGGTAGTACCGTGTAAAAAGAAGAGGTTTACTTGTGGTAGTGCCATTTAAAAAGAAGAGGTTTACTTGTGGTAGTGCCGTTTAAAAAGAAGAGGTTTACTCGTGGTAGTACCGTGTAAAAAGAAGAGGTTTACTTGTGGTAGTGCCGTTTAAAAAGAAGAGGTTTACTTGAGGTAGTACCGTGTAAAAAGAAGAGGTTTACTTGTAGTAGTGCCGTTTAAAAAGAAGAGGTTTACTTGTGGTAGTACCGTGTAAAAAGAAGAGGTTTACTTGTGGTAGTGCCGTTTAAAAAGAAGAGGTTTACTTGAGGTAGTACCGTGTAAAAAGAAGAGGTTTACTTGTAGTAGTACCGTGTAAAAAGAAGAGGTTTACTTGTGGTAGTACCGTGTAAAAAGAAGAGGTTTACTTGTGGTAGTACCGTGTAAAAAGAAGAGGTTTACTTGTGGTAGTGCCGTTTAAAAAGAAGAGGTTTACTTGTGGTAGTGCCGTTTAAAAAGAAGAGGTTTACTTGTGGTAGTACCGTGTAAAAAGAAGAGGTTTACTTGTGGTAGTGCCGTTTAAAAAGAAGAGGTCTACTTGTGGTAGTAACGTGTAAAAAGAAGAGGTTTACTTGTGGTAGTAACGTGTAAAAAGAAGAGGTTTACTTGTGGTAGTAACGTGTAAAAAAAGAAGAGGTTTACTTGTGGTAGTACCGTGTAAAAAGAGAGAGGTTTACTTGTGGTAGTACCGTGTAAAAAGAAGAGGTTTACTTGTGGTAGTGCCGTTTAAAAAGAAGAGGTTTACTTGTGGTAGTACCGTGTATAAAGAAGAGGTTTACTTGTGGTAGTAGCGTGTAAAAAGAAGAGGTTTACTTGTGGTAGTAACGTGTAAAAAGAAGAGGTTTACTTGTGGTAGTAACGTGTAAAAAGAAGAGGTTTACTTGAGGTAGTACCGTGTAAAAAGAAGAGGTTTACTTGTGGTAGTACCGTTAAAAAAAAGAGGTTTACTTGTGGTAGTGCCGTGTAAAAAAAGAAGAGGTTTACTTGTGGTAGTACCGTTTAAAAAGAAGAGGTTTACTTGTGGTAGTAGCGTGTAAAAAGAAGAGGTTTACTTGTGGTAGTACCGTTTAAAAAGAAGAGGTTTACTTGAGGTAGTACCGTGTAAAAAGAAGAGGTTTACTTGTGGTAGTACCGTTTAAAAAAAAGAGGTTTACTTGTGGTAGTACCGTGTAAAAAGAAGAGGTTTACTTGTGGTAGTAACGTGTAAAAAGAAGAGGTTTACTTGTTGTAGTACCGTGTAAAAAGAAGAGGTTTACTTGTGGTAGTACCGTGTAAAAAAAGAAGAGGTTTACTTGTGGTAGTACCGTTTAAAAAGAAGAGGTTTACTTGTGGTAGTAGCGTGTAAAAAGAAGAGGTTTACTTGTGTAGTACGTGTAAAAAGAAGAGGTTTACTTGTGGTAGTAGCGTGTAAAAAGAAGAGGTTTACTTGTGGTAGTAGCGTGTATAAAGAAGAGGTTTACTTGTGGTAGTAGCGTGTAAAAAGAAGAGGTTTACTTGTGGTAGTAGCGTGTAAAAAGAAGAGGTTTACTTGTGGTAGTACCGTGTAAAAAGAAGAGGTTTACTTGTGGTAGTACCGTGTAAAAAGAAGAGGTTTACTTGTGGTAGTACCGTGTAAAAAGAAGAGGTTTACTTGTGGTAGTACCGTGTAAAAAGAAGAGGTTTACTTGTGGTAGTGCCGTTTAAAAAGAAGAGGTTTACTTGAGGTAGTACCGTGTAAAAAGAAGAGGTTTACTTGTGGTAGTGCCGTTTAAAAAGAAGAGGTTTACTTGTGGTAGTACCGTGTAAAAAGAAGAGGTTTACTTGTGGTAGTGCCGTTTAAAAAGAAGAGGTTTACTTGTGGTAGTGCCGTTTAAAAAGAAGAGGTTTACTTGTGGTAGTACCGTGTAAAAAGAAGAGGTTTACTTGTGGTAGTGCCGTTTAAAAAGAAGAGGTTTACTTGTGGTATACGTCAGCTGGAAGCCTTAAAAAGAAAGAGATCTCGGATCACGTGATGAGAAGTACAGTGACCAGTAGTTACTACACCACTACTGTAGTGGTGTAGTAGTAGCTACTACTACCACACCGGCTACCTTGACATTACACAATTAACTAGATGACATATCACAGAGCACTTA